GTCAAACTCAATAGTATCGATGGTTGATTGGAAATGTAATAAGTAATGTATAATTTTATTCAAAAACATTCTTAATATGCTTATCAACCAGAATGAAAAGTTAGAGCTTTGAAAGCCACTTTAAATAAAATGCAATTTTCATATTAGTAGGGTATTTGTTTTTCGTGAAATGATTTTTTACATCTAAGAATTGGATGAAAATACAATTGAAAGATACAATTTTAACAAATAAGCATAAGTTTTGCATATTTATTTACGGAAATTGTGATTTTAACTTTAATTTAATATTGACATTTATTTTTGAAGAATTAGTTCTTAAAAGACTCGAAATATATATATATATAAAAAAGAAATATTCAATTGAACTGAGTGCAAAGATTTAAATTTAATCCAAAGAAGATTACATTTTTCATTAAATTGCAAGAAAAGTAATAATTCTTAAATCAAGTGTAATATATATGTTGGCTTGACTAAATAAAACAGAAATCATCTCTTCAAAAAAAAAAAAAAAAGCNCTTAAAAAAAAAAAAAAAATGCATAGAACGGTTAAAATGCTTTTCACACGCTGACCTAAAACTTTTGCATGCTAGTGTATGTAAATCAGATTTGTGCAATATGTAAATGATAACTAGCATCAATAACTTGAAATTGTCATAAATAATCATAATTACAATTATTAATATGGGTCAGATCCTTTTCTTGTGGCTATATATAGCACAAGAGAGTCAACCGATTTGTAGATCTTGTCTGACTTCAAGAGATTAGAGCAATTGCAACATTAATATTGAACAGCTTTTATAAAAGCAATTATGATAAAACCTAATTTAGATAACAATTGTAATTTTGATTAAATCAAAATAAGCAAATTTTATTTCACATAATTATGATAACATGTCTTAATTACAAAGCAAGTGATTACCGTAAACAATTACATTTTAACCAACTCCGGAGTAAACAATCTTGGATTAAAAGTAATAACAGTTCCAAGTAATTACGGTTAACCTAAACTTTAATAAAATTGTAAAGTTCACTATACATTATCATGATGACATGTTATTTTAATTGCGCATAATTATAAATAGAAAGCAATTGATTACTATAATCCAGTGTTTCCTGAAGGGTGGTATGCGTACCCCCAGGGGTACGGGAACAATTTAGCGGGGGTATGCGTTCTTATGCAAAATATCTTGCAACAAACGAAAATTTCAAATTTTTTTAAATAAAAACAAAGCTAGCCATTCAAATTTACGATTACGTATTTTTCTATCGGCTATTTTTTGCAGAATTAACAGTTAATAATTAGTGGTGTCAACAGCCAAATGTGATTTTTAACTTTTGTGCAATTCTTTTTATAGTAAAAAATATATTCATTTCTTTATTAGTGGTACACAGCATTACGAAAAATTTAGAAAGGGTACACAAAAGTCATAAAGTTGGAAAACACTGCTGTAATCAATTATATTTTGCTTAACTATGTGTAAATAAGAAAAAAAAAATTCTCTTCTCACCCAGACTTTAATTTTTTTTAATAAATAGTAATTTTTTTTATTTTAAAAGCTAGCATTCTAAATTTTTCTTCTTCCATTTTTTATTCAAAATAATTTACAAAGAAAGAATTTTCTACAGTTTACACAACAAATGGCTTATTTTATACATAATTACAATTGTTAATTTCTTAATAATTAATCTCTTTTACTCTCCTGAAGTTTCTTCTCCTCCCCTGTTGCATTTTCTTAAAAAAAAGAAGTATTTTGAATTATCAGAAAAATCAACTTTCTCATAGTTTCATACATACCCAGAAGTATTTCAAACTTATTAATAAAATCAGCTTTTCAAAAATTTCATATACATTAAAAAACATGTATGTTATTTTAAAAACTTTTATAGCATATAAAAATTTTAAACTTTTTACAAGACATGAAATCACAAATATTCACTGATACATCTAACAATTGTATTTTTTTTACAGTAAGTAGAAGATATTTTCCTTTTTATATCATAATTACCTTCAAATTTCATCAAAGCAAGAAAGAAAATATGGAATAATAATTAAAAAAAAAAGAGTATATATTTATTTCCCTCTTCAAAAACAGGATTGGCATGATTTAAATCATTTAATTAATTTTAAAAAGATTTTTGATTTATTACCCAATTTTTTTTATTTTAAGAAATCATTGTCTTATGACAAAAATATTTTTTAATAAAAATTATGAATACACAATCAAGAGAACATTTTCAGTTTATGTGTTTTTTTCTTTCTATGTCTAGTTAAATTGACAATGGAGGTTTTATATAGATAATTTATGAGAGGAAAATGTATGTAAATTACTAATTGATGTTCAAAATATACAAATAATAATACATAATAAAAAAAAGACTAAAGGTGGATTAAAGTAACAAGTAGCTTTGAAATACTATAATTTTTCAGTATATAATTCAACATTTCTCATGTAGTTTTATGTTTATTTAAATACTAGTACTTGTCGGAGCTAAAAGAGCAAGTTGGACTGCAACATTTAATAATTTTTTATTGAATGGGAAGAATGCTGGGAAGTTAAACTTGGTGCTCTACAATCTCGCCAATGAGGTCGCTGACAGTACTTTTAAAACTTATAAGTAGTTTGTGTTATAAATAATGACAAAAACTTGTTCTGCCAAGAGTAATAAAGATTAAATGATTTTCTTGTTTTTTGATCAAAATTATTCTTAATTTCATATTAAGCTGACCAATTGGCTTCTTGTCTTTACAAATTCATTAGGGTGCTTAGTGCTGAGCTTGAACAAACAGTAACTATGGTTTTAATTTTTTAGTGATTAGTTTCTAATAATTAAATACAGAAAACTTTTACATGATTTGGTTAGAAATTTTTAATTATTTTTGTTACGATATTGTTTGTTAATAAAAATATATTTTTAATACGTTTTGTATGAGTTTTGCTAGGTAAATGAGAAAAGATAAATCTTTATTTTTGCCACTTTATTGAGGAAGGAAAATATTCCCTGAATTTTTTAAACCAATTTTAAATTTTGTTTTTGATTTTTTGTAACTGATGACATACATTTTATTGTTAATTTTAAATTTCAACATATTCAAGTACATAAAACATAGTTAAAAAACACTTTCACTTGGTATTAAAACTGAAAATAGATAACTATTTTTCTAAAAAAATATTACAAAAATAAAGTAAATTAAGAATAGAGTAAATATAATACGTGACGGATGGCCTACACATTTTAGTTAATATTATGCTGCTATTTATGACAGATCAAAGAAAACTGCAAGTTATTTTCAGTCACTGTGGAAAATATTTGTTTTTTAATGAGGACAAAAATTTTTGATTTTGATAGTGCAACAATTTTAAGTAAATATCGAAATTTACAAAAGAATATTTTTGAAAATTAATAAAATTTCTAAGTAAACTTCATCAATGTATTAAAAAGGGAAAAAAATTAAATTTTTAACCCTAAAATTTCCAATTTTTCGACAGTGATAAAATTTCCAGACTTTTCACTGTTTTGTGACCATTTTGATAATCAAAATATGGTATAGAGAAAAATAATGAATTAAAGAGAAAAAAATTAATAAAATTGAATTGAATGTAATTTGTGTTATTAATATGAAAATAATATATCCTTTAATTTCCATACACCATAATGGAAATATTAATATTATGAGAATGTTAAATACTTATTATGACGAATTTCTCATAATCAAATATGAAAATAATTGTGATTTCTATTTTTTGAAAGAGGATAAAATCTGCTAACTAAGTATGGAAATAGTATTCTTGCAGTGAAGTACAAAGTATTTAAAGCTGACAAGCATGTAAATAACATTTTTGATTTTCAAAAATATATTTGACTTTATTTTTACACATGGTTTCTATAGATGAATTTTACATATACACAGAATATCACATGATTATAAAATTCAGATGTAATACTAAAACTTCTAAGAGAAAAAAGTCTTATCATTCATTATATTTCAATATATTTAGAATAATATCAATAAACAGGTATTCCAACTTTTGGTGACATTTCTATTTCATAACACTGTTATATATTTTCTTTAGAGTAGCAGAGATAACTTTTCACAATCATATTAAAATTCTAAATAAAATATAGAATTGCTATTTCATTTTATAAAATTTTTGAAATAAAATAGCCTACAATATTTAACTTCATACAGATTGACAATTAAGGGCCAAATTTTATAGAATGCTTCAAATTTAGTTAGTGACTAAATTAAATAAGTTAATAATAATATGAAAAGTTAAAGGTTTGTCTGAAAATAAGGGATAGTTAACAAATTAAAAAACCAAATTCACCATTAAAACAAATCATGAATTAAACTTTTCAATGCTAATAAAAGGGTTCCTTAACTTTATAGACTGGGCCAAGGTTCTAAGTCGATGACATTATTGTCCACATAAGTGGGGGGAAAAAAAGACTTCTCAAGAAAGCCTGTCTGAAGAACATTATTGAAATAATTTACAGGTAATTCATTTTTCTTTTTTTATAAATAAAATAAAATTTGACTCACAAGACTTGCGATTTCTGAAAAAAACATAGTGATAGCTATCACATAAAAAATAATGAATGACATCTTAAAATTTAAAACAATTCATCAAAACACAAAACGTGGAATAATTTCCCACCTTTATTTTTGATGAACCTACTTAATCAAGTACAAAATGTATCAAACAACATTACTAGAAATATATACAATGCAGCAACATATACATAAATTGCAACAGATAAATAATATAAAAGAAAAAAAAAGTGAAGTTTTAAAACTATCATAAAATAGTAACAATTTTTTTTTTAAATTTCGATTTTCATTTAATAAAAATCAAATTTTATAATTAGATTTTTAAAAAAAAAATTAAAAGCTTTATTAAATGATAAAATAATATATGTTTCCCTCAAAATTAGAATTAGAGAAATGCAATAAAAAACACACATTATAAAAGTTATTTTTAAGATTTTACAGCAAAGAATACCCCAGCCGCTGAAAGTCGTAGAGTATTTCACAGCGAAAATAAAATAAAAATATATCTCAGCTTTTAATTTAAATGATTTAATATTCCTTCATTAAGTTATAGAATTCATCTCTTTTAGGTAACCTAATTAAATATTCTTTCAGTTATGAAAATTCTTTTACTACCTATAAACTCAGATAATTATTTTGTATTTTGACGTAAAAAATAATTTAATACTTACTTTTATAGTTTGGATCATAAAACAAAAATTGTAAATTAGTGATAAAAAATAATGTCATAAAATTTTTTGTTTAATGTCAATAAATTTAATTTTTGAATAATTTGTTTTCTTGGAAGCAGAAAATCTTATCACTATATCAAGGTTACACAGTGTCATATTTCTTTTATTAAATAACCATCCACAAATTTAACATTTGAATAACTTGCAGGTAAAAAAGTATTCAATTAAAACAAATGCCTAATTAAAAAAATGAAAATAACGAATTTTTGATTAAGTTTTTACAAGAATTTCCAACAAGAAACAAGATAAACAATCTTCATAAACAATATATCAATAATGACAAGCAGCAAAAATACTAAACAAAATATATTAAAGAAATACTATCCTTGCTTTACAGAGAAAAAATATGACATGTTTTTAAAACACACTGCAGAATAAACAAATTTCAGTAATTATTTTAACAAAAGATTATGTAGATTTTACAATTACACATTAAAAAATTGGCAATGCAATTATAGTTTCATTAAAAAAGTTCCAAACTCACATTGGCAGCACCAGTTACTGAATAAATTATTCAAGATTGTTTTATCCTTTGATGAGATAAAAAAATATACAGCATAGCACTGGACATTAATTGCAATTCTTAAAAAATAAAAACACTGTATTCAATATTCAAAGAAAGCTTACAATGAATTAGATAAAAAGAAACATAGGTATTATAGGTATAAAATGATTTAGACACAATTGGAGTTCATGTGCCTCAAAATAAATTTAAATTTCAACAAACAATAATAATAATTATAAAGTATACTATAAAATCACTCTACAATGATAACTTGCATTGGCTAAATAGAATGGTTTTAAAAATGTATCAAACTTTTGGAGTGGTCAATGACAAAAATATCAAAAACAAGCACTCCAGTGTTTTAAACAAGGAAGGTATTTGAAGTGTCACCACCCCCATTCGTAGATAGTTCTTTTTAAGTTAGAAAATAATACACACTATTTATTTTGTCTACTTCAAAGTAATTATTAATGCATAATTTTTCAATTGCAATTTTTGCATTGAATGTGTACTTCAGGGCAATTGCGCCATTTATTAAATATCACATTTGCTGACTTTAAAATTACCTTATAACTCAATAAAAAAAAAAGAAAAAAAAAAAAGGCGGTTCTAATTTCTGTTAAGATAAATCATGGCGTCATTAACACCCATTCCAATATTTAGTTACTTTCATTAGTTTTAAAATTAATAAGTTAATAAAAATTGGAATAATTGTAAATGCCGTTAAAAGTTATTTTATCAAAAACAATTAAAATTGCTTTATTTTTTTTAAAACTGAGATTGATGCTTTGTTTTATTTATTTCTTTATTTTAAAATGAACTTCATGCATGGGGGAATTGTTCTTAAATTCTATTTGTCCCGCAGATGAAAAGCATGATTGGCTGAAAAGGGTTGTTTTAATAAAATGCTTTCATTTATTCTCAATTAAAAACTTTAACATATGTGTTTGTAAATAGAAAAAAATAAATAACACTTAAAAATTAGAATTAAAATTATACATATACTTATATATTCTAAATTTTCATCACAACTCAGCATTTTAAAGAAAATTTTAATACAACAATTATATATTGCTGAATGTCTTAAGCAGTCTTCTAAGACATTTGTTTAAGGAGACTAAGGCTATTGGTGCTTAAGAACTCTTAAAAAGTGATTCGCTGAACTGTGTGATGTGCTTGGTGAAATTTTAATGACTCACTCAACAATTTTTGTCCTCAGAACTATAACATAATGAATAATGACACTTCAGGAACTTCCTTATTAGTGCAACAAAAGATATCTCGAGTAAACTAGACATGAAGTTATAAAAATTCTAAGTAATAATAGTAACTGTGAAGGTCCACTTCATCATATATAAAAGTGAATACATGAATGTTTAAGCTGGGTAAGTAAGTTGTTGCAAGTTCATACTTAACTTACATTCATAACCTAAGAATGAGGGTTGAATTAAGATGAGCTTTTGTATCATCTTCGCTTTGGCCTTGATTTTGCCTGTAAAAAAGATTAAAAATAATACTAATTAGGAAAAGACTAGAACACACATTATTAAAAGAAAAAAAATACTGACATAAAATCAAAATTACAGGTTGACAAGAAATAACTTGGACCTTATTTAAATAGTGGTTAGGGATAATGTAAGCTGCCTCTCGTTCTTATTAAACAACTAATAATCTCATAAATCAGTTTGATTTGAATAAAGATTTAAATGATTTTTCTTAAAAAAAGTCATTGATTTCAATCAAATGATTTTTTTAAGATATGATTAATTTAAAAAACACTTTAACATAAGTTTTATTGATTTTTATAGTTTTAAAACATACTGCAAAAATAAATATAGTGCTATGTTAATAAGTTTAAATTAGCAAAATTACATAAGTAACTTAGTGCAGAACAAATTACAGCACTTTTAAAATGATATTTATTTAATAAATTACATTATTCATGAGAATTTTTCAAATGCAAACTAAGAACAATGTAAAGTATAATGAAGTTATTAAATATGGATTCATTTTATTTTTAATAAAATAAATTTAAAACTTTTTTTTGCCTGTATTTCAGCTGTTAATAATAGTAGTACATTTTTATTCCATTTCAATAAACCTGTATCATACATCTCTACGCATTAAACAATTTTTAACGGACTGATTTGGTTTGAAATGTATTATGATTTATTTTTAATGTTTTAATAATGATTATATTTATAAAACCTAATTATTAACTGAAGTATCTTTAAAGAAATTATTTAAATCAAAAGAATCTAATAAAATTATTATAAAACAGGAGTAATTGTGAGCCCAACTCTATAATCTTGAAAATTTCATTAGTAGAATCATTAATGACGCATTTAAAAAAATATCTTTATAAATTTAAATCATTGACATTTTCAAAACATGAAATTCTAAATAAATTAAACTATATGCAGCATTTTTTAAATGAATAATTATGTATAAGTTTACTTTTATCTCTAATCACATTTATTATTTTATCAGAAAAAATATTTACAAATGAAAGAGATGTCAAGTATAATTCTAGTTCTAAAATCTTTAAATAAATTATACAAGAATTTTTATACATGAATGTGATCAATGATTTATTAAAACTTCTGGACTTCGGATTTCTGGAAACTTATGGATTGCAGTTAGCGAAAACTCTAGAATTTTTCCGGAGCACAATCATCTCTGATAAAATAAAAATTACATTCATATCTGTTGAATGCACATTAACTTACCTTAACAAATAATATCTTCCAAAAATATAAATAATATTTTATTAATTTTAATATATAACTACAATATTTTTGACTATGAACATGATTTGTTAAGGCATATGTACAATTTCCATTTTTTAAAAATCAGAATATATACATATTCAATAAAGATGATTAAAACTGTCTTAATAAATCATGATAACTGATATTAAAAGAAATAAATATATATGGAAATATATTCTTTAAATTAATAATAAATGTTAGTACCGCAGGTACAATATCACTAGTACCATTTTCTTCAGTACAGTACTAAAGTGATTTCAGTGAGATTGTTAGATAACAAGACTTGTTTTGATAATAATTAATATCAATATAAAAGACCACAATTTTCGGTAAGTTTCAATATCAAATCATGTACTTTCATTATGAAGTGACGATGAAAATTCAGAATACTTTGCCAACCATTAATAGCAAGAATATAATCTTTAAACTTTTATTGAGTTTGAAATAGACGGTTATTTTTTCCCCATAACAAACCAGTTTTTGTTTAAATTCTTTAAGAGGAAAGCATTATTTTGAGGGTAAAGTTTTGTCCAAGTAGCTCATCAAGTAAAAGGTATCCCAAAATTCATACGCAATATAATGTTGATAGATAAACTCAGACTTTTAATTAAAAATTGTGATTTTTTTTAATTGACGAATTCAATAAAGAGTTATGAATGAAATAGTAAATCAGGAAACTGGTTTCCTCAGATTTGAAGGCATACGTTGCAGTATTTTGTTGATACAGTGCTAAATGTCCTTCTTAAGATAGCTTCTACCCTTCCAATCTTTGATTTTAGATAAAATGTTTAATTTGTGTTTCTAAGAAACTTTTTTGCACTTAAAACAGTTTTGATTATTTAGTATTATTAGACAATATAATAATTTAAAAAAAAAGGGTAGAAAATAAAGGGATCGCTTTATACGATTAGAAGAAATAGCGCTTGATAATTGTTAGAACTTCGATTAATTTCTCCTCAAAACTTTAAAAAAATAAAATGATGTGTTTTGTGGCAATGAGTAAGTAATTTAAAACTACTCGTTCTTTAGATTTTTAAAAATCTAATTTTATTGCAGTTTAAATTGATGAAAACAGATTTCGTGGATGACGAAAAATCATTTTAATGTTACTTGCATAAAAACAAAGATATTTATCAAAAATCTAAAAACAGGCAATATTTAACTACCTATCAAAAACTCTTGATTGCAGAATTGTATTGGCATAATTTTATCACAAAATATTAAAAGGGAATCAATACAGCAGCCTTATATCTCAAATTGTGATTGGGGAGGGGGACTTTCCTTTTACATGCATCAGAAGATACTGCCAAATAATTATAATATTTATCACCTGTTTAATTGTGAAAATGATATACAAAGGATTAAAAGCATATTTAGAATTTTCCCTTCCCATCTCCAGAGACAGTTGGGAGAGAAAGTGCCTCTTAAAAGTGTGGGTAGTTGTTGGCTTGCTGACATAAACCTAAGACAAGGAAATAAAAATTCTAACAGAATGAAATCACATGATATTGACATAGATTTTTAATCACCAAAACAAGAAATTATATGACTAGGGCCAATTATGTGACTTATATGACCCAATTTTAAAAACATGTTGTTCTTTTGAGTAGTATTCTATATTCAACAACCCTAAATTTTTAGCAGCTCCATCTTTTTGTTGGCAACATTTTATTATTTAGTGCAAATTCTGTATGAATTTCGGGACATCTTTCAGTTGTAACATTATTAAACAAGATGAACAGTATATGTGCTAGTCATTCAAATAGATTTTTTTCTGAAATACAAAGCGAATAGTGAAATAATAAAATTAAAAGATAAGCATATTTTCTAGGTGAGAGAGCTGCAATAGTTACTCACTTCAATCACTTTATTTTTTGCTGTTCTAGCAGAGGTTCTCGTCACAATAGAGTTAGTAGTCTTTATGGAACTTGTTACCTTATTACTCCTTGTAACAGGTTTCTCCTTTCTAAGAGGAGGGGAAAGAAGTAAAGAATAACAAAATAAAAGGAAAGAAACAAAAAATTGGGTAACTTATACTGTTTCAAATCATAAACATAAGTGAAAAATAAATCAAATTAAAACAACTTGTTAAAAACTAGTCATTCAACATGCAATTCTAATGCATTTCAATCAAAATAAATTTGGGGTCTAACAAGAAACTTTATTTGTGGCTATTTTAGTGTTTAAAATGTCAAAATATTTTGAAGAAAAAATAGGATTCAATTTTTAATTTAGTTTACTTAAATAACTATATATCATGTATTAAATAAAAAAACTTAAAAAATAATAAAACAAAATACTTTAATAAAACAAAAATCTTCAAAGTTATAGGAATGGTTAACAGTGTAGCTAATTACAGGCTTTGAACGCATACAATTCTAATTTAATTTTCAATTTATTTTAACAGAAAGGCTTAAAGCAGTGATCTGCAACCCTATGTCTACATTCTAGAATGTGCTTTTAGGAGTTGGAGACAACTGGACTCATTATAATTTTCAAGAGTTGTATACATTTTTCTACATGTTTATTCCTTCTTTTCTAAATGTTTTTCAGACTTACTCAATATTAAGAATGATACAAAGTAAAGAAAAAAAAATCTCGTGGATTAATCGTAATTCAAAATTCAAGCAATTAAATAGTGAAAAAAGGCAAGTTCATTCAAAAGATAGCAACTCATCAATTTTAAATTTATTTAGAGTTTAAATGTAATATGTGTGGTAAAATGGGATAAAGATTAAACTCATTATTATAAAAACTTTTTAAAATAGTGGATTTTTGTTTGATATTTCTTGCAATTATTATTACAAAAAGTAATCTCCCATTGCACCCTGTTCCTTAAGAGAACTTATAGATGGTGAACAAAATAACATGATCACCATCTATAAGTTCAGTAAAGTATAAGAACACTGCTTCATCAATTGTATGGGAATAATATATTTTTCTGCATAACAGCCATACATTTTTTAAAATATAAATTTAAAGGTCTCGATGAAAGACTTTAAAAGAAGAGGTATCTGTAACTTTGCAAATGATGTATTAACTTTACAGTTTTAGGTAGACGTTGAAAGACTGTGTTTTTTCTTTCAATAAAAGCAATTTTAAGAATCTACATTTTTTTACGCTAAAAAGAATACGTTTTTGAATAAAAATAAATATTGATAAAATTTATGTTATTCAAAAAGCGCCAAAGTTTTAAAGAACTTACGATTACAATAAAATTATTTGAAACCAAAACAATAATTTGAAAGTTATGATAGTTAAGTTTTCATAGCATGCTAATAGTTTTAATATATAATTTTTTTCCAGAGCTAATAAATTAATATTGTTTCTTAATTAAATAAAGTATGTTGGTGGTAGTGCTAACATTACTTTATTCACTGTTGGTCTTTAATATTCTTAAGCTATCATCCAAAAATAACAAAAGTTTTGGTTAAGTGAAAAAATAAATTAAGCTTAACAGAGTTAAGCCAAGGATTATCTAAAATAGAACTATGTGTTATAAAAAATATTTAAAAAACAGATTCTAACAATAAACAATTGGATCTAGATTTCCGTTTTATTACTACATGTTTAACAGAATTTCTTTTTTATTAAGGTTTAAAAGAAAAAAGATAGTCAATGATTTTCAAAGAAGCTTTGATACAACATTTAAAATTAAGCTTGTTCTTCAATAAAATTTTTTTTAGAAATTATTAATTATAGGATTAAATGCTAAATAAGCAGGGTACTGCCAAGATTTGATTATTCCAAATTTGGAAGGGTGATAAAAGGCATCAACAGAATGAAAGGTTTCGATAGATAATGGGGCCACATATAAAGATGCATAAAGGCTTTGAGTTTAGGGACAATTGTGGACCCACTGGAGGATTTCATACTGTAGATTGTTGTTTTGCTTATCTGGGAATCATTTTTGCATTGTTGTAAACTAGGCAATAATGTCAGTGAGTGCCATTAGGAAAAAATCTTGTAATAATTAATAAAATAAATCCTTTAGCACTTAAAAAGTCAGTAGAATCTTTTGTAGTTGTGCTCACACATGGTATCAAAACCCCACAAGGGCTTTTTCTGATTTCCATCTTCTCAACATGGTTTGTGACCCTTATGGTAAGTTTTCATCTTCTTGATACCTTTCATCACACCTCTCAATTCTTAACTCAAATTTTGGAATGTCCTGTAAATTTACCAGTATTATGACTACATTTCAACAAAGAAAAATTATTAAGAATTAAAAGAAGAAATGAATAAATTTTCCCTGAAGCTTTAGTAACCAATTCTGAAACTTATTTCACAGTTTAAATTTTCTAAGATATAATGAAAAAAAAAAACAACTTATAACTGACCATAAAAATTTAAACAAGTATTTTATCCAATGATTGTTTTTATTAAGTGTAAGAAAGCCTTACGAGCTTGTCTTTTGGTGAATTAATATTTTTAAATTGTGTAGTCAATGCAATCTGAGGAATAAGGATGCAAGCAAGGAAGAAAATAAAGGAGGAAAAATATTAAAGCAAATAACTAGTTGGTAGACTAAAAGACAATCTATTGAAACATATTCAAGGTTACTACATTTAAAACTAAATTTATAAAAATGAAATGGAAACAAACTAACTATAAGCTTGTATGATAAACAGGATATTATAAAAGTAGTACTTACAATTCCGACAAAACATTCTTAATTTATTAAAAAAAATAAAAAAATAATTGATTTACCTCGATGAACTGTTCTCCTCAACAGACTCGTTAATTTGATTGGACAGGATTTTAGATTTAGTTTGCCTTATGGCATTATTTTGAGAGTTCTGAACAATGACTGAAGCAGCACCAGATCTTTTGGGAGCATACTTTATAATACTTGATGTAAAGCTTTGTATAGAGTCCACAGAAGAGCTTGCTTTTGTATCACTTATGGAGGAACTGGCAGATGACTCTTCTTCCACAGCAGAGGAAGATGCATTGCTACGTAATGAGCGAAGAGAAGGGGCAGTATCTTTCTTCCTACAAATTGTATTTAATAAAGTTTAGATAAAACTTATCACTCTTTATAAAGACAAACACAGAGTGTCGTAATTAGAGTGCAGTGTTTAGAAAACTTCAATAATATATACAATGTACGGAGAGTAAAAACTAGACATAAAGAGTATGGCATATTGAAAGAAGTTTACTTTTATGACTAGATTCCAAGTCACCATCAAAATTTAAATATTTAAGATACAAAATTGTATATTTATAATGAAATAAACATTCTAGCCTCCCACTATAGAGACAAGTTTTTTTTAGAGAGAAATACACTTTTCTACTGTTTAAGATAGTAATGTTTAATATGCAAAGGCACAATGGGGATATTTTTTATTCATTTTAAAAGAAGGAAAAAGCAAACATGCATCATTCCTTCTTTAGGTTGTGACCTACTGTACATGAACTAAGTTGACAGAAGATTGAAAAAAAAAATGTATTGCAGGTTTGTTAGTCAAGATATGTTAGTAGAAAAATGGACTAGGGCTTGATATAGAAACATAGCTGTACACCATTCACAATGGGCATGTATCAGAAGAATTAACTACTATAACACATTAAGAAAACAGAGTTTGCTGTAAATGAAAAACAACTACCACTATCAATACATTTGGGCAACACAGTTTGCTATTGATTAAGCACAACAACTAGTTTGCTGTAGAGTAAGTACAACAGCTAAGTTAAATTCATTGTTACTATAGATATGGACAGGAAAAACTTCACATTGTTGAAGAGGAAATACAAGTGCTCGATGGCTAGAAGGTTGAAATAATCCTTTAACCCCCAAATTTCAACCACAGATACAAGTCAGGATATCACCTGTGTTGCTATTGGCATGACACTCAGGGCTGATTCTCAACGTTCAACAACTCAGGGATACAAAATTCCACATACAGAAGAAAAAGACATAATGGCTAAAGAATTCAGGTTTCCATATTTTCAGATGCATATATTTGATATTTGGATTTTTTTTAAACAAGTGTGAATTCAAGAGTCAAGTTATTAATTGAATATTGACAAAATTTACAATTTTGAAGTTAAATATGGAGGTTTGACTTACATACTAGAAAATGCATTTAAACAGGCCATAATTCATTTCTAAATATCAAATGCCTTTCTTAAATTGTAGAAACAAAATTTGAAATCAATATTAATTTACACCATAATTAAAACTATAACTTCAATAAAATTCATTGAACTGTCTGATACACGTAAGAAACTATTATTATTATTTTTTATATTTATATTGGAGTAGCAGTTAAAATTTATAAAAGTAATATTTCAAAATTCCGGCTAAATAAAATATACATCAATTTATAAGTAATATGCTTGAATATAAAGATTTCTTTAAATGCATTTGTATGATTTTTGTATGATAATTATGCTTAAAATCATACATTTGTATGATTTTAAGCATAATTATACATAAATTATTATTTTTTTCAAAATGTGTTTCTACAAAGTAATGCCATTTTTGACTGTTGCTTTAATTAAATTGAAATTTCATCAGTTATACTTTTTTTCTCAACCTATATAAAGATAGATAATAAAGAGTTCTTAAGAGTTAAGTAAATTTTTTTTTTTAAGTTTTCAGTATATTATAAAATATCTCAACTCTCTATCTTTTTGTGGTGTGATATATTCTTTAAAAATATACCTAATGATTATTTCCATATTGAACTTTGTTTATTCGTATGAAAATTGGAATATACTTATAAAACTACAAATATGTAATATAAAAAACATTTTTAAAAATAATCTAAAGAGATAAGGCAAGTTGTATGTTCATAAACTAACAATTTCAAAAGAATAAATAAATAAAAATGCAGAAAAGCATTAAGAACTATTAAAAATACACTTTAAATGAAAAATAAAGTTTTAAAAATCTCTTGAAACATGTTGTATATAAGCATTTTTTTATAATATATATATATACAGTTGAACTTGGATAATTCGAAGGGCAAGGGGTCTCTGCGAAACTTTGAATTATCCGAACTTTGAATTATCCAAACAATGTTATTTTTATGTCTTAAAATAATTACTCATAACAGAAATTGCGAAACAAAGATTGTTCATTAATTTTAAATTAAAACGTTACAATTTTTAAAAATATTTAGCTATATCAGATTGCTTTAAAGAGCTTGCTTGATTTTTTCTGACAAAATCTTCAAGAATATTTATAGCTCTAAACACAGCTTCACTTACGTCAGATTGTCCTTCTGCATAGCATCGATATTCTGATAAATGAACGACTGCCTCACTTGAAGTTGGAATTGGCCTCTGTTCTTCTACCTCATCTTCAATATCTTCTTCGTCTTCTGTTGTAATATTCTTATTGTTTAGAACTTCAGATAGAATATCTTTATCCGATAATTCTCCACAAATATCTATATTTTCATCCATACTGACGTAATCATCGAACTGAATGTTGTCTTCCCATGCAACTGGGGGAGGTAAATTTTCTTCATTGAAAATAACTCTCGGGACAGTGTTCCTGATGAATCCTGCCTTCCGAAAACAATTTGCTATTGTTTTTTGGCTGACTTTGGACCATGCATTTAAACACATTCTTGAAGCATCGAGGAGAGTAATGGGAAGCTTTTGGGAAGATTCAGTAAGGAGGTGTTGAACGACTAGACATCTGTAAAAATGTTTCAGATTTTTAATGATGCCTTGATCCATTGGTTGCACCACTGATGTCATGTTTGGCGGGAAAAAAACAACAGTGATATTTTCCATAGTGGGTATTGATTTATGAGCAGTGCAGTTATCAATAAATAGGATGGTTTTTCTGTTTTTTTTTGGTATGTGCGATTCAGATCAAGTAGCAATTCTTCAAAAATATGCGTCGTCATCCATGCTTTTGTGTTAGAAAGGAAGAAAGGCATCCTATAGGCTTTGATTTGACATTTTTAAAACACCTTGGACTTTCCTATCATCAATAATGGTAATTTCTCAGTGCCATCCATGTTCGATCCTACAAGTAAGGTGATTCTGTCTTTACTATGTTTTCCACCATTACATTTTTCACCTTTAAAAGTAAGAGTCTTTGCAGGGGTACATTTGAAAAAAAGTCCTGTCTCATCGACATTAAAAATGTCTCTGTCTTGTGTATACTCAATAATTTCGGCAACTTTTTTTTCCCACTCATTTGCTCCACCTTGGTTCACACTTGAGCTTTCACCACACACAGACTTGAAAGAAATTGCATTTCTTTCCTTAAACCCGTCTAACTATCCGGAGCTTGCTTTGAAGCTGCTGTTACCTAAACTGATGGCAAATTCTTCAGCTTTAGCATGTACAAGAGTTCCACTGAGAGGGATGTTCTTGTCCCGTGTTTGTTTAAACCACTTTGCAACACANGTAATGGGAAGCTTTTGAGAAGATTCAGTAAGGAGGTGTTGAACGACTAGACATCTGTAAAAATGCTTCAGATTTTTAACGATGCCTTGATCCATTGGTTGCACCACTGATGTCATGTTTGGCGGGAAAAAAAACAACCGTGATATTTTCCATAGTGGGTATCGATTTATGAGCAGTGCAGTTATCAATAAACAGGATGATTTTTCTGTTTTTTCTTTGGTATGTGCGATTGAGATCTAGTAGCCATTCTTCAAAAATCGTCATCCATGCTTTTGTGTTAGAATGGTATCCTATAGGCTTTGATTTGACATTTTTAAAACATCTTGGACTTCGTGATTTTCCTATCATCAGTAATGGTAATTTCTCAGTGCCATCCATGTTTGATCCTACAAGTAAGGTGATTCTATCTTTACTAAGTTTTCCACCATTAAATTTTTCACCTTTAAAAGTAAGAGTTTTTGCAGGAGTACATTTGAAAAAAAGTCCTGTCTCATCGACATTCAAAATGTCTCTGTCCTGTGTATACTCAATAATTTCAGCAACTTTTTTTCCCCACTCATTTGCTGCACCTTGGTTCACACTTGAGCTTTCACCACACACAGACTTGAAAGAAACTGCATTTCTTTCCTTAAACCCGTCTAACCATCCGGAGCTTGCTTTGAAGCTGCTGTTACCTAAACTGATGGCAAATTCTTCAGCTTTAGCACGTACAAGAGTTCCACTGAGAGGGATGTTCTTGTCCCGTGCTTGTTTAAACCACTTTGCAACACACTCGTCCACGTCAGGATAATCAGGCTCTCTAGCTCGCTTGCGATTTCCATTAGATTTAAAAATTCTTTCTTTATTTTTCAAAAAAGTCGAAAGAGTGTTAGGGGCTATTCCAAACTCTTTTGCGATGATGCATTTTTTTACACCCTTTTCTACTTCTCGAATTACAGCAATTTTTCATCGAAAGATAAGGTTTTATATGGGACACGGGGCTTACTAAATACATGCTGGTACTGAACTATCACTACAAAACTAAAATCACAATGTAGAAAACTCAAGTAATGTCGACTACAGTCCTAGTGTTTAATGCCGTGATTATACACCAGTTTCCCGGAGTCGGATGCAAGGTGATCTCATGAAAAAAATAAACGCACCACTACTAGAGGAACACCTGTCAATCAACTGCCCGATGACCTTTGAAGGACGACTCACATAGACATAACTTTTTTCAAGATCATGAAGACTCGCCTAGCCGGTGACAATTTTTTTCTCCTCCGCTCCGACCAATGACATGTATGTATCCTATCACGTGATTCGAAATACCCTTCCCGTCGTCCTTTCTCCCTCCCCCTTGTCATCCCTAAAAAATTTTTCCATAATAGCTGAAAGTAACCAGAATACTTTTCAAAAATAACTGCATTTAAACACTAGATTTTGTCATTTTTGAAAGGGTAAAAACTTCGAATTAAAGAAGTTGGATTCCGAAATAACCAAGATTTTTTAGCATTAACGGAATATACATGTGTCTAGGGAAGTAGAAAAGCTTCGAATTATACACGAATTCGAATTAAAGACGTTCGAATTATCCAAGTTTGACTGTATATACACATTGTAATTTGAATTTATAAAAAGTTAAATTAAAAGTTAATTATGAGTAAAAATAAGATAAATATGTACTTAATAAATAAAATAAAGATTAATAGGAATTTATCATATTTTAATTACAATCTTCAAGAGTATCAATATTGCTTTTTATTACCAAAATTTAAAGATTGCATATTGCTAAAAAAAAAAATCTTCATACAGAGTGTATCGCAACAGCGCATGACTGGAAATGTCATAGTACACTGATAGGGGCACTTTCCTTTTATGAACCATTTCAACGTATGTGTTTGAACAGGTATTTTCATTTATCAGATTATCATGTTTTCTAACAACTATTATGGAAAATGGCATTTAAATTGGTTCTGTATTATATATTTAATCTTAATTTAAAAAGATTTGGTTTGTAGTTAGATAAGCTAACCAAATTTTTAAATCAGGATTAAAAATATGATTCTTAGGTAATTTAAATGCCATTTTTGACAATAATTAGAAAACATGAAATTAAGAAAAAATAAAAATTAAAAAAATTGAAAATATCATTGAAATTTCATAAAAATAATTAAAAAAGGGAAAAATTGTAATTAGTGAAAAAAACATGCATAATGTACCTAATAAAATAAGTATTACTTTTTGTTATTTGTAGGCGATTCCTTCTCTGGGCTAGCCACCCGTTTTCTATTACTACTTCTTCCAGCAGACACTTCACTATCACTTAAATTATTCTGAAAGGAAGGAGCACCATTTTTTAATGAATGACTATTTAAAACTAAAGAGTTGTTTTTTCCCCTTTTCGTTTTGATGGGAGAAACATTGTTCATTCGGAGTGGACCAGCATACTGTTCAATTTCATCCAAATTCAAACAAACATTGCACTCTTTGATCAAACGTTTGATGGAATCAGAATCTGAAATGTTCACACTGATTCCATCAGAACTGTCCACCTGCACATCAGAATTACCGCCTTCATCTGATGAGACGGTTTCAGAATTCGAAGCACTGTCTTTTGTCCGTCCGCTCTTTTTAGTAATTCTTTTAGGTCTACCACGTTTTCGCACTGATCCATTTTGCACTTTAGTTACAGGGATTCTTTTACTCCGGTTTTCCCCCGGGGCAGCAAATTCCACATTGCTTTGACTTTGATGAGAATTTTTAGGAGCTGTTCTTTTTTTCTTTACCACTGAAATTTCCTCTTCGCTAGCTAAATCTTCTCTGTTTTCGTTGTCAGATCTAGAATAAGTTAACAAATCAATAATTGATTTAAAAATAAATAAAAATTGTATTATGCAGCAAAATAAGTATGCATGAACTAACAAAAAGAAAATAATTAGAATTCAAAAGAGAATAATAAGCATCTTAATTCTAATAAACAATAATTATCCGGTTATATAGAATGGATTTTTAGAATACGATAAATAACCAAAGATACAAAGGATCTTTGGTTACATATTTTAATCTAAAACTCCAAACTATGTAATATGATAATTAACATAGAGTGTTTTTTAGTTTACTAATAAACAATAAAAATACAATATTATTAATGAAGTATTTCTTTTAAATCAAAAAAAAAACTAAATATTCTGATTACAAAGCATACCTGAAGGTTGGAAAAAAAGGCAAAGAAACAAAAGACACATAATCAATGAATAATACAAACAAGAAATTAGTAATTCAAAAAAGGATTATCAAAATAATATGAACTCTTATTTTGTAAATAATCTTGAATTCCTTCTTCGTCTAGAAATAGCTAAGTTCAATGGAAGAATGTTTGATTTCTTCCATATGTGATTTTTTTTTTATGTTAAGAACTGTATTTATGAAAATCTGAATTGATAAGATGTGGTGAATATGGAAGATGTATATTAAAATTTGTTTTATTCTATTTCTTTGGAATGTCTGTTAAAGGGACAAAAAGTGAAACAAGTTATTATTTTAAATAATATTTTGCTTGTAATTCAATAATTGGCTAAACCAACAGCTTTGCTAGCCACATTTAACCAAAGGCATAAATTGTGCAACTTGATCTGAAAACAAAATAAATGCATATATTATTAGAATATCAATAATAGTTATTGAGATATAAATTACACTGATTCCACCTTAAAAACAGATTCACAAATATTGGCTCAATAATTGAACAGGCACCTTAAATGAAATAATGAATCTGAATATTTTCAGAGTTGTTAGGGTATCCTAGGTTTTCTTTCTTTCTTTCTTCTCAAAGTCCCAGCATCATGTTTGTAATGAATATATCAGAATGAGCTTATCATATAATTTAATATATGGAATTAACAATAAAAATCTACCCATGAAATTCATTAAACAATAAAATGCATATAAATAGAGCAATATATAAATTACAATAATTGCATATACCTTGAAAGATTGTCTTGAGTATTATCCAATGAAGTCTGTATTTGAGATGTTGTATTCTGAAGTTTTGACATTTCCGCAAAATCAATCTCAAAACAAGATTGCTAAATAAATTCAAAAATAGACTTTATTTGTTATCCAACATTTGATTCATCACAATAACTTTTGAAATTTTTTCTTGCAAAACTGATTATAGTAGTACAAATGAGAAGAACAAAACAGAAAATAAATGATCATTTTTTTAAATTTCAATTTTTAGTGAAAAATTTAAGTTATATTCTGATAAAAATCTTTTAATTGGGAATTCAGAATGAAATTTCAGTCATTTAAATGCAAATTAAATTTTTAGTTACGACATATATTTATTGATTTAAAAATGGATGGTCAGGACACTTAATCATTTTTTGTTTACAAAGAAAATGAATTTTTTATATCTTTCTTTTATATCTTATTAATAATGAAATTTTTTATATCTTTCAACTCTGCCAAATAACACACATTTATTTGAACTTTACTCAATTTACAGCAGTGCTAACAATTGAAACTCAAATCAATAATTTCAACAATTATTTACACATCAATGATTCAAAGTAATTTTTTAATATAGTACACAAAATAAAAAAAATATTGAACATAATAGCAAATGCAGACCTGCCAACATTGTAATCTGTATGACCTTACAATTCTGAGCTAGTGTTTTACTCGACATAGTGTTATACAGAAAGTGTTATAAGAGGACCTTTTTACACAAAATTAAGGTCTGTTACTAAATACACTTGTCAATTTTAAATAAATTATTTCTTAAAAAAATTCATAGTGAAAACAATAACAAAAAACTCTTTTTAAATCTTGACTATTTTATTATATAATTGTTTTAACACATACTTACATTTAATCACAATTTCAAAATTCAATTTCTAGATTAATAAGAAAAGGAAAAAATTAAATAAACGTTAGACTTAATTAAAAACATTCATTGCTTTAAATGCTCATATGTAGCAGACTTAGCTGCTTTTAGGAATTCTATATGGAAGGTCTGCTCATAACAACATCCAGTTGTGTGCTTTTGGCAATTAGAATGTTCGCTAGAGATTTATCAGAGAAAGAATTTTTAAACTGTGTTCTTTTTTTTTTTTACTATGCTGAATACCCTTTCACATTCTGCATTGCTGTGAGGTATGCTTAATATAGCTACCATGATTTTTGCTATTCTACTGTACTTTTTGAAACATCCATCATTCGATGTTATTTTAGAAATGGTATCCCATTTTTTGTCCATTCTTGTTTCCTGTTTAATCACAGAAGGTAAATCAGTAATCTGCATATCACTAAACTCCTCTAAAAGTTTATCTCTTTTCATATCTTCAGTTTCTTCAACATTTTCACTATTGCACATCGATGGGAATTTTTTCAAGAAGATATCAACATTTTTTAATCTTTTTGAGGGTAATTTATTAACATCTGCAACTTCAGCAGATAATAAAAACTCACTATTCAAGGGAAATTTCTGCCGTATATAGTTGCAGACAGCAATATAATAATTTCTTATATTACTACAAGAGAGTTGCCTATTTTCCATTTTTAAGACTGATATTAACTTGGAAGCAGCACTGCCAATTATAATATCATCATCCAATTTATGATTCTTCTCTGACATAAAGTTAATGTCCATCAGGGAAGAACCTTTAATAACGTCTGCTCTGATAAATTTTGATACAAATCTTTTAATAAATGTAATAATAAAGAATTCAAAGTATGAATTTTTGGCTCCTTAGATTGTAAGATAATTAAGGCTCTTTCAAAAACTGGGATAATGTAATTTAAAAATAAACAATAAGCTTTACAGATATCCAATGAAAGAAATAGAAGCATTTGTTCTTCCCTAGTCAAAGTTGATTCCTGTTTAGAAGATTTTGTTAAGGAACTTTTGGAACAATTACCTGCTTTTAATTTCTTTGCAGGCTTTTCCATTTCTGATTCTCATTCAGAAGTTTTCAAAGAACTATTTGAGCAATTACTTATCTTCAATTTCTTCACAGATTTTTCTATTTCTAAAGGTCTTTTCTTCTTAGAAATATGTTCATTCTTCACTTTGTTGTCATTTGCCGATTTTTTTAAAGGTATGGAATAGTCATTAAGACTATTGCATTTGCTCTTTCGACTTATTTGATCCTTATAAAAACTACACAGAGGATCCCATTGTTCCAGGAGTTCCCATTGTTCTCTTTAAGCATCTACCATCTATGCAACTATGAGAGCCATCTTGTGCAACTATGTTTCAAAATTTTATGTGCATCAACATCAAATAAAAGTTTGGAGTTCAAGTTTCTTTTTAGCACTCTTCTCTAAATAAAAAAAAAAATATCAACCAAAACATCAGTAACTGATACAGGTAACACAGCAGCCCCTCTTTCAGCAGCAATGTGTACTAAATGGCAAGGACAGCCAACAACAAAAATTTCTCGATTTGCTGTTTTAATTACAGCAGCGACACCATTCTTTGAGCCAACCATCACCGGAGCATTATCGCAGCTAAGTGCCAAACAATTTTCCAAAGGAATATTTTTTGATTTTAAAGTATTTAACACCAAATTACCAATGTTCTGTCCTGTAGAGCTTGAATCCAAAGTCGGCACGGCAAGCAGCGTTACCTTGACTTCGCCAGCCTTGGTGTCGAAGTAAGACACAACGATAGGATAAAGTTGTGCACCTGTATCGTTGCTGCCATCAGCATCAACATTTGTTTCTGAAGAGATTCAACAATTGAAGCATTTTTAAAGTCTGCTATTTTTGACACAATAGCAGCAGTTTTTGTTCGTCCTGCACCATTGTTCTTTTGCAACATCGCTTTTAGGGAACTTTTTCCTAAACAATGGGTCAGCATGATCTGCGACACTAATAGGTAGAATGTGTTCTACAATGAACGACGTAAAATACTCTTCGGCCCATATTACATTGTCATCAGTTCCAGACGCAAAATACTTAGTAAACCTTTCATTTTTATTAACACATTCCGCTAAATCCTTATGTCTCTTCGTGTGTATATGATCATTTATACCGCTTTTAACGACATGTGCTATTTTAAAATCTAGTTCGCAAACATTACAAAAGGCATAGTGCTGCAAATTGTTGGACTTAATTATGCAAGGAAAGCTTTTAGAATAAGATTCTAAAAATATCTGATTGTAAACTTTAGGTGGCATTATTACAAATAAAAAAATCACGCTGCAATCCATGTGCACCATATGGTAAACACAAACATAACCGTTGCCAAAATGTGCTCTTAATCTAGTCCATGATTACCGGTCACATGATCTCCTACATCAGAGTTCCCACTGGCTCATTTCGCCGAGGAGCATACCCACTCTCATTGGTTAACGATTTTTTTCGCTTAACGTAATTGGCTCTCAAAACCAACCCGATTACAACTAACAGGGAGTCGTTTTTTTGTGATGAGTTTCATAACTGGCACTTAAAATCTTGTAAACTTTTGAATTCATGATTTTAATAAGCAGGCTGTTAATTTAATTTTTTTTATTCTTAAGAAAAAACTTAAGAACAATAAATAAATACGCAACCGTACGATTTTAAAGCTTGCCCATACAGTCGTACTATCGAGTGAAATATCATACAAATTGGCAGGTCTGCAAATGTATTTAACTTAAAGTAATAATTGACAGTTGAAATACAAATTCACTACATAATAATTTCAATGACTGTTCTCAGATCAATAATTCCAATGATAACTTTCAGAAAAAATTGACACTAAAACTTAATAGTATTTCAACAAAGCTCTGCTTACCACCGGTTGTTCTTGAAGAAATTCAGGTGGTAAATACGTTCTCATATTGCTGTAGCTCTATATAAGAAAAAGAAATGACACATTAAATAATTCAGAACACATTAATAGCAATATCAACAGTAGGCACAAACGTCTTATAAACAAGATAATTTTGAACTTTTATATTAGACTGAACTAGAATTCCAACTTCATCAAAAACTCCCTCAGAAATTTTTAACAAATTAGGATAAGAAATCAACAGTGAATAAACAGCTCTTTTTAGTCTTTTTTATATTTCCTTTAATTACAACCATCAATATATTCAACCAACATCATATCACACATTAGAATTGTAACAATTGTAAATGGTATTTTAGAAACTGGGCACTCAGTGTCAAAATGATTGGGTATTTAATTAGTATTTCACGATACAATAGATAAAAATGTTTAAAAAATAAAAAAGATTTTTGCATAATTTTTTTTAATATATTACAATACCATATAAGGTAACTACGTGCAAATACTAAAAAATTGTGCATAACAGCCCCTTTTCATGATTTATTAATCTTACATTGTAGACTACGCTCAAGACCTCTTAAGTTAAGAGCAAGTGGTCCTGTAACTCTTTCATCAATTATAGAGATATTTCACGTTTCATCAAAATAAATAGTGGTTTGAATAGTTTTCTCAAGACTTTATTTATCCATTGACTCATTTTAGCTTTGAAAGCACAAAAATGTTGGGGTGATTTTCTAGGAATTAAGCAAATTTTTAGTCACTATGTTGGAATGAATGGTTCAGTTTCAATGGGTGTTAAAATAACATAGCGTCTATAGAAGATACTTCACGTAGCTGTAGTTATAGAGGGTACTAATGGGGGGAGTAAAAATAAAAAACAGCATATACTTTATTATACATAAATATGTAAATTACAGTATATAGAAATTTGTCCAAGAACAGGAAAACTTTAAAAAAAATTAATGGTTAATATATTGAGTCATATCTGCCCCATGTAGCAAGCATGCATTTTACTTGCGATTAAGATCAAATTTTTAAAAACAAATATTACCAACTTAGTTAATTGTGTAACTGAAATGAAAACATAACTCTATTCCAGAAAATGAGAAATTGTTTAACAAAGAATATTTTGTGAAAATTAATATTCTAGTTTAAGGGTTGGCAAGTTCTTGAAAATGGATGGTTTTATTCAGATTTAACTGTTGTGTCAAAAAACCTTATTGGAAATTGTTTTTGACATTTGTCAAAACCCCAAAATTTTGGTGCAAGGATAATTATTAGTCATTATAAGTATTAAGTATTTATAAACATACATATAAAATTACAAGTGACGAATCAATTATGTTCTTGAATTATTTTAACATTAAACTCTCTTTGCTTTGACAATCACTGTCAAAAACCTAAACTTTGTTGTGGAAAATATTAAATAATCATAAATAAAAATGTGTAAAAATGCAATTTATCCAATTCGTTAATTTTTTTTAATTGTTGAAAATAAAAATACAAAAACAATCATCTTATAAAAAGCACTTCACTATCATCTTATTTATTAGATGTAAAATCAATTTCCATTTATTATTATTTCAACCCATCCTTTCTCCGAAACATGTGATTACAAAACTTATTTTTCAGTTTTTCTTTTTTAATGAACAAGACTGAAATTTGAAAATATTCTTTCGATTGATGCTCAGATGCATAACTAGAATGTAGAGATACTGAAACTATTATAAAATAACATGTGATTAGTAAATTTATTCTAATAACTGTACTATATATTGCTAGTATTGATTGATTGAAAAACTTATTAACTCGTAAAAACAAACATTTATATTTTTTTGTAAACTATGATTAGTTTACTTATCAGGCATTATATTATAGCTCAGATTTATTAGAAACATTCATATACATTATAAGCAGGCATATCAGAGTCTAATATTTCCCCAGAACAAAGTTTTCTTCGGATCAAAATTTCCCCAAAATTTTAGAGTTTGTCTTAGTATAATAACTCTTTTTCGAAATATTTTTGGAAGTAAAGATTATATGAGAAAAATTTTATTTAATTTGCGCAATTTTTGGATAAACGCGCATGTGTGTTAAAAATAATAGAATGATTATAAATAGAATAATTTAAGAAAGGTTTTTTCTAGCAGAATGTTTTCTGAAATGTTTTTTCTAAAAAGGTTACAGAATTTTTCATGGTTTTGTCAAAAAAAAAAAAAGAAGGAAAAAAAAGCTTTGATTTCATTTCTAACTATTCCATGTTTTTATTGACAAATTTTATCTATTAAAATTTTTAGATAATAAATTTTCTTTTCCATATACATCTTTGATTAATTCTGTTCTTGATAACAGAGGTAAACTTGACAGGCATAATTGGATCATATCCTTATATAAGAATCAAATTTTAACTATAACAAAAAAATGATCAAATAATTACTAAATGAAGTATTAAAGAATTAAAACGAGCTTACTAGATCTGGATCAGTAAAGAATCTTTTATTAAGAACTGGCTCTGCTGGGAAGTCTTTTAGAATATAGTTTTTCTGGGACATAATTATGTTTAAAGCCAAATCACAAACAGCATACAGCCTCTAAAATTAGGAACCAAATTAAACAGTCAGTGAACAAAAAAGTGAAACAAAATCTAAAAATTGAGAAAAAGGATTAATAATGTACCTTAATGAATACAAAATTATTTCTTTTTTGTTGAACTACAAAACATTTTACATAAAGGTGCTTTCTAGACATATTAGTCAAGTTACAATTACTTTGAAGGGTAAAATTTTTTCATGCTTTAAAAAATTCAGTGCTTTTCTTAAGCATTTTTAGAAGGGTAGATACCTGCAAACACGCCCCTCTTTGTAAAAATAAGCTACTATCCTTTAAAAATACTACCTTTTATGAAAACCCACTTTTTATGCCAGGTTTCAGAGTTTTATTGAAGTTTTGTTGCATATTCAGAGTTTTATCAAGTTTATTTGTTAAGTTTTTATTTTTATCAAAGTTTTATTGTGCTGAGGCTAACAGTGTTCAACAAAATATGCCATAAGGAACAATCGTTGCTCTGAAGTTACTTAGAGTTGTTTCAATACCTGAGATGGAAAAATTTAAGTTTTGATAACTTTTTCTCTTTCTATAGTTTATTTGAAATTTTGAAAGAAAAGGGTTTCTTTGCATCTGGCACAGTTTGCAAAAATCTCATAATAAAATGGAATGACAATGCCGTGTTAACAATTGTACTAATAACGATACCATTTTACCCATTGCCAAACGATACAGTTGCAAAGAAAATAAAAGTGTTTTTTTAAAAATTTTTTTATAACCGTTGTTGAACATTGAACAGCTGACCCAATTTTCGGGCTTACGACTTCTAATGTTCAACTCTGTAGCCTTGTAATTTTGAACCCAACCCAGAAGACAAGAGAGTTCCTGGATCAAATATTGAGAGAAATTTGTCTTCAGGGAGGACTTATTGATGGAACTAACCCGTATTTGTGTTACATGGAGATTAAGACCACGAGAATCTCCCACGGTTAGCCTGACTGCAAAGGGACTCTAACCCATGATTCATCTACCACTGAGGATATTTCGCCAGCACTGTGGTCAGTGCCAGCTGGATGAGGATTCATATCAACCCGCCATCACCGGGATTCGAACTCGGTTTGCCTCATTGGCAGGCGAATGCTCTATCCCTTGAGCCATTGCGGCTCAAGAAAAGAAGTTGTGATTTCGCAACTCAACGTTATTTCGGATTAGAATAAGCATATGGGAGGTGTAGACCTACATGACAATGCCATAGCTGAATACCGCATCAAGATTCAAGGTTAGAAATGGTGGTGACCATTATTTCTAAACATCATTGATAGCGTTATAGTAAATTTCCAGAAGCTACATAGAATTTCAATTAGCTCAAAACTATCACTTAGATCTTATATAGTTATTTTCTAATTAAAATCTAAATCCAAGAACAATCCATTTGGTGAAAGTTCATTACGTGTTACCCATTCAAACAAAGGTTGCCCATCATCCACAGCTCTACTAATAGAAGTACAGACTGATAGAATCGGATATACAATAAATGGGCATGGAAAATAAAAACCAACAGACGATGTAAAGTGCGCAAAAACCACACGACTAATTTATGCATCAAATGCAAGGATCATTCGCATTCAAAATGTTTCGAACGTTTCCATTAAAAATATAAGCGTTGAACTAAACGAATTGTTCATTGATCTGGCCAATGGTGCGAATATGCATCATTTTATTTCTTAAATAAAATATTATTTTTCAAGCAGGAAACTTATTTCTTGTCTTAATGAATGTAATTAAACATATTTCAATGAAAATAATACATTTTATAAAATTCTTATCCTCGGCCTAAAATGGGTTAAAAAAAATTTATTCACAGTTTAAATAATAATTCCACACTAGTATAATTATCTGTGTTTATAGGTTTAATTTTGACAACTATTACAAATATTTACTTTATTCTCAACTGGCTCAATTCTTGATCAACTATTCTCTAGGGTAATTCTCAACTGGTTCAACTTTTTTTCTGGAGTTTAAAATTATTATTATTTTAAAAAAGTACCTTTTTTTTAAAATGAAAATTTAAATGTTTGTTTTCTCATAGTTTTCAGCTTAAATTATAGCAAAAAGCTTTCAAGTTGTTTATCAATTCTTAGTTTACTTTTTTTGAAAAAAAATTATACACTGAGATTATCTTTTAGCATGTCTTTAATTATATTTTATAAACTACAAATTCTTCTCATATTTTGATAATGAGTGAGAATTACTTTTTGAAAATTATTGAGGATCAAATTCAGTTATTAGATAGTATTACACATTTTTATAAATTTTTACGATGTTAAGTGAGTGCTCTTCCAAAACTCAAAATGCCCTTTTTTATTCCCAGAGAGAACTCTGAAAAATATTCATCATTCTAAAAATAAAAGGTAAAACTGTTTGCTACAAAAGATATTGTATATATATAATAGTTATTAATAACCTAGAATTTCAAAGTACAGCAGTATTTTATATGCAATACAAAAACAATTCAAGATTTTTCACAACAAGAACAGAATTTGTGTGAGTTCTAATACCAATATTTAATTAAAGTTCAAGACTTCCTTAATCAAGTAAAATTTTAATGTGGGATATCAATAATGTCAAAATGAAAACACAGTGAAAATGCTGCCTTACAGTTTTGTATAAAAGTAATTAAGGGAATAATCCCTCAATTCATCAGTTAAGATTTCTAAGATTACTGCATTGTCGATTAGGATCAATAAATTTTAAAATTAGATAAAAGAAACTATTCAATAAATAGGAAACTACAAAATTTCATCCAACAAGGTTTGTTACTGCATTTGCTGAAAATAAAAAAAAAAAGTAGATGCTTCTTGAATTTGTCACTGCAAATGCAAAATTGTTAGTTAAATTTTTTTCTCTCTCTTAAAATAACTAGATCCCCAAAAGTTTCAACGAATTCTGCAAGTCAGGTCATAAACCAGAACCATGTATATTATTAGTGGACAGTCCCTAAGTTTGAACTATTGAATATTGCAATTTTTAATAGCATTATCAGGGCTGCCACTGGATGAAAACAAGAAAAATAGTTGCTTTAGTTGCATCATATATGAAAAAAAGTCTCATAAATAGTCTCCAAGACATATAAAATAGTTGCTAACATCATATCCTCCTCTAACATAATTTAAATTATTTGTGCTGTAGTAGCATAAAATTCAAATAACAGGCAGTTAGATACTCATATTTTATAAAAAATGTACATTTATTTGTGGATTTGCCAACAATATATTCTTTCACACTAAGCATAAAAACAGGGAGTTTTATTTTTATCTGTTACAGAACAGTTGAATTTGAAACTTGAATTTCCTTTCCTGGTTCTAATTTGCAGCTGCTTAGTTTAGACATTAAAAAAAAAATAATAATAAATATTGCAATTTAATTCCGTTTTATTTTGTTTATTTTTCATAACTGACATATTTCCAAATTTTTATGCTTATCAAAAAAATTATGATCACAACTCGACAAAACGAATATCTCCATGTACCTTTTTTTCTATTCTAAATAGCTCTAAAAAAATTAACAACACATTTTGTGTAATTAAAGACAATTTCTCTAATTTTGCTACTTAGTTCAAATTAAAAGAGGGGGGAAAACTTAATCCTCAGAGATATTACATTAGCTTTCTGAAGCAGCAGGAGGAGCATTCACGTAGTGCGAATTCCAATTCCATCAGTCTGATAGGTTAAATATGTTTGTCATGCTTTTGACATCAAACAGTGAGAAATAATAAAGTTAGGATAAGACGAAAGTGGGGGAAGGGGGGAACTCCTGAAGCTATTCTTCATTTTAGTCGATTGGCTTAAAAAAGTCGCCGATTTTACGAAAATCATTGCAAATGAGTTGTTTTTACCCATATTTCTACTAAAATAGCTTTATTGCTATATTGCTTTAAAATAGTCATTTTAGTCGCCTTTTTAGTCTCCAATGGCAGCCCTGCATTATAAGTTAAAAAAAGATGTTGGATTAAAATTTCTAATTTTTCGATTCTTTTGATTTCTAATTTGATTATTTCAAAATGCACATTTGAATTTATAGAAAACAAGAAGGACTGAACCCACATTAAAATCAGGAATATCAGGACAAATAAGTTAAAACATTTTTTAATCAAAAAATTAGGACAGCTATGAGCCCTGCTATAAGAATACTGGAATTAATGTGCCTTCCAACTGTAAGTCAAAAATGGCAGCAAAAGAATACAGATTATGCATTTATTTAAATTTGATAATGCGTGTTATATAAAAAAATATTAATAGAAAATGAATATCAAATAATTTTTAAATTAATCCACTTACCAAATTTGTATCTTCATCTTCTGGATCTTGTTTATCCTTAGTTTGTTTTATGTTTTCAACAAGTCTCTTGAAAAATGCAAAACTGTAGCCTTCATTTTTAGCAATCAAACACTCCATAAACATTTGCAGGCAACTTAAATTAAATTTAAAAATAAAAATAATGGTAATTTTTTTAAATTTTAAACTAATACAATTTGAATTCTGTTACAGAATTCAATAGCAAGATATTGAAGAAAATGTGATAAAAAAGAAAGGTAAATATCAAATCAAGAATTGTAATTCCCATTAAGGTAATGAGGCTCAATACCAAGACTTGAGAATAAATATGAATACATTGATTGAAGTCTATTTGAACACATAAATTTATCAATTATTTTTAGTTCACAGATAAAAGGGTTAATATAGAAAAAGACTAACTTATTTCGTAAATTGAAAACTATTTTAGCTAACATCAAAAATGTCAAGACTTCATAAATAAATACTTACTTCCTAATTTTTTTTAAAGAAGAGATGCAGCTATAATCCCCGAAGAATGGAGCATGGGCTAATAAATGGATAGCATATGGAAGGGTGTATTCTGGCAGGTAGGATAAATTATCAGCTAAAAAAGTATATAATTTTTCAGATTTTCTTTTTAGATAGACAATAATTAAATGAAAATATATATTTAAAATTTATAAATGATACATATGAAAATTTCCTAAATTGTTTGAAATTGCTAACTAAACCAATACTTTTTTAATAGATAACAATTTCTTTCTACTTGATTTAAATGATTTAGGTAATATTTGGTATGGAATAAAAACCAAAGAAAAAAAAATCAGATTTAAAAAAGTCCAAAAATCTTTTAGATAAGTATTGAATTTTGAAATTTAAAATTAGATACAACCTTAATTTTAATGTTATCATACATTCAGGTGTGTATCATTAGTATCCTAAAAATTATTTATGAAAAGATTTTATCCATGCAGGTTTTGAATAGTCACTTATATATGGCCCTGGAAATGAAATTGTCATCAGAGTTTCTGCAAAAATAAAAAGGGAAGAAAAGCATTGGTCTCAATAACACGTTCCATGATATTGGATTGGTTGCATATCTATCAATCACAGACAATACATCTTTGTCTTAGCTATCACGATTCTCCCTTCTCTCTCGCGACTTTTTCCTGCGATAGTTTGTACATGATTGCACATATGTGCTATCAGGTCCAACGATCATGACTGATTTGAAAGCCCCTATCATAGCTGTTATAACACCAGTGTCAACCTTGTAGCAGAATTTTTTAGAGCTTTCTGCTACAAACCACTCCAGCACTAATATTTTTCTGCAAGAAACTTTGAATGATAACAAATACACGTTACTAATTTAAAGTAGCAAAAGCGTTGCTTACAAACAAAAAGCCTATTTGGATAAAATGAATTAGATATCATTTTTTTTAATAGAATATGCAATATTCTTTTATTCTAATAGTATGGGCAATATTCTAATATTCTTTGTAGGAGAAAAACGCAGTAATCGTTTCCTTTTTCACATTTCACCTTTTTCACACATTAAAAAATCTAATTAAAAATTGAGAAATTTGTTGCAGTAATTATCGAAAAGAACATTGACAATGAAATTATGCGAATCAGACTCTTTAAGGGGTTACTAAAATGCGTGTTTCGTTTCGAGATTCAGTTGTAATAAACATCATATTAAAAATGTCAAATTTTAAAAACCACTTGAAAATCAATATCAATAACTGTCAAAAATACAATCGAAACATTATGGATTTACGATATTATTGACATAAATTGTGATTTGCATCAGAGAGTGATTATTTAAATGTGTGATTCAAATTTTACACGTAGAAATTTTATTAACTGAGAAATACCCGGAATTTTAAAAACCCATGTAAATTGGTAGCTCTAGCAATAACATTGAAAAGTAACAAAAAAATAAAAAATTGAAATTGTTGCATTTAAAAAGTAAAACATCAAATAAGCGAAGAGTTTCACGTGTAATAAAATTGTTTAAAAAAATCATCAAGGATTTCTTCAAAAAAAAAAAAAAAAAATAAANGAAAATTCTTAGCAATAACTGTTGAAGGAACGCTTGAAACACCATATGGATCAATGATGATATTAGCGTGTTAAAAAGTGATTTATTGAATCCGCAATTCGAACTTTGCGTGCCATAATAATATAGGTATTAAAAAAATAATGAGAATCAATAATAGTACCTGAGCAATAAAAGGAACAGGGACTTATTTAAAAAAAAAAGTGAAAATTTGTTGCAATAATTGCCAAAAAGAAATGATCAAAACATTACATAATATTTTATGCGATTTAGAATTTTCCTATGCATATTATATTAAAAATATTTGATAGATTTTATTCAACCAAATTTATAAAAAAAGGAGAAAATATATTGTATTGATTGATTACCTCTTTTGCTATAAATTTGAATTTATAACAAAATCTGCAATTCGCCATCATAAAATGTAAAAGATGGTGTCCTTTAAAAAAATGAAAGGAAAGAACATGATTTCTGAAATAAAAATTTCTTTTAAACTTTCGCGATTTTGGAATAGTATATGTTTTTCTTTTTAATAAGCATTTGAAATCTTGCTAAAGCCAGCCATTACCAAATTTTTATTTCTCAAATGAGTATCGTGAGCATTTCTTTCCCTTCCTATGCACGGCATCTTTTGAATATAATTTTGCAGAAAAGAAAAATTGCTCTAAATTTTTGCTAAAAAGAAAACCAATAATTTTTACTTTCCATAAGAAAAATCTTTCGGCAAGAGCTCTGTAACATTCTGAGAAAAGTCACTGTGTCGCGACGATTCTGCCACGGGGAGTGTCAATACAAACAGGCTGTACAGTTTGGCAAGAATTATATAGCAGACTTGATGCCTGCTGTATAACAAAAAGAGCACATAACAAATATTTGTGAAGAATACATTCAAAACTTGCTTATATTACTTCTGCGTGATTTTTAATGAATACCTTCATTACATTTTGCCTATTGATCCTGTGAAATTAAAGCATTAATTTTCACTTACCCTACATATGACCCATAGGAATTTTAATAAGTAAAAACTGGAGGGAATTATTTCAATTTCTATAGAAATTCAACAAACCTTGAGTAACAGCCTTCTCTCTCAGCTTTTGCCGACGCTTTTCAATATTTTGTGTTAGATAGTTTTTAATATTGGCTTTAAACTCCTTTCTTTCATTTAACCCTCCCAAGGCAAAAACAGCTAAAAACTGAAGTGGTAGTTTAAAGAGATACAAGGCTTTATTCAGCTTTTTGGCAAAGATATCACAGACTTCTGGGCATGGATCCTGAAAAAAAAAAAGATAATAAATAAATATAAACATTTAATAAAGACACCAAAAACTGATGAAATACATGGATAATTAAAAGGGATAAAAGATAAAATTCAAAATATCCAAAAATCTAATGTCCAAAACTGAAGAAATATATAAAAAAAGATTAATCTCCTAATCATAAGATTTAACACATAAACCTTTAATAAGAATACTATAACATTGTTTCTTATGAAAATAAACATTGTTTACAAACTTAATTACGCGTCACTTAAAAATAAACAAATATCAAAAACTCAAAATATTACAACCATCTCAAATCTTTTAAAAGAAACACACACAACTTTCAAACTGAAGGATGCAGGGGTGCGAAGTTAGTGCTTAAAAAATGCATGCTACTCTGATTAGTTCAAAGTCCTGTGGATTAAAAGAAAGAAATTTTTTATTTGTTGATAATACAAAAACTATTCATACAAAAATACTATTTGCATGAATATTGTGACTATTATTTAAATTAACACTTTCTGATATTGATACGCAATTCTTTTCTAATAATGATTTTCCACAATTTCAAATTACTTTTTTAAATTGTTATGTTATTGTTACAAAATGAAATTTTAAATAAAGTGCTTTTTACTTTAATCCTACATAAAAAAAAGTAGAAACATATAATTTGTAATTAGAAATGACTTAATATTAATACTTTTCTAAAATAGAATATAAGTCAGAGTCAAACTCTTAGAAAAGTCTGGAATAGGAATATTTCCACTTCCGACTCTCTGGAAAGAATATCTGCTTTTCTAAAGATAATTCCACTATTTAACCATGGTAAAATAGATTCTCGACAATTCTATTGACTTAAATTAAATATCTGATATTCGTAAATTTCAAAAATCCGGAAATTCCAAATCCTTCAGCTGTTTGGCTTTCTGAGGCTACGCAGCAATAGAATAAGATTATATAAAGAACAAATGTAGACTTACATTTAAAACATAACCAAGGATTTGAAACTGTTTTAGGCTAAGGGCAACAGCATAATCGGGAACATGACACAGTTTAAGCATACGGCAAGCAGCACTCAATCTCAACCATGAGTTTTCCATGGGCCTAAAAAGAGGGGAGAAAAATATGACTACATTTTTTCTATACTTTGTCACAATAGAAAAGGTTAACATACATTTACTAGGAAGCTAAACCACCTGTTCACAAACCTTCATGATTGCTTTGCAATAATTGCTGTTTATTGGCATAAAACGGTTGAAATTATTTAACTAAAAATGTACTAAAAAGAATGCTTGTGCCTCCATTTCTCATATCTAAAAATTTTTCTTATGATACTATTAAGATCGATCATAAAAAGTTTTTTAAGTGATCATTTTTTGAAATAACATTTAAAATTAAAAGTATATTGTTATAACAAATTTGGTGGGTTCACAACAGTAATTTAATATTTTTGCTTACCAAACAGATGGATGTATTTTAAATACAATTTTTGCATTCCTCACTTTGTGCATGAAGCTGAAAGTTTAGTTCTATATCACTTAACGAATCTCTTTAACTGTAATTCTTAATATATTAATGTAATTTGCATCAAAAAATTATAATTTAAAAAACGATTAATAAAATCTGACATCCATTTAAATAATCTTAAAATGTGACAGAGAATTACATTATTCTAATAATAATAAAAACAATCCTCCTAAACTCTATAGAGAAATCAAACAAGATCAAAAACATAATAACAGTACAGTTAAGCATTGAGTATCGTAAAGTGTGGCGTGCTCTCTGCTTTCGCTTATAGCACTGCGTTTCAATAGGTAAGGCTTAATTTAGCCTAACAAGATTTATATGAGCTCTGAGGCTCTTCTTCAAATTCAACATGCTTCCACGGAGTCCAACAGGCTTACCCAGTACAGTTAATTTTAACCTTTAAATTAGGGAAACAAAAATATTTATAGCAAAACAATCACCTTATGACTTATATAAATTTTATGCTGATGACAACCAAACCAATAAGAAAATTAATGAGGGAAAATTGGTTCCTACGTAATTTTCCAGCTAATAAAAATGTATTGACAACAATGGAAAAGTACAACAGCATCATTAGATTTTTATATATAGTAAGAAATACATACATTTAACATATGCTAAAATTAAATATACATAAAATACTTTTTTTAAACATATCATACACATATATAAATACTCACGAGTTATGTCTTTGCTCAGTTAGATCACCACCATTTTCAATATATGTTGACAAACATCTCAAAGTAGTTATTGTGGGTTTCACAAATTTTTCTTTTCCGGTAAGCCATCGAACAATACACTTCATACCTTCAATCTATTTATAAAAATGCCCACCATATGATTTTTCTTTCTACTGAACTATTCAATAATAGTAAATAATATGAATTTGTCATCAAAACACAGAAAAATAAACATATAACATTCAATAGTACTCTACAGTAAAAGATCTTTAAACTGCAAACCTTGAAGCGTGAGGCTTTTCATTATATAGATATTTTGTGTTACAAAGATGATTTGACCAATCGCTTAACTTACCAAATAAATATGGCAATACATAAATCTGATGCAGATTAATGTTTTAAAATGATTTTTAAATAAAATTGATTTAAAACACAAAAATAAGCACTTAAGTACTCCTTATTTTCAAAATAAATAAATTATAACAGCATTAAAACAAATTTATCAATTTTGGTTTGCTTTAGAGATTGTAAAGTTGATGCATTTAAAAAAAATTGATGTTTATACTACCATTGAGCAGTTTTACTGTAGTACAAATATAAATTATCACAAATCAGTATAGTGGGCCAAAAATGTAAGGTAAAATAGTATTTTTAAATAGTATATAAAGCAAAATATACCTTCACTTTTGATTCATCTGGGAGATTGTCATAAGGGCCCCAGAGTTCAGTACCACCTCGGGGAAAATCCTGAAATTTTGGGAGAAAAACATTCAATGGTAAGAGTGGTTTTTCTTTTCTTTTAAATGTATATTTTGAGTGAATATTATTATTATTTAAGACTGCAAATAGGATATAAATTACTAAACAGCATATTCCTTGCAAATTCACTGATTACACAAAAGTTAAAAACAATATTTTGACAAAAGTTATATTTTTGAATTGGTTCTTGCCGAAAATTATTTTTTACCTGTATGCCAATTTGGGGGACATAAAATCTGCGTTGATATAAAAAATACCAATTCCATAGATTTCATTCGCTTATAAAGCCAAAAAATGGTAAAAATAAAAGAATATTAAACTGAATGTCTTTAATATCAATGAAAAAACATAAAATTTTTGGAAGGAAAAAAAATTAGCGAAGTAAAATAGAATTTGCAATAAAAAATTATAAATAAAAATCAGTTGGCAATTGCGCAATGAAATATGAATTTTTTTATTTTTTTTAGAAATTTCTCATTATTTTCATGGACAAAATGCGATATAGAAAATTAGATCAACTCTCGACACATTACTTTTTCTAATTTCTAAGGTTTAATATTTTATTACATTTTGCTTAAGTGTTTATCATTCAATTTTTCAACAATTCTAGGATTAAATAAGAGGTGAGTAACCTGCTTATCATTAAAATCGATAAAATTTTAAATGTGTGTGTGTGTATTTGGTAAGTTTTACTTATTATGCAAGTTCACAAAAGAAAAAAAAAAGAAAAGAAAAAAAAAGAAAAGAAAAAAAATACAATATAAGCAGAGTACTTACTCTGCCATGCATGANTTTTGTTTAAGTGTTTATCATTCAATTTTTCAACAATTCTAGGATTAAATAAGAGGTGAGTAACCTGCTTATCATTAAAATCGATAAAATTTTAAATGTGTGTGTATTTGGTAAGTTTTACTTATTATGCAAGTTCACAAAAGAAAAAAAAAGAAAAGAAAAAAAACAAAAAAAAAAACAATATAAGCAGAGTACTTACTCTGCCATGCATGATACTTACGCCATCATGCATAAGAACAGTTGAAACGATGAAGGTGACCATGTCTTTGAATTCTGGATTTGGGAACAAATGACGCCAGTTGTGAGCAATATGACCAGAAGATACTAAAGCAGTTTTAAAATGCTCAGATTTGAGAGTAAAATGAATCTGTAGAGTCTGAAAGAGAATTTTCAAGCAATCACTTCTTAGAACAACAAAATTTCAAAATGCCACAAGCCATTTTTAAGTTTGTATATAAGGCCGGAATTAAAAAGCTCTAACCAAACGAAACACTGCACAATTTCACAACTTTTCTGGTTGATGGCTGTGTATAAATAAGCTTGCAGGCTTACCCTATATTAGGCGTATTTGAGTACGATGTTATTGTGCGAGTTTATAAATTTTATTTTGATAAAAAAAAATAAATGAATAACTGATACAGCGTTACAAACGGACCTGGTCCAAATGATATCACAGAGTATGCTACATCTTAACATTCTATCGGTAAACATAAAACAAAGTAAATTAGTTGAAATCGAAAAATATCATAAAACCTTATGAAATATTAATTATACTTGATATATTTCTAATAGTGTCAAGCACTAGCAGTTAGGAACAGTAAGTTTATCATATAAATGAAATTATTTTTAATTAAATTAAGCTAAGAAGTTATTGCTTATACCTATTTCCGACTAATTTAACAGCGAAGAGAAAATTCATGATAAATGTGAGTAACAACAGTCTATTTCTAAAAATTGAGGATAGGGAATCATGGGTCATATTGCTTCTGCTTTGATTAAAACTCTAAAATACCAATTTCTTTATAATTGATTTCTTCTAGTAAAACATCCATTCAATAGAGATATTTTTAGGTAGTAACTGTCTAGAATACCTAATTTAACATATTTAGACATAATTCATATGAAAGTAGAACAAAGGAGAAATTATAGTCTAGTAAGATTTACTACCAATTGTAATTTTTTTGTTAAATAAGAAATTGTACATAGATTCTTTTTCACTGGTGATGACAAATACACAGAAAAAAAAAATTCCCTGACTTTTCTCAGACTGGTTTTATTAATATTTCCTGACTTAACTGGAGGTAAAAACTTCATTATTAATATTTCAACTACATCTTATTATTAAATATAAAATATGTTAACATAAAGTAAAAGTGTTAAAAAAATAGTTAAGTGTTTACATATTATTATAAACACATATATTTGCCATTAGTTCAGAATAAAAAAATTATTACAAGACATTTTTTTAAAAATTATTAAATTTTTAGGTACTTGAAACTCAAATTAATTAATTTTTCTGACTTAGAATTCCAGATGTGGTATTTTAGTTAAATTTCCTGAATTTTCCCTGTTTTATGACCGCCCTGTTAGCACAATAATCAAAACACAATAATATAGACTATTTCATCTACTAGCAATAGCTGGAAGATGAAATTATCTAATTTTTTTTCCTACATGCAGTTTTTTTTCGCACTTAATTTTTTTCTTCTTTTTGTACAGATACATAAAATTTAAAAACAGAAATTTTTATTTACTAAAATTTTTCTCACTAATACATAAAATATATATATAGACTGAAAAAAATTTACATATTCCTCCCTCTCACACTTTGAAAGTTATCATCACATCAAAAAGAAAAAAAATCAAGAAACAGTGAAATCACTGCAATAACTAAAAAAGATGGACGATAAAACCAAAAATATTTAAGGCATAATTACACCAATTGGGCGCATCAAAAAGGGGTTAATTAAACGTAAGTTTCGAGATTCACATGTTGTAATAAATAATATTCTATTAAAAATATCGATATTTTAAGAAATATGCAAAAAATCAGTAGTGCTAACTGCCGATAAGGGTGGTATAAATGTTTTGCGTAAATAAAAAAATTTAAATTAGTGGAACTGTGAGAAAATTTTGCTGGAATATAAATTACTGATTTCCGAAAATCAATGGTATTGAGATTCGCGGAATCCCACAAATTAGCGGAAGAATCATATGTTTATAGTACTTGCTATAAAACAAACAAAAGCATATACTCTACAAAACACAGAGAAAAGCAAACTAGTTCACATACTCGCATCAAGGTCATAAAAAATTCAGCCCTTGAATTTTCTGGCACAATTTTATTTAGAAGAAACACAGAATGCTTTGCTTGCATAGGTTTTCCATATTCTGCATATTGTAACAGTATGGGAGAAAGTTGCCTAGAGAAAAACAAAACAGACAAAGAATAAAGTTTACTAAATAAACCATACTTATGAAGATAAAGATGAGCGAAACTTACTCATAAATGGCAGGATAAGTTTCACTTAAATTTTTACAGATGTTGCAGAGTATTTGTAAGGCTGGTACAGTCACCTCCTCATTCTCAACACGAAGATACGACATCAGAAGTTTGAATGTTTCTTCATTTTGAAACAAAGCAGGATTTGATAAAGATAACATCTAAGAAAAGATTTCAGAATAAATACAAATTTCAGTTGGATCTCCTAGTACATTATAGGAAATGAAGAAATATATCTGAAATCAAAACACACACAAGTGAGCGACAAGATAATATCGGAGAACTCACAAGTAAACAGAACTACTAAACGGCCCACGGAGATAGCTATAGCATAAATTAAATGGTCTGTTATAATGTATTTGTGAGGCAATAAAGAGAGTTGTGAATAAAATGCTTTCAGAAAAAATGACATAAATAAACAAGTAAATGCTGACATTTTGTTATTAATTAGGCAATGAACTTTAGTTAAGCTAGTAAAGCATGTTATTTTAAGGAGTATTATAATGTTTTGGTGTTTCTATATAGACTTGGCACTATTTTATGCTAATTTATAGTAGTCAATAAAAAAATTTCAAACAATATAAATTTTATAAACAAAGTAAAGAAAATGAATGGTACATAAACAATCGAACATAATACTTAATTCAATGTTTACAATATGTGGTTTCACTGGTACATTAATAAATTCATAGGGGCAATAAATATTTGTTTCTTGTACAACATACTAACTTTAATGGCAACCAAGCTGAACGCACAGCACAACTATATTTAAATGTTCTTCAACCCCTCCTCTTATCTCAACACCTTAATTAACTTTTAAACAATACATTAACCAAATTTTTTTTCGCCATCTGGCAAGAGATAATTTCAAAGTTTTTTGAGTATTGAATTTTCGTAATAATTTAAAATATGTCAACAGCTATTAAATCCCACAAACAACCATAAGTATAAGTTCGGGATATTTCAGCATTGAAAAAGGCAAGCTCCGTCACCAGTAATTGATTTGAAAGTATGAGGCACCATAACACTATTCATGTTTAAAATTTCTACAGCTACTAAAATTATCAAAAATAAATTTAAATTACTTTGTAACGAAGTTCTTATTTTCATAAAAACACAAAATTATTGTAATTAAATACTTAATACATAACTAACCATTCAACACTACTTAAGACAACCTAACAAAATGAAATAAATATTGAACATACAACAAATTTTTTAACACTGCATAAATTATTACTTAAGACCATCAAACAAAATGAATAATAAGCGTGGCCAATAGATAAACACCCGAGTTGATGGTACCACATAAGAAGATAACGGAACACATAGAGAATATATGTAAATATTTTTAAATAAAAACAACTATATATGTGTGGAGAATATAAAAGCAAAAATGCGTAAATTATTTAAATATAACTTTGGCACTTAAAAACAGCAAAGAATACATAATAATTCTCAAGAAGAAAACTAATTTAAGCATTTATAAATTTTTAAAATGCATGATTTAAAAAACATTTTCTAGCAAACAGTCACACTTACTTTTATTAATTCAAATCCTTTCAAAAATGAATTTTCCAAACCTAAATCAGCTTCAATAGAACAATCTCCTTGGAATGAATTATCCACAATAGTCAACAGATGTTTTACGCACTCTTTGTCAATAATAGGTACAATGCGTGTAATCATTTGGGCAACAAAACTCGCTAATTCAGTTTTTTCTGTATTCTTAACTTCTTCCAATATTTCTTTCTAAAAAATAAAATAAAATAGAATAACAAATTGAAAGATACAAAATCAGTTTAATTTGACAAAAAATGAATATTTTTCTCTTAATATCGTTCAAAAATATGCAAGAGAATTCCATACTACAATACCACTTCTTTCTTTTTCATGGTTTGATTTCCTTTATAAATTAGATCATTTTTATCTTGCAAGATAAGAGTTCATTTGACAACTTTAGAAATAATAATTGCTTCAACTCAAACTCTAGTATATGAAGTCAGTATCACAGTATATGAAGTAACAACTCAACTCACAGTATATGAAGAACACACTGCTCAGATTTCGATGGGTATGAAATGTACAGGATAAATTTGATTCATATTGATTCCAAATTCTAATACAATACACCTGAGTAATGATTCTGAGAATGCAAACAATAAGGGTAAAAGAAAACAAGTCTGCTCATTCAACTAAGGTGTTATCTATTCATCACATTAAATCAACTTAATTTGATGGGTTTAGTCTAATGTACAGTGCACAAAATTAAAAATTAACCACACTGAATAAATTTTAATCTAATCTATCTTATTCTCATTCCAGGAGTTCAAACTTAGTTCGAAGGGGTGATCTCAAATAAGCTAGATAATTACTGCAGGCGATATTTTAAGTTACAAAATCAGACGTAAAAACTTATCTTCTCTGAATAAATATATAATTTTTTCCGATGAATTCGGATTTTCGACCCCCAAAATATAGGTGGTAGTATTTCTTATTATTCTATTTAATAATTGTTGAAAAAATTCAGAATCGTAAGGTATACGATTATTTACATCATTTTAAAGAATGTAATTTTACGTAACAAAATTTGAGCAATATCAGATGAATAGTTCTTGAGAAATTGAACTTACGATATTTTTAAAATTTGATTCTCAGGAACTATATAACTTTTATGAGAGGGCACAAGAAACTATAACCGCTTTGATTAAAAAAAAAACAGTATCTTTTTTTAAAAAAGAGAGTAAACACGAAATTTAGTTATAGGAAATAAAAACAAGTACTGAATGTAAGCCTATTCGTGGATAAGCCAAGAATATGCTTTCTTAGAAAATTTACCCATAGTTCATAAGCAAAGAGAAGGGGAGGGGAAGGAAGCTATCTTTGTGGATTACTTTCTCAACTTCCCTTTTGCATTACTAAGCCATCTAAGTTTACTGACTTTTACGTTTAACCGAGACTTTTTTGTATTGTATTTATTTTTTATCGTCACTTTTATGTGCTTCCTTTTCTAACTGTTATTTTTAGGATCTTATTTTCAATTGCTATTTTATGAATTTATATGTGCCATTTTTAAGTATTTAGCAATCTATAGCTAATGTTCAACTGAACAAAAAGTGTTATTGTTGCCAATGTTCACAAGAAATTTACAAAACAGGATCTGATTATGTGCCAACCCTCTCAATTAAGCTTTAAAAATTCTTCCAAAATTTATCAGCCTACATTTGGATATATAAGATAATCAGGAATAATTATCATGAAATTAATGGTAGAATGATCAGGTACTCATAAAAATAATTGATCTATAACACACTTTGAATTACAGTGTATTAATTGTAATAACAAAATGACTGAAACTAAAACGTACAGAACTATAAAAAAAAGTGATATGACAGTAACCACCAATAATTGAATATACTTACATAACGTATGGCTGCTGCAGAGCAAGAAATGCTTCCATTGGCAACAGAACCAATAAGGGTACTTAATCTAGCATTTTTTTCTAAAAGTTTACCAAAGGCAGTGGCATAGGCATTTCCTTTATTTGGTTCTTTAGAAAACACTAAAAATAAATGTTAGATGACTAGTACGAAAAAACATCTGCTATATAGTTTAGCAAAGACTATAATATTAAACAGAGAAAAGCTATGATTTTTTTTTTAAAAAATACAATGTAATTTATCTATCTTGAAATATTTTTTAAAATAAAACAACTTACCAGTTATTTATTTTTAAAAAAAAAATTTCTCAAAATTAGGATTGGAAAGTGTTATAGTAAATAAATAGAGAAATCTAGTAAAATTTTATATTTTACTTTTCATGAAGAATTATCAAGTTAAAATGAATAACTGTTTGAGATTGTAATGAAAAATAGCTTAATTGTTAACAGTAAACAATGAGAAAAGTATATTAATACAAGTACTTTAGAAAATCTTTTTTCTTCTTTCAAGTTTTTACAACATAAAATTAGGATTAGAAAAATTTTGCTATAGAGAGATGAAATAGTGGAGGTAAAGAATATAACAGATTAACTATGTAATGATGAAATAGCAAAAGGAAAATCCATTTTGCATAATATTATTAAATAAAAAAGAATTCCTTACAACTATACATTTACATCCGTAAATAAAAAAATTTAATAATAAAATGAATTGAAGGGAAGGCAAAAAAACAATTTGCATTAGAAACATCAAAGGAGAAAAGAAGTTGAAATTATCCATTGAAGATTTTGATAAACAAAATAGAATTTTTTTTCTTCTTTAACACCATTTAGCTGTTATTTGCTTACATGGAGATGTGCTTATGTGATGATGTACCTAACTGTGGTTAGTGATAGAGATGCAATATACTTACAACCAACTTTTTAGAATTTCTTAATTGCGTTAAAGAAAAAAAAAGATTTACTATTTTTATAACTGGTTCAAACTCATGAAAATCTAAAGCGAAAAAAAAAAAACTTAACTTCATTCAAATTTTCGTTTAACCGAGGATAAAGTTTTGCATAAACCTTTTTGGGTTTTGCCCTTGAGGTTAAATAGATTTTTTAAGGTAGTGATAGTCAATTTTAAATGACAACATGTGGTTTTTTTTAAAATTTAACAAACCAAAAATCCGTTGGCAATAATTTAGGCATTTATTTGACACATATACACAATATCATAATCAAGCTGTTAACCCATCTGAATACGAGGCTCAAATGAAATTTTTTGGTCTCCAAAAGTAAGTCACAACTCATCTTTATTAGGCATGAGACGAGCTTGGATACTTCATAGTAGCTAAGACTAAGTTTAGGCAGTAATTGAGGCTCACACTCTTTCTATGGTATTTAAAATATTGTTTTCTTATATTTTTGAATGGTAATAAAAAAATCTTTATTTTATTTCTGTTTTTATTTTATCACCCAAAAATCAAATGGTGATCAGATATTTGAGCCTTTATTTGATTCATGAAGATTTTAATGAGAGGTAAATTATACCAAGTCATGTGTTGCAAAGCACAAAATGTTGAACCTAAAAATAAAGTATTTGAAGCTAAAAACAAAAAAAATCTAAGAAAAAAATTAAAACAAAATTTTTTTTTTCCAGGAAATATTCTGGAACAAGGAAACAATTGCAAAGAATTCATTCAATAAATAAATGTGGTTAAAAAATTTAGGTACTTTTTCAATCGTTCAATTAAACACGAAGCATATTCAAATGTGATAAATAAATTTGTGATGTGTTAAATTAAAATAATTTTCACAATATTCATTTAAGTCATATTTTTGTTCACATACTTATTTCCACGAGATTAAAAACTTTGTTTTTCTTCTAATCTATAGGATTTAACCAACCAGAGCAAAAAGCAGAGACCTGACTAAATAAGCTAAGGCCAACAAACCTCTTTTTAAAAACATGTCTTACTTTAAGAATTAGATTAGTTTTAGATGCAGAACAAACTTTCATATTCAAATTATTTCCTATCTTTGTCTTTGATATTTTCAAAGTGTAAATATGTAATCTAAAATAACTCTCAAAGATAAAAATTGTAAGTTAAAATATTTATTGAGGATGATATAGTGTTATGACCAACTGTGAATAAGATTTCTTAAAAAAAAAATGAAACTAAATTACCTGATAGCACTGGAGCAATTTTGTAGACGTTATACCATTTCATTTCATAATTGTCCATGTTCATTACTCCTAAAAGTTTATTAACATGAGAGCGCAACCTGGGATAAAATTTAGGATTATAATTACGATAGAAAAATGCAATTTGTTTTAATTTAGTGAAATATTCAAATAAATTAGAGAAAAAATTGCAATTTTTGAATCAACATAATCATTAAAAGACAAATAATAAATATAAAAATAATTATCCTGCTTATAATAAAGCTAAAATAAAGTACACTTTGAACAATAGTCATTTAAATGCCTTTCACAAAACTATCCAAAAATAGGCAAGTATGACTGATAAGAACTTATATAAAATATTTGTAAACTTATAAAAGAAGTGAAGTTTAGAATAATCTAAAATGCTTAAATGATTTTAAAAATAAGAAAGTTATAAAATGTTCACAAACCAAATAATAAAAATTTTTACACTTACACATTTCTTGTCTTGATCATTTCAGCTAAAGCCCTGTAAAAAAAAGTTTTCTTAAATTCTTTAAAATAATTATAATTTAACGAAAGTCTAAATATAATAGAAAGTTTAGCTAATTATAAAACAAAATTATTAATTAATGCGTTAATAATGACTGAGTTTAAACAATAATAGAAGGTGTCACAAATAGCAAATCAATAAGATTCTATCACACCACAATATGTGTAGTTAAACATCATAATACAGTACAGAACCCGTTATCCGGAAATCAGAAAACCGGAAAACCAAAAAACCGGAACGAAATTCGCTAAATTTTCGCGCCATTTAAAAAAAAAAATTTTTTTTCCTCATAAGATTTTAGGATTTTTTTTCTTTTTTGAAAGATGTTTACCTTACCATCATTTTGGAAATAATCATTAGTGTATTCCTTCATCATTTTTTCTTCTTTTTAAGATTATTTCCAAAAAAACATTTTTTTGTTAAACAATAAACAAACGGCTTTTTGTAGCGATTCAGAAAACCGGAAAAATCAGTTATCCGGAATAGCGATGGTCCTGATCGTTCCGGATAATCGGTTCCCTACTGTATTAAATAAAATATATCCAGCAATATTTCAAAAATTGAGTTCAAGCAGCATATTATTATCCAGTTTTGAAAAATGCAATCACATGTTAATAAAAAATACAATTAAATACTATCATAAAGAAAAATCAAAGGATTAAAATCAAATTAAAAGCAAACACTTACTTCAATGCAGGCTCATCTATCGTACAATATAATTGATAAAATAATTTCATTCTTTCTTCTGCAGGTTTCCGGTAAGGGACCACATAACGATTAAAAAGCTGTTCTACAAGTTGCCTAAAAAGAAAAATTAAACTTTTGACTAAAAAGCTTACATGTGATCATCTATTTTAATATAATTACATAAATATGGTTTATTAATCTAAACAAGCAAAATAAGTTTTAAATATTTAAATTTGTGAACTAAACATAGTAATAATTATGCATAAAATAATGTATACAGCAAAATCCAAATTAGGACGAAAAAATGTATTTGATTTAGCAAAATAATTTTGGCTCAGATGTGAAAATAATACAGCTGTAAGCTGTTTTAGCATAAAATATTTCACAAAATAACTATTTTTTCAACTATATTGTTAAGTTATTCTGGTCCCAAGGTCGATAAATGTTTGTTTGTTTCTTTAGATATTCATTTATTGACCATTTAAAATAAAACATTTTAAATGATTTGCTGATATTCATGACTTACTTCTCTTGTACACTTTCTCCATAATATCGATGCAGGATTTTGTTCTTGATCCAATCCAATTTAAAATTTGCGTCATACAGCACTGGTGGAATTCCTTCATCAGTCCAACGCTGGCAAAGTTTTCCAAAACATGTCAGGACGGTTTGGCGAATTTCATACTAAAAATTAATCAGACACATTAGAGTTTTAAAAATAAAATGGAAAGTGTAAGTTTTTTTTTCTGTTCTGAGCTACTTGTAAGTCAGAAACATGTTAGGACCGTTGGACGAATTTCATAAAATATTTCATTTCATATTGCTATTATGCCATTAACAGGAATTAGATATTTCCTAGCTTTACAGTATTATTTAACACTTAAGTTCATAGTTAAACCACTAATCCTTTTCACAAACATATTCATAAAATATTTTTCACACGAAAATTATTGATGAGAAATAAATAATTTCAATTTTAATGACTGCTGAAAGTCAATTTTATCATTACATGTTGGTGCTAAAAATTATATCAGTTATATCTTCCAGCACATAATTTCACTACCCTTTTGTACTTATCTTCTTTTTTTTTTTACTACCTTATAAAAAAGAATCGATTTTTTTTGTAACAAAAAAAAAGAAGAAAAGAATGTAATAAAATGATTTTAAATTAGAAAAAATATTTTTTCAAATGAGAAATAAACATCCATTTTGCAGATGATAATCTTTAAAATAATTAAAACAGTAATAAGTTAAAATAGTTTTATAGTATGTTAACAATACTTAAAAGAGTACTTGGAAAGCACATGGTTGTTTACAAATGGATTTCTAAAGAAATTATTTGGTTTAGCTAAATATTCAGCAAACCAAATAATTTTCTACATGATATTATGATAGTTCTCTAGAGGTGAGTAGGCACTTTATTTACATTGTACTAGAAGTGCACAATGGGCTATAAGCGATGGTCTTGGAAACATCCTTGAAGATGATCCAAAGACATGCCATCACAGTTTTGATCCTCTGCTTCGGTAGCCCAGCGATCTGTGCGCAAACTTGAGCACTTTTGGTAGAACAGTTTAACGAGGCCCGATACAGTGCATCCTTCATCTCTACACAGGCTGATCAAAGTGGTCACCCACCCGTTTTCTGGCAGCAGTCAGTGATACTTGACTTCGGTGTTCTACTGGGAACTGTGTATTTACGATCAGTCCACTGCAGGACGCTTTCTAGAGGTATAGAATATTGAATAGTAGCAAAATGTACCATGCATTCCTAAAAAAGCTACAGTTTTGTTTAAATTATAAAACATAGAACTTACATTTTTATCTCGTGCACGCTCTTGGAAGCTTTCCCACAACTCAGGATCTAGGACATCGTACAGCTCTGGAACAGTTTCTGAAATGGTTTGACAAGTCTGCTTGCGTACTCTATCATCAGGATCAACAATATTGAACATAAAGCATTCTAAAATAAAATATATTATTTTTTACATCATATTTTTTAAACATTTAAACTTATCAGGAAAATTTGAAATGAAACTAATGTAACTTAAAAAGAAAGACTCTATCAGAAATTAAGTAAATTAAATAATAAAGGTAATAATATTTTGTAAGAAAGAATAGAATTTAAGCCACCGGGAGTTAGTTACAATGAGCCAATTGCATGTCAATAAAAGAGGAATGACTTGATTTTATCTTAATTTATAAAAACTGTCTCAGAACACCTTTGTACAAAAAATTTAAAGTGCAATAGCTGCACATTATTTCAAAAATTCTTACAAATCTATCAGGGGTTTTTTTAAAGCCAACTTTTCAAATTATCCAATAGGATAATTTGAAACCTCTTTGTAAAATTATGCGAGTAATTTGTTTTTATAAAATTAAATTTCAATAAAAAAAAACTTTTAAAAATCAAAAATAGTAAAATTTTATTAAAACCAATATGCATTTTGGTATCACATTATTACACCTTAGGGAAGGTTAAATGGCAGGAATGACAAAACGGAGACTATGTAATTCAACAGAGGTTACATCATAGTAAAAAGATAAATATACAGTTAAAAATAACATAATTAACTTGACAGTAAATGTATTAAGATTAAAATATTAATTACTCTAAATATTTGAAAATTATAGTATAGTAGTAAGATCATTAACAATAGAGTTTTCGCTTTTGTAAAAAAATTCCCAGAAATCAATGTTAACGTATGAAATACATGTATATGAATGATATCAAATAAGTAATGATATCAAATAAGTATATGAATGGTATCAAATAAGTAAAGATAAGTGTAATTCTATGTGGAACATACATGGCTAGAAATTCTTAAATTTACATTAAGGGGGGTAGCCAAATGTTTCAACAAAATATAAGCACCTTTTAAGTACTTTATGAGCACTCAAAAAATATTTTTAAGCACTATATACATTAACAAAATGCAAAATAATTTTCAAATACTTTACATGATCATGATAAAATAACTAGTTTCTGACAAAGAACTCTTTTCTTGGTTATATTAGCCACCATAAAAAAATCGATATTTTTCTGTTCTATTTCTCTATTTCAGAGGGCTGAAAATGAAGCCTGAAATTGAGAATATCTTACTAAATGCAGCAGAGTTGCACATGCAATAATTTAATCAAACCCAGCTCAGTAGGCGCACGTACGGTTTCGCAAGTATTTCATTCAACATGTAAAATGATTGGTGCTTTCATACGCTATGGATGACGGTAAGCCGAAATAGATTGTGGTTGAATGAATTGTGAAAACGTTAAATAGAGTTATGTGAAAAGCATGCTTTTGCATCACACATAGCGAAAATAGACACGGTAAAGAAAAAAATCTCATTTTCGAAGAGGGAAAATTGAACACTTTAAAATAAAATAAAATAATAAACAATAAAAAAAAGCACCTTTAAGGGCTTTTAAAAATGAAAATAAGCACCTTTAAGCACTTTTTAAAAACACAATGCACCATGTACATTGTATTTAACAAGTATGACTACATTTTAAAATTATACTGAAATTATGTGATTGGAGCAAAGTATGTTATTAATGATTTTGAGCATAGGGCCTGCATCATTGGTTCTATATGATAATAAAAAAAACTATACCAATCAGGGCTGGTTTTGATGTTTGTGGATGATTCATTAGTAAATTTTTAGAGAACTTCATATGCAAGCAGCGAACTTTAGTGGATGCATCTTTATATCTATTAAAAAAATAAAAGAACATTTAAAATTTTTTTTTCAATTTTTAAATTTAAAAGTCAATATAAAAATCAAATAATAACCTTGAAATATAGCTGCTCCAGAGGACTTTATTTTGTTCAATCATCTTTGATGATTTATCAGAGAACAATTTCGACAGAAGTGTCAGAACCTCAATCCGTTCCTCTTCCAGGCTGGACTGTAAATTATTTAAAAATTTAAATTTAATATATATATATATATATCTTTTAGAAAATTACGAGCAATACATTGTTGTCTTTACACACATATGCTCATAAGTACAGACCAAATTTTATGCAAAAAAATATTTATTGTTTTAAGTTTTCTTTTATATAGAGAAATTTGATGTGTCTTAAATAATTTGACAAAATTAAAAATTTCGATAGTATATTGTTAGTATTTAAAACAATAGACAAACCTACTTCTTATAAAAACATGTTTAATTTTATCTTAAAAAACTATGCAAAATACAAAATTAATATATAAAAATTATTTGCATATTTTTGAAAACACAAATTAAGGGTATTTGATCTAGCATAAGAAAGGGATACAAATTATGGAGTTAATATAATACAAATTTAAGAGTTAGTATAACAAGTTAAATAACACATGTCTAACAATTATACTCCATTTAGATTAAAAATACAACTTCATGAAAAACAGTTAGAAATTAAAGTTATGTTTTACAGTATAAACCACATAAAATTATTTATCCATATTAGTTCTTATCTGTTGGCTGGGTACCAGAATATTTCACGACTTAGGTGGATTTAAGACAACTTAGTTTTTAAAACTAGGAATTTAACAGGGTACGTAGCCAAATTATTCAACAAAAAATCAGCACCTTTTAAGTATTCAAATGTTTTTAAGCACTGTAAATCACAATTAGGTAGGATTGGAAAGTTTTTGACAATTGACTGTTTTATCTAGTTTTAACCGTCACGTCAAAAAAAAAAAAACCTTTCAGCATTGTCTTTGACAATTGTCAAAATCTTTGAATCATGCAAATTGAATGGCGTTTTCATATGCTACGGGGAAATAGATTGGGGTTGAATTAATTATGAAAACACTGAATAGAACAATGTGAACAGTGTCTATCTGCATAATTCGTAGCGAAAATCAACATCATAAAGGAAAAATCTCATTTTAGAAAAGGGAAAAAGAAGCATTTTTTAAAAACACACAATGAAAAAAGCACCTTTAAGGGCTTTTAAAAAACGAAAATAAGCACCTTTAATCACTTTTTAAAAACGCTATGCACCCTGTTTAATATCAAAAGTATTTTTATGAGTAATTTTATAGTTAGTTTTTTTCTAAAAAAATTATTTTAAAAGAGGGAAACTGAAATTTTTATTAAATAATTATAACATCAAATGAAAACTATGAACTTCAAAAGATTTGGAGGGTACTTAACATTAAAGAAGTCATAACATTTTTAAGCATATATATCAGATACCATTCAAAGATTGAATAAATTTATTTTACATTAAGTTGTCTATGATTACATTTGAAAATGTTGTCAAAATTTACATAACTTGAAAATATGCTAAAAAATAGATTTAAAAATGAAATGAAGTTTAAATAGACTTACCATCAGTTTATTTTCTAAGTTATTTACCACCACAATAATTTCAGAGGGAATGATTAGATTCAGTTCATATATTAATTCATAAAGATGTTCAGAAATAACATCCTCTTGCTGACCACCCATTGCTTTAATAAATGTCTAAAAGAGGTAAAAAACAATTAATTAAAACAAAAAATTATTCCAGAAAATAATAGATTATGTTTAAATTTTGAGCCAATCAAATAATTCATGTTTAAATTTATGTTCATAATTATTCTGAACTGAAATAAAAGAATGGTTTTTAAGTAAAAACATATTCTTATTGTATATTTAATACAGTACATTAATACAGGATTTTGTATATTTAATATATAGAAATATGAAGAATGGTTACAACAAAAATGTCCAGAACTAATATATGCCCATAAGTGAGTAAATCGGTCTTTTATTTTATTTTCATCAGTGAGCATTTTTTTAAATAGCTTTAAGTTGAAAGAATTTTCATGTTATTTCTGATTTTTCATAATTATTACCATTCTTATCAATAGAATCTGTAATTGTTTATTGTCACATTTAACTAGATTTTATAATATTTTAATGCTAGCTATTTTATGGTGGCAGAACATTATTTATCATAGAATAAATAATGCTTTAAGCAGAGATTCGATTAGATTTAGGAAACTATGGATCCTTACGACCCAAGACTTCCATATTTCTGGGTTCTTTAAGCCAAAAGCGAGTCCTTATTTAAAATATGACTTTTCATTCATCTATTAAAATATTCACGGGCCTTTTTATCCCTTTATTAATGTTCATATTTGTAATTATTCTACCTGTTAATAAACAAAATCCAAAATAAGGAGATGTTTTTTTTTTTTNGCAGGCACTGAATTTGAATCTTTGCCTATACTATGCCAGAATTGTTGCTCATTTCGCGTTACCCAGTGGGCACCTGTGAACCAAAGTCACGGAGGCGAGCAACATTGCCCACGCCACACTGCCACAAACCCGTTTATAGGGTGGGCCACATTACACATAATGCGCACACACAACAGAGGACAGTACAAAGAGAGAGAGAAACATCCATGCCCGGAGCGGGATTCGAACACGCAGCCTATGGCTTCGCAGTCAGGCACGCTAACCGCTCGGCCGGCAAATAAGGAGATGTATATTTGAACAATTAAGGCTTTTAATTAAGATTGATCAAAGAAAAGCAGCAGAAGAGAATTTAGCGAAGACTTTTTCAAGATTTAGAATACTAGTCCCAACTTATTTTTCAGGTCTTTACGCTTTTTGGCATATTTGACGTGTTATGGTACAAAAGCAGAATCACTATTGAACGTTAGGTGTGCTGGGAGTGTAATATGTATCTGATTTAGTATAAATGGACACAAATTCACATTTGCAAGTTTAAAATTTCAATGCTTTTTTTTTTAATAGTTACAATTTATTTTTAATGTTAAAATATTATTAAATCATTGAACATCAGAAATAAAAATGCCAAATGATGATTAACTTGTTTCTTTTTTTAAAGATTGTTTTTCGGAACTGTACATAAATTAAGAGAATAGCAGACTCCTCTTAGAAAGATTTTTGTTGCAGATGTGCATTTTGAGAGTCAAGTACAAAAATCTAGGATATTCTTGCAATATACTTACAGTTTGTATATATGGTTCTAATACTGTTGCTGTCTGCTTGAGCAAATCTTGAGCCAAATTGTAAGTTCTTTCACAAGAAGACTGAAATTGTAACATAATCGTTACTTATAAATTAGAATAAATATCTTTACATAAAAATTTAAAGAAATAGTAATTACCTTATTTGGTTCAATAATTTGAGTTAAAATGAACTCTAAAAGCTGGTGTGGCACATTATCAGATTCTGCAATCAGAGGACATAACATGTTTAATGTCAAACGACTAACTTTTGGATTGTCAAGGACCCTGGAGAAAAAATATAACATTTTAGTACATAATGTTTCAAAGTTGTAAACTATTAAATTAAATCTAATATTTTATCATCATAATGAATTACTACTACACTCTACCATGTGTAATAGTCACAAAATTAAGAAATTGGTTGTTACAAAACATGGGAAATTGCCAGTCACACAAACAGGAAATTTGACAGTCACAAAAATAGGCAATTTTGAAGACAGAGAGAACACTATTCCTCATCATAATATTAATCTAATAAGATGAAAAAACTTGCTTTCCTAAGTGGAAAACAATGCAGATCAAAATGCACACTTGGAACATCATGGGGTTAAAAGTTATGCTTTTGAAACAAAAAATTTGATACAATGCATTTTTACTATTAATTCACAATAATTTATTTACCATTTTTTTCATCACTTAGCTATAATCTCTAGTTCGATTAAACAACTTTAGAGCATTTTCATCCACAAAAACTCTCTACTGTAAAAAATAGTTTAGGGGATTTTAGTAAAAATTCCTATTGCTTATTTTAATTACAAATATCATTCCATGCAGAAATACTTATTAAATTTGTTCTGAAAATTTTAATTTAGAGTTTACGTTTAAATTGTGCAGCTTTAGTGTTGATTTTAATTCAAATAAGTCAAGTAGAAACGAGGTCTTTAAAAATGGAAAACATTGCTTATAATTTAACAAAAAAATGGCCTCTCTTTATAACAATAGTTTCTGGTTAAAGGAAGTTGCAAATGTTTATACATGTGCAATGTTTAAACTCAAACTAAGATGAGATCAAATATGGTTGAAAATAACATCTAACATTATTAGAAATGTTGAAAATTAGACAGTAAAGGCAAACCTAAATAAATTTAAAATTGCAAACTTATAAATGGCATCCTTTAAAAGTTCCATTAGTTATTAAAATAATTGGACAGTAAATAGATTAGATAATTGGATACAATTATTATAAAGATTCAAAAACGTAAAAATTACGAGAGGTTGGAATTCAATCACTGATTGAAATGAGTCAGATTTTTGATGGAATTAAGGAAAATATATTATTTTTATTGGAAAAAAATTGATATTCAAATAACTAATATCTTTCTAAAGCTCCCCGAGTTCAGGAATAATAAACACCAATTGTTTGTAACATGCTACATTGAAAAAATCAGGAGGGAACACAAAAAAATTTATTCAATGAATTTGTAAATCTTAATTAACATAGTACAAATAGTAAGAGCTTTATTTAGTTGATATTGGTTATTAACAATGATTCACACTTGCTGACAAAAAGAACAGAATATGTCTCATAACACATGAATTTACAATGAACAAGTTCAATATTCTAATTCTACTACTATATCTCTGAGATGGTGGACTAATGTAATGCTCAGCTTCCATTCCAGAACACATTTATAGCAGTTGGGAAACTCCATAGTTGAATCAGACAGTTTTAGCTGTGAAAAAAATCATACTGGAAGTTGACTCAAAAATGTCATCAGCTTTCAAAATCAAAACAAGCTAAATTCCATAAAGACACAGCTCAATAACAAAAATTTTTGAGCCAGTTTCCACTTCATTAAATAGCCATACATACAGAACTTGGCACAGGATTATGTGACCTTTGCTATCTGCAACAGTAGTGGAAAAAACATGGAACATCAGGCTTTTAACTTCAGCCTAACCTGCATAATGTTAATGCCAACTCATAAATATAACAATTAAGTTTAATTAAAAATGAAAATATAAGTTAATTTTTTTTATCTTGACACACAACGTGACAGCTCTGCCTCTGACGAATCATTAAGAGATTATCGTAAGAGGTATAAAAACTCTGAAGTAAACAAATTCTAAGAAAGCAAAGTGGATAGATTGACTTTTTTATGCTTGTCGATTGACGAAACGCTATATTTTTTTTTATAAAGGGTTAAGATGTTTGCAGGTCTCATTTTTCGAACCCATCATATGATAATTTTTAAAAATCATAAGTTCAAAAACCATAATGTAATTTAAAAAAAAAAAGCATTTATGGCTAAGGCATACAAAACTATCACTTTAGGTTTCGTATTAATACATTTAAACAACACAGTATTTATGAAAATTTTATACAAAAGCAACCTTATAATGTTAAACATCTGTTTGAATAATGGAATCACAATCTCTTCAGGTTTCTGCATAGTATCATGGCACAAGTTGAATGTTTTCATAATTGTTAAATTCTGAAACAAATAATCAATTCAGTCATTTTTGAAATAAATGTCATTTAAAGCTTTAATAAAATATTCAGAAATAATTTTAAATTACCTCAAGTAAGTAAAAAGAACCAGTGAAATTAGTACCACTTGCAGATGTTAAACCTTTCAACTGATCAATGAATAAATTAAATAGAGCCTGTAAATACATACAAATCAGAATGTGAAAAAAAGAACTATTAAAATGCAACATGAAAAACAAATATTTTCTAAAAAATTATGAATTACATAAAAGGAGATATTTTTACAGTTAAAACTAACTCAATTAGTTTTCTGAAGTACCACGTAACATTTATTATTCAGGTGTTTGCATATGAGTAAATACTTTCAAAATAATTAAAGTTTTTTAGTTATTTTAATACAGTTTTAGTAAAATATATTTTAATTTTCTGCTTTTAGTTATAACAACCATAAATTCTTTTTAAGTTTAATTTGAAAACTACTATTGCTATTGTTTAAAAAAGTCAGAAATCATCAACAAAAGTTAGATAATTAAATGTCCTTTAAAATTATTAAAAAAAAATAGATACAGAATAAAGTCAAAATAATTTATACTTCAAGAATTTTTGGGTCACTATAAGGATTGACTGGAGCAAATATACGGAAAATATCTGCAATACAAAGAGCAGCGCCACGTCTGATGTCTTTACTGCGGTGGTCTAAGAAAAAGTCAGATGCCAGATGAAATGCCAAAGGTTGGTATTTTGAATTATCATCCTCTTGACTAATTGTTTGAAGCACCTTAACACACACCTAAAACAAAAGAAGAAATGAAATAAATACAAAAGCAAATATATATAAATAAGAAACAGTATTCTAATAGTCCAGTTCATATGACACATTCTATAACCTTTTCTGATTCACAGCCAAACTATATTATTTAATCTTTTTAATATTACTTATTGTTCACAACTGGTAATAAATACAAGAAAAAAATGCAATACACGCTCTGCATGACACTGGAAAAATAAATAAAATTAAAAACATCCAATACAATTGTTATTATAATTTTTTTTAAGAAGTTGTCAATTTTTTAGATATGAATAGTTTAAACAAATAAAACTTTATTTAGTGCAAGAAAGTTGAAATTTTTTCACATTTATTTATTTTTTAAAGATATTATTTTTAAATTTATTATGTATAAAACCAAAATAAATAAAATAATTTTCATTTGATTTAAATGAAGATATTCTAAGTTTCCTAAAAAATGTAAAATTATATCTAAATTACAATCATTAGGTACTATTATCTTTCATTTCTTTAATGTTAACTGTTTTAGAATAGAATTAATTAAAAAAAAAATTCTTTTAAATTTTTCTTATTTAGTTAATTTTTTGAATAGAGAAGTATTTTTTTTTTAATGATTTTTGATATTAACTTTGTTTTCAATATCTGGCACAATGAAACACATTTTCCTTTTTTTAAACAATAAAATTTAACAAAATAGCAGTATAATTAAGAATAACTTTTTACTCCAATTTTGTTACAACATGCTACATAATTTAAAATTTTATTTTCTAAAATACCTCATACTTAAAATGCTTATTATTTTTTTTATATTGTTCTGTTCAGAATATTAAAAAAAGTTTCATCAAATTAAATTTTAAATCATTATTTATCTATAGTCAAATATATAAAGGATGGAGTGATTTTATCAGCTTTTAAACATTTAATATTCAGGAAATTAAATCCAGATTAATAATCCACCCAAATAAATGTACATTATATTAGAAATATGCAAGCTGTTAAATGGAAAAAAATTAATTTAACAACATAAATTAAAATCATTGGAATTAATTTTATGTACTTAAACATAATACATATTTAAACTTAAATTATAAAACAGACATTCATCATATTTATTTTGTAAAACAATTTTAATGATATTACTTTCAGGCGCCGATACAGTTCATCAGTTGATATATCTTCTGTCAATTCCTTCACTCCTGGAGGGTACACCAATTTTTTCTCTTTTTGTTGTGCCATTGATTATATTAAAAAAAAAAAAAAAAAATCTATACCTGAAAATAATAAACATGTTTATTAGCAAGGAAAGCTACCCATTTCAGTCGGTTTAACTAGAATTACAGATATCAAATTTTATTGTTATTTTTCATCTGACATATTTTTATAATTAAACATAGCTAGATAATAAACTTAAAATTTATTAATGACAAAATTTATTCATAAACAATAAGGTGTATTAAAAAATATAAAAAAAACAATATGTGCAATCTCATCTTTTTTGTTTTGGAAGGGGCTTACTTTTATAATACTGTAGTGTTGCTACAACTCACTACAATAACAGATGTTTTCAGTTTCTTTGAGGAAATATTTTGAGATATTTTCAATGGCAGGGCGAGTTACAAAGAAACATGGAGAAAATAAATATAACAGGAAACAATAAGCAAAACATGTAAAGCACAGGTATGATCTGTTTCTCTGTCTTACTAGTACAGTGACAGCTCAGAATCCCCATGTAGAGGTGGTACAATTTTAAGTAATGTAGAAGCCATTGTGATAGAGGTATTCCCCAAACAGTCATGATCTGTCATCTCAGGTAATATTTATAATTTAAGTTGCCAATATAGGATTATCAAAATTTATTATGTTGAATCCATATTTCAACTGATTTTAGTAGAAAAATATGGAAAAAGAAAATAACCGAGAAATATTAGGTACAGCATACCAACAAACCAGTTCTCATCTAAATAAATGATTTTAAAACAAATAGCATTAAACATTACTGTAACTTTGAAAATTCAGCTTTCATTTGAAATCGACATGAACAAGAAATTACAATCATAAAATATTAAATTTTACAGTTTGTATTTGGTAGATTTTATATAATTACTAATATTCAAAAAAATTCTGAGATTAATTTTTTGTGAACATAAATTTTTTTAATAAACTTTGGTTGCCAGAACAAGACTGCAAAAATTTGATGATATTCATCATATCAAAATTATACTATAAATTGAATTACCAATAATGAAAAGACAATTAAATTTTTTAAAGATATAAAAAGGGAGAAATAACCAAGTTATCAGGGATGTGATTGACAAAAACACAAAAAAGAGGAAGTTTATAACTGTAGCATTAAACGCGCAAAAGAAAAAATGATATGAATTCAATAGCCAATATGATAATGATTACATTATTATCTATTCAAATAAATATAAATAAATGGTAATTATGTTCTTAAATAAAATCTTGATTAAAATAATTTTTTTTTAATAATTTAGATAACTTTGAGTAATTATGCATAAGCAGGATTTTATGTATCACATCATTTTAAAAAACATTTCTTTAATGGTCAAAGGACCTTTATGGACTTTCTCATCAGTTCTTTGTTTTTTCGATGGTCTTTTATTAACATGACTGATCTGTAGACTGCGTTTTGCAGACTTTTGATCATCAGTGTTGATAGGACAAGAAAGTTCATTTCTCACACAATTTTTAGAGGCCTTAGATTAAGAATCGCGATGTTGGATTTCAAAATCGCGTGAATAAGAATCGCGATGCTTGATTTTAAAATCGCGTGAAAAAGAATCGCGATGCCGGATTTTAAAATCGCGTGAATAAGGCGATATCGGATTTTAAAATCGCGATGTTGGATTTTCAGATTGCGTGAATAAGAATCGCGACGTTCGATTTTAAAATAGGGTAGATAAGAATCGCGATGTAGGATTTTAAGAGTGCGTGAATAAGAATCGCAATGTTCGATTTTAAAATAGGGTGAATAAGAATTGCGATGTTGGATTTTAAAATCGCTTGAATAAGAATCGCGATGTTGGATTTTAAAATCGCGTGAATAAGAACCACAATGTTTGATTTTAAAATCGCGTGAATAAGAATTGCGATGTTCAATTTAAAAATAGCGTGAATAAGAATCACGATATTGAATTTTAAAATCACGTGAATAAGAATCTCGATATTGGATTTTAAAAGCACGAAAATACAAATTGCGGTATTGAATTTTTAAATCGCGTAAATAATAATCACGATGCATAATTTTCAGAGTCCGTGAATACTTATTGCAACGAGTAATGCTTAAACCGCATATAAATACGAAAATCGATGTTTGATATTACAACCGCGTGATAACGAATCGCAATATTGAAATTTAAAAATATATATGAATACGAATCGCGACATTGGATTTTAAACTAGCGGGAATATGAATCGCGATATTGGGTTTTTAAATTGCGTGAATGGGAATTGCGAGTAATGATTTTTAAATTGTGTAAAAATGAATCTCATTAAGTAACTTTTAAATCAGTTAAATACGAAAATTGATGGTTTACATAAAAATCATCTAAATAAGAATCACAATTTTAGCAGATTCTGGCCCAGTTCCTAATATTTAAAATTCAATAAATCAGCCAATCAAAAGAAATCAAATATCAGCGACCGAAACGAAACTGCTTAGGACTTTTTTTCTTTTTTCCAATCTATAGCCGTTGCCTTGACAACCGCGTACATGCCGAAATTCTACCCATTTTCTTCTGAAGATCATTTTCTCAGGAAGCTACTGCAGGGGGGGAGGGAGTTCGTCGCAAGTCCGACAATATCGTTCGTTCGACTCCCCAAAAGTTTTTGGAACATGGTCGGAAATTTTAAAAAGTCTTTCATCCCTGAAAAGATAAGAGAGTAGTGGAGTAGGAGACGGCATTGTTTTACCAAGGTCAACCACTTTTACCCCAGCCAGCAGATTGACATGTGAAGAAAGGTTTATTGGGGGCTTCAATACTTTCGCTCCGAGGAAGAAAAAAATTTTCAACAAAATATAATTTACTGCATAAAAATTTTTTCCACGCGGAAATTTATGAAAAAAGAGCGGAAGACATGGAAAAATCTGAAAAAAGCGGAAATCAGCGGATCCGTGGAAGAATCACATCCCTGAAGTTATGTCATACATACTAACTGATTCCTCATTCAAGTGGTTGAATAAAAATAAAATGGTGGCATACTAAGAAATGTTTGAATTTGTGTCAGCCCAAGTAACTAGTTTGTATACATATATAATGTTTTTATTAAAAAAAATCATTCTACTGGCATGAGATCGAAAAAAGAGAAGAAAATTGTGAGAAATTAAAAGAACATGTATGAAAAACAGTTAAAAATGACAATTTTATTTACAGTATTAGTTAAAATTAATATGCAAGCTATTTTAACTTTCAACAAGAGAATTAATAAATCCCTACCATATCAACCATCTTAGAAAGTCAGCATCAAAAAATTTTTTTTAAAAAATAAGATTATACTATTAAACAAAAGTAAAATTATTGATATAAATATGAAAGCCTTAAACAGGAAAATGGTGTATAATACAGAAGTTAAGAAAAAAGGTGTACTTTTTTTATTCCAATGCAAAGATATCGCTACACATAAATTCAACTGTTTTTTATTTTAGAGGTGACAGTTATTTTACCAAGAGATGACAGTTTTTGTTAAAATTAAAAAAATAAATATCTATAAATGAATTTACTTATGCAAGGGAAATGAAAAAATACCACCAAAATCTATTAGTGAATGGTCTTTAATCAAACGTTTAAAAAGACAAAATGTGACCTTAATATTTATAAATCCATCCATTTTAAGTTTTGATTAGTTCATAAAAGGAGGGGAATCCTGAATTTGTGAAAACATCTCACGCCTCTGAACTCATATCAGTGATAGTTTACTTCATTGATACAATTATAACAGTAACTACGCTTACTTTTTTAAAACTTTACTATTCAATAATTTTTTTTTTAAAATTCTTTGATTTTTAACTTGGTTTGCTATTTTGAAAACCTGATGGTTGGAGTAAAAGTCAAGTAAAAAAAAAAAAACTTTTTTCCATCTGTCAATAATTTACTAAAATTTTTTTCAAACTTTATTTTATTTAATAAATAAATAAGTGCAGATATGCTTGATTCATAATAGCTGGGATGAGATTTTACTAATTTTTTTCCCTAAAGTAGAAATAACATTCTAACTTGGAAGGCAAAATTTTATTGCACTTTCATCCCAGTGAAAGAAGTTATTTCCACTATGTAATTAAACATTAACATGCATGAATGTTACCACACAATTTTATTTCACAGAAAAATAACTTACTAAAGTTTTCCAAGATGAAGGTTGGCTAAAAAACCATAAATACAACATTATAGATCTTACAGTGTTTATCTATCATATAGAAATCGATGACTTACAATCATGTGTATGCATAAGATAAGATGACTAATGTTCATTCAATTATTAATATAATATTAATAGTATAAGATTGCCACTTCATAAGTTTTTACACGATCTTAACATATAACCTAAGAATAAAATTTTTATTTTAAAGGTTAACTTGAAATAAACCAATTTAAAATTACACAATACGTTAACATATTAGATTTCATTTCACTAAAATTAAACCAATATGTTGTGATGGGTGATTCCTTACTTAATCGCTGAAGAAATCTGTATTACTTTAAATTTTCAGAGACAAAACAGTCGAGAATTACTTTTATAATTGCAATAGATTTTATTATGAGGTATAAAAAACATTTTTTCAAAACAACTACGGAAGAAAGTATTTTATTGTCCATCTGTTGCTGAGTTAATTTTATTATTTTCAGAACAACTTATGTGCCTCAATCTTGCTTACCAGTGTATAAAAAGTTTAGCGATGATACACGAAATACGTTATAAACTGGTTAAATCAACAAGATAAAGGAAAATTTTGTAAATTTTTCATTTTATAAAGCATTTTAACAGTATTTTCAAAACTGTAAACATTTCGATTTCATACGCCAAGTATAGAAAGTGATGCCACTAAAAAAATAACGGCTTCAATTCTTGTTTTAAATTATACCGGCTCTTTACTTTTCGTAGGATTAACTATTTACATTTATTTGGCAATAAATACTTATATTTCAAGCATCTGAGGGTGTTTGGTTTCATTTTGTTCTCAGTTTTAGTACGATAACTAAAAATTGTTTTTTAATTGAACGGCAACGAAAAGCTATAAACCGTTACCATGGTGATGATAACAATAAAGGCATGTTTCGCATTCAGTTTTATTAAACACTCAAATTAATAGCAAGAAATGCTCCCAAATTTGCCACCGAATCCCTATAGTCTAGTTTCGTCAAAAATGCTCTTTACAAAATATCATAGTTCTTCTTTTGGAATATTATAACAGCTTCATTCTCAGTTTAAAATCATTATGCAGTCTAATGATAGCAGGAAAATTTTTATTTTGACAAATCTAAGAGATTTTTTTGCTAGAGATGTATCCGAGGAAAATATTTCTCGTTTACTTCAATCAGAAGCATTAGATACTTTTCTCGATAATAGAAATTGTTCAATTCTGTGTGCATATGTAGATGGATTTGGAGAGAAGCAGGAAATTATTTTGTGTAATAAGGTAATAATCATTTCTCTGCATTTATTTTGTGTTTTATCCCAATAAATTTAATTCTTCTTTTTTTCTTTACTATTTTTGCTTGTCTAGTTTTTCGGTGAACTGAAAAATAAAGCTTATTTCAGTAAATAAGAAAGACAACAATAATTCTAAGATAACAAATAAGTCCATATAATATGTGATTAGGAAAAAATTAAAGCAAAGAAAAGGACATCCTCTGGTGATTGAGTTAAACCCAAGTGTTCCTTTTTGGAAGCAATGTCAGTCTCAGAAAAAAAAAAACACATTTCTAGAATGATTTAAAACCACATTTTCAAAATTATTTTAGAAAACAAATCAGAAATATTTTAAAACACATCTCCAAAAATAATCTTTTTGAAATTACGTATTCTAAACTGTTTTAATTATAAAGTTTCCTCGATAAGAATTTTGTTTTTTTAGATATAATTTTCAATTTAAATGTCCCACACTGTCCAACCTCTATCCTCATTGAAAGTCAGGGGTGTAGTGGGGCTGGAATATACTGGTATTACGTTTGGGGACTTTAAATTCAGTATATATAGATTTTTTAAAATATTTGTCGAAAATGAAGTAAAACCAGTATACTCATTAGTTATCATAAATGAATATTTAAGCAAGGAAAAGCAAAAAAGCCTTATCAAAGTCTAACAAATCATTACTGGGGATGAGAGTATGGAAAACAAAAACTATTCTGCATCATTATGAGTCTTGAATGAGTTTTCCCACAGTTGAACTTCTTTAATAAAAGTTTTTAGTACTACATTACTGCTGAGAGCTCATTTTATAGTTTAATACAGTAATAGTGCTCTACATTTGACAATTTATAAATGTTAATTAGTCAAATGCGTTATAGATAAAAACTGCAATTGAGTTTTTACCTCAGACAAATATTTTTTAAAAAGGTGCTGGTCACAATAACCATACTATAGGGTGTAGTAACAGAAAACCTAGACAAACAATTTTTATGACAACTTCATTAAAAATAAATTAACAAAATATAACAATAAATAATAAGAATCAATTCTTACTAATAAAAAAATCTTTTTTGTTTAAAAGTCACTGCTTTTTGCAACTATGCACAGATGCAAATGCTTAAATTTTCTGCAAGTCAGCACTGGGAGTCATTCCTTTTTGCTGATGAGAAGTTCTTTGCCATCCAACAAACTCACAACTTCCAGAATGATAGGATTAGCAGTTTGCAGGCTCTCCTAGTGCCTTGGATGTTGTTGAATATCGCCGAAAACCAATGGTCATGATCTGGGGCTGAAATCCAGGGCTGATTGTGCTCCGGAAATAATCCGGATTTCTGGAATTTTAGCTAACAGTGATCCGGAAGTTTCCGGAAATCGAAGGTCCAGACGTTTCAAAAAATCATTGATCACAGAAGTTTCCGGAAATCAAATTTTCAAAGGTGGAACTTAACACAGTTTATTTTATATGTTTGTAAGGAAAAGCCAGAGAGATACTTTATAAGCTTATATTCATGATTAATATTCATCTTTTATCAGTAAATAGTTGTTATAATCATAAACTCAAGAAAGAAAGACTTATTAGTAAATTTTAATTACTTTTATAGGTCATCATAGGTATGTGTAAAATTTTAAATATATTTTAAGTAAACTAAGAAAATTAAGAAAAAGGAAGAAAAAAACCTTGTTTAAATTTTTTTCTAATTTTTCAATTTAAAGTGTTTTTTTTTTAACTCAAGAAATTTTCTGGAATTTTGACTTGAGCTCACAACCACCCCTGGAAATCTATGCAGAGCAGCAAATCATCTTTGGTTGTGGTTGGGGGTATTGAAATAAATCAAGAGGTGTATCAGCTAGTTATTCCAAAAGATGTTCTACTTCTATGGGCCAAAAAGCACTTCAATATAAACTGAACATTTCAACAAGACTCTGCATCAGCTCACAAAGCCAAAAAAGGCACAAGGGTGGTATTACGCGCATGATATCATCTGATGAATGGCCATCCCACTCACTAGATCTCAATTCCATGGATTACAGTGTAGTTTGAACTCTTTAAAGCAATCGCTTCAGGGAGAATGGAATAGATTAAAGCTAGGAGACTTGTGGTCCATTGCTGAAAATTTTAACAAGCGTTTGCATCTCTGCATTACTGTAAAAGATGGCAACTTTGACTCCACTTATTTTTATTTATCAATAAAAATCTGACTTTTATTGTTATTTGTGATATTTTGCTAATTTATTTATTTTTAATAAAGTTACAGTAAAAGTAGTTTTGTTTTTTTGCTGCAATAGAAATTAATGAATTTATTAATCAGAATATAGTTACAATTATTGTATTATTTAGGAATTTAAAATGTTATTGCATTTTAGGTTGAACCAAAGGGATCTTCTGATAGAGTGTTTATCTTTTTCAAAAAAGTACCCGATTCTGTTACTCCAGATAACATACTCTCAAATATATGCATAGCATCCATGGTTGATTCTCCCATTAGTTCTCTCTACCATGCTGTAAAAAAAGTTTTTGCACCTGTATTGTTGAAAGATGAGAAGTGGAGTAGACAGGTTGATCCAAAATTACAAAATCTATTAGGGCATTTAGAAGATGGATTGGCCGCGTCTCTCCGACTCAACGAGGATGAAGATGTCTCAAATAAGAGGGATGCTTTATCAAGTAAAACATTTTTGATTATCATGACAACCACCATATATTTATAAATTATTTTGCTCCATATAATTATTTTTGATGTGTTTCTAATGATTTCGCTACTAATATCAAAGATATATTTGACATGTGTCACAGTTAGAATCTAGCAGTATATCAGAGTTCTCCCTAGGAATAAAAAAGGGCAGGGTGCACTGAAATGGGCACTTTGAGTTTTGAAAGGGCACTCACTTAACACCCTAAAAATTTATCATAATGTGTAATATCATGTAATAACTGAATTTGATCCTCAACAATTTTTAAGTTACTATCTTATACTATTTTATGTGCATATTTCGAAAAGTAATTTTCACTCATTATCTAAATGAGAGAAAAATTTGTAGTTTATAAATAATAATTAAAGGCATGGTAAGAGACAATCTCTCTGCATAAATTTTTTTATCAAAAGAAAGTAAACTAAAAAAATTTATCTTTTGATAACCAGCTTAAAAGATTTTTCTATGATTTAGACAGAAAATTATGAAAAAATAAACACTTAAAGGGGCTTTTTTAAAAAAAAAAAAATGAAGGAAGAAAAAAAAGTGGTATTTATTTAAAAAAATATTTTTAAAATTTAAAATCAATTGAGAAATTTATTAATATGCCCCCTTAAAAAAAGAAATAACTTATGAAAATTTAAAAAGTTGAGAATAATCCTAACAAAGTAAATATTTGTTATAGTCATCAGAATTAAACATGTAAACACGGATAATTTTTGTGTGTAATTATTATTTGAACAGTTAATAAATTTTTTTTTAAAAATGAAAACTGAATAAAAAGTCAATATTTTTTTAAGGGATGGCAACTTATTTTTACAAAAAAGAGCAAAGGGTATCTATAGGGATCAAAGGGCAGGCTTCCCTCCTAAAAACACTTAGGGAGAACACTGAGTATTTGTCTCTATATCTGGTCAATATCTGATCACACAAATCAGTAATTCGATGTGTGCCACATTTAGAATCTAACAGCAGGTCTAAAAATTAACAATGGTCCAGGACTACTAAAATTTGACTTGGACCACCATAAAATAATTTCCAGTGTTGCCTTAGACCAGCAATCGAAGTGAAGGGATAGTATGTTGTTTTAGTTTTTGATTTTCAGTTTCGTGTTTTGGTCTATGTTATTGTTTTAAAATAGCATATTTCATTAAAAATTTAAAATGTTACACATTTTTTATTTTACAATTTCTTTTTTAATTTGAGTTCACCTTATTAACTTTTTTTTTAATAAAAAGTTTAATAGAGACGCGTAAATGGACCAGTGAAAATGTGTATGAGCTCATTTGTATGAGTATCTCATTTGCATGTTGCATGTAACATCTTTTAATCACTGGTCCACGGAAAAGTTTCGAAATTTTCTTAATTTCTACCCATGAGCAGTATAGGCTACTATAAGAATCAAGCGGAATGTGCCATATTAAGAATTTTGCAGTTATTAATTTTTCATAATGCATCCAAGCTCTTAGGCAGAAAGTTTTCAAAATTATGATGTATGCTGCAGAACAGTCAAGAGCCTGCAGAACAATTTATATTTAAAACCGAACTGTTTATATAAATTTCCCCACAGATCAGTTTATGTCTAAGTTCCTTTATATATTCCATAATATTTCAAATTTAATAGAAAATACTAAATAAATTGTGTTTAATTTGTAATAAAATATTTTAAGGCATTTTTTTAATTAATTATTTTTGTAAGTTGATGATATACATATTTAAAAATAATAATTTTTGAGCAAAAAAAAAGACTTCTATTTTTGGAAAATATTTTTTTTATGAGAAATGAAATATTTTGGATTATTTAAAATATTATTTTATATCATACAATTTTATACTCTTGCAGTTATATTCACTCCAAAAGATGAATATAATTATTGGAAAGATATGGTTGATGACTTGCCTACCCAAAAGCAAAAAGAAAGAGCTATTTTTTTCTCTAAGCTCCTGGAACCATTTGAATCTGCCTTTACCAATTTAGAAAAACTGACTTATGGGGAATTGAAAGACTCATTGGAATCTGCATTTAATATTTTAGACGATGTTTGGAAGCAAGACGATCATTCTCCGGGATTTCCTACAGACCGCATGGAAAACCTTATGGAAATAATTGGTAATGAGAGTAAAAAGGATTTTGTTTTAAACAATATCTTAATATTTAACTTTGATTGTCTTTTAAACTTAGTATTCAAGTAATTTATTTTATTTTACAAAATTTGCTACTTAATTAATTTTAGTAACACAGTAAAACCTGTGTAAGTTGATCCCTTGCTGTGCATTGCTTTTGTGGTCGAAACAGGAGGTCATTTAATAAAAGAAGCTATGTCATTTTTTTTATTATCCTTTCTTATATCATGTTATTTTACTATCTATACAATGCTATTTAGGTTGTTCATGTTTTTCACATATTTCTTACATATTCTAAATGTAATTAAGTTTCTTTTAAGATGAATTTAAAATTTTATTTAGCAAAAACCCCATATATCTTAAAGAGTAAAATTATTAACAAAATGAATTAGTAATATTAATAGATTTAATATTAATATAATTAATTTAAAATTAGATAAGCCTATTTTGTCAATTATGCATGTCAGTAATTTATCATAAATAATTTTTCAAATATCAATACATCAGAAATCAGTCACGATTAGAAAACTAAACAGTATTTTTATTTAACAATTTAAAATTTATTTTGTTTTACTTACAAACCTATTTATTTCATAAGCTCTCATAAGTTTCTTTTATGGTCAACTCAGTCAACTCATGAGGAGGTCTTGGTTTAGCTACTAATTTAGTAAAATTTGCATGCCTAGCATACTAATTAATAAATTTCTCTGAAAGAGCCACCCCTCATTATCACCCTTAGAAAAATTATATTTACCTATTTCAGCGGTCATTATACAAAATAGACAGGTAGTCAAGTTTAAAGGGTGGGCAACTACACACATTACGCTATATTTGTGATTCCTTTTGTATGGGGAATTTGTTTTCAAGTCAAATATGAAAAATATCATTTATAAACTTGAAGTTATTTTACTATTCAAAAAGTTCTTTTAATGTTCATTCTAGGCAATAGTACAGTTAATTTCATTCAAATTAAGCTTCAAGAGGTGTCTTTATGGACAGAAAAGTTTTCATACATAGAAGATCAACTTCTGCAAGGGATTGACCTCTGTGATACTTGGATCGATTCTTGCCAGAAGCTTACGGCACTTTTCTGGCTAAACTATGCACCACACCCATGGAGAAGAAATGTTTTCATTCCTGCATATCTACAAAACTTTAGCAAAAGATTGAATGAAGTAACTCAATTTTCATATATTCTATTTCACATAGTATTGCATTAAAAATGTGTTGTTCTTTATGTTTAATGTTTAATAAATATAGGATGACTCTTAAAATTATCTTTCCAACTTTTATGTGTAGTATCATATGAAATAAATAAGATAGTTCAGTTTATAAAAAGTCAATGTGAAAAAAATGAACATAAATGAAATGTTCAAGTCTTTTTATTTACTTTTATTTTAGAATTATTTTTGTTGTTGTTATTATTAAAAGTATTCTGTGTTTTGGTAGTGATGATGATTTTTGCTTTAAATCAAAAAGATTTTTTGTGTTTCAAACTTGTTTGTGCTAATTATATACCTACTTATTACTCGACTCTTTAACCAATGAATGATTTTGGGCTCCTTTACTACTCACCTCCAAATTTCATGTTTGTAGGTTTTTTTAAAATAATTTATGAGTTTCATAGGTTTAAGATCCTCTTCAACGTCATCTAGCCATTATTTTTTTTTCCTTACTGCTATTTCCCCCCAAAAGACCTTTTTCTACCTCTGTCTAATATTTCAACTCATTTATTCATTTGGAACACAAATTGATAAAAGAGAAAAAAGATATTGCAATGCATATTCTTCAAGAGCATTTTACGAAGGTTAAGTGGAATTAGCTTATTTAACCAACAAGTCGAGGGAAAATTTTAGAGTTGAAGAAGAAAGCAAAATAAATGAATGTAAGGGGTTAAACAAAAGTATTCTTGTTTTTTTTTTTTAAGAGTTGTCTTGAAGAAAAAAAGATTAGGTTGGGGTTTTGCGTTATTAAACTTGCATGTGTTCATGGTAATACATAAATCAGTCGATCTATCTCAGTATTTTGTATTCATTAATCTTTATAAAAAGATTTTTTATTGTATTTTGATCAAACATGATAATTAAAAAAACAATCCTGATTGAATTTGTGTTATTCAAACTACTATTCATTTATTTAAATAAATTATTATTACTTCATTTTTTTTCTTCATATTTATAATTACTTAAATAAATCAAGTAACACCTACACCTTATCAAGTATGGTCGATTTTCTTTAAACTGTAGTTACCAGTTCTTTCCTTGCTACTGTTTATCCCCTATCCCAATGTTGCAGCAATTTATGCCCAAATTTGGAATGGTGCTTTTTGTTATAATGTTTAACTCATTCTTTATACTAAGAAGTCTTGACTAATTTCTGTGAAATTTATATTTAGGTTCTGAATTTAAGAAGTGTTCATAGCCAAGTAAATAGTTTGCTGAATACAGAAGAAAAAGCTTTGCTAGAAATCGATAAGGCTTTAAAACCATTGTCTGTGCTCAATCCTTTGAATTATAATCCATACACAGAAGCTTTGTGGGAGGCATCTGTTGCTCAGTATGAACAGAATATGTCAACTGCTCGAAAAAGAGTTGCATCAAAACTTCGAGAGCAACTGCGCTCATCAAGGGCAAATCCTCTTCAGGTTCTTCTTTTCATCATCTTATAAATATTGGTCTTAAACAGCTATTATTCTCAGTCAATATTTTATATTCTTTAAGAAAAGAACCCGGTGCCTCAAAAAATTTTTGAAGCACCGAGTTCTTTCTTTTCTTGCCTCAAAAAATTTTTGAAGCTCCAGCTCCGCTCCAGATAAAAAAACTAGCTCTCTGGCACCTGCAATTTTACCATATATTTCTGTACGTTTCTGAGTTACAGATTTTTATTTGAAATTTTTTTTATAAATAAGAACATTAAGAAACTATAACATAATCACCAGCGCACTTGAAATATACAAATTTAATTCATTGTTGTGTTATTTAGATCTTCTAGAACGGCCGAGGAAACACTGTTTATTAATTGGTGACCAGTGCACGTTAAATCTGTCGGGGTCACAAAGTCCTCCACGCTCCCATAACAAAGCAATACCTATGTTGGTACTGAATTGGAGATTAATCCTTCTCTAGTTAAGGTTAAAATCATGATCTGTGGTTGAATAAATGGATGTATCAATGGGTTCACTCTGTAAAACGGGTGTGATGTATGGGTGTGGCAGAAGATGAATTCTTGGCTGATGGGGCCACTGGAAGACAAGAACAAATGCACCCCTTGCTTCCATGGTCTATTACAACAATGCCAAGAATAGTTTTTCTACATCAGGTTGGTTTTGGGGCAATGCTGTTACAATGCTTCAGGCCTCCTCTATATCTATAGCGCAGTTGTTAACAGTTATTAATGACTGTTAGACAAAGTTTTGATCATGTTTAACCATGATCCTCTATCATATTTATGAAAATATAAAAAACATCAATGTTATAAAAAACAACTGTTTGGTTATGCATATTGTTGAGGCTGTTCTTTAAGGGATTTGTAATGACATGAAATAACCCTTTTTAGTGAATTATAGGCTATACTTATAACTATTATACATTAAAAACATTTATCAGTGACTGTTATTTTAAATTTTTTCCATCTTTAGCTATAATGAAAAAACTAAGTATCAATGCTAAAAGAAGCCACAATTTGAAGAAATGAAAAGTGTTCAAATCTTCAATCTTTTAAAAATTATTCCAATGCAGCATTGTTAGATGAAAAATAAAACTAGATAAAAGTTGGAAAATTATTTATTGATTTTCATCTAGGTGTTGGGGAATCTCACCCTATTGGCAATTTTTAAAAATTACAGTAGTTTTTTAAAATATTTAATCTATATATACTTTTAAATAAGTCCAGGCAATTCTTTTTTGCTGTATGTAATGTTTAAAATCAAAGCTTTTTCAATTTTAAATTAGTTCGACTGTGGATTTGTTATTTTTTCTTGGCAAAAGAGCTAATATGTAGGGAATTTTTCATTTTATTTTTAAAACACATTAAGATGATTATGCATCTAACAGACAACGATTATTTATAAATTGTATCAACTTTGAAAGATAATGTAATCTTTCAACACGCAATCTAAATTGAGAGTTTATACTTAAAAAATGAGATTAAAAGTGTTTTCAATAATTTTAGTATTATTATTAAATTTGAAAGTGTTTCCAAACCCTAGACAACAGTTACAAAAATTTTTTTTAAACTTTATTTCCTTAGAGTACTGCCTCATATATTTTAAAAGAGAATTTTTTTTTCTGTTGAAAAATATAAATATGAAAAATAAAAAAAAAACATTTGTTTATCAATTGATATTTTTTGTTGTATTTTTAGCTAATGCAGGAATTTAAAAGGTATGAGCCACTTATAAAGTTGCCTGGAGTTCGAGAAGAACTTACTGCTGAAAGGTAATGCATGTTTAGATATTTAATTAAGGTTATTAAGCTAATTTTGTGTAATACTTTTTTTTATTTTATTTTACAGAAATACTTTTATTATTTAGTATGACTAAATTAAACTAATGACTTTGCAGTTAGTTGAATTAGTTAATTTGAAATTTAAAAAATTTGTTGAAATTTAAGGATCTGATTAAAAAACGTTATAAAATTAAGGTAAATGTTAAAAAAAAAATTTTTTTAAAAATTAATTGGAACTATAACTTGTCTTTTTTGCTAACTTCTAAGTCCCGCAGTGGACTGATCGTTAAGACACGGTTCCCAGCAGATCACCGAAGTCAAGCATCACTGGCTGCGGTCAGTGTGCGGGTGGGTGACCCACTTGGATCAGTCTGCATAGGGACCGAGGGTGTGCGGTATTGGTCCTCGTTAAACTGTGCTACCGTAAAGTGCTCGACTTCGCGTGCAGGTCGTCGGGCTACCGAAGCGGGGGTGCCATCCCCTCTGCAGAGGATCAAAATTGTGATGGCATGTCTTCGGATCATCCTCAGGGATGTTTCCCAGACCGTCGCCAATAGCCCATTGTGCAGCTCTAGTGCGACGTAAATGAGCTACAACAACAGCTAACTTCTAATATAAACTAGTGAATTAGACTGATGACTTTTCTTGATTTCTTATGCTGAAATGAAAGCTACTTTAAAAGTATTCTAAATATTCCTTCTTTTAAGCAAATAGAAGTTCTAATTATTCTACTTTTCTAGTTTTTTTTAACTATGGCTTTTGCTTACCCATTTATAAAGAATTACAATAATTTATAGTTAAGAGCTAGGTACTAATATTCTATTCGATGTAATATATATCTCAGCAATGTATAAAATGTTCAGTCTATGCTTTCCAGTTTTTGGCATTCTTTATAATATTAAATTTCAACTTTTGTTGGTAACGTATGTATATTAATTGCCTCAAAATGTTAGTTGTATTAGTATGAATATTATACTTTTATGAAGAGACTGGGACATTTATCTGTCTTTTACCTAGACAACCATGTTATAGTAAGTACAATAATATCTTCTTATTTCAGAAATTTGTCTTTGCAACGAAAAAAAATCAAACATAAAGATTCGTATTCACACTATTTTAACATTATCTTAATCACACTATTCAAATAAATGAATAAAGTTTCGCATCAATATTTTTACTCCAACATTGATAACACTCTGTGGATAAATGCTTTCTATGTGTGTTTTTTTTTCTTGCTCAAATTTCAGCTAATTAAAAAAATTTTTTGCACATAAAATTTTTGGGTTTCTATTTTTAGTTTTTTTAAAAATTTTTATCAAACTTATCTCTGATATGAATCAATATAAAGTTCTATGAAAATGTAAAATTTTTAAAAGAAATCTGTGATTTTCAAACAAATTGCGCCAAAATGTGGAGATGAAAGGGTTGAAACTAGTTGCAAGAGTTAATCAGTATGTGCTTTTTTAATTGAGATTTTATGTTTTAAGTGAGTTTTTCATTTTTATCTAAGTCTGCTTATGACTGTTTATACTTATTTTTTTAAAATTTATTTATAGAGAACTCTTACTTGGTCAGCTTATGGAATATATGAAAACTGTTCAGAAAGATTTTATGAATTGTTCAGGTGGAGATAAATCTATTTTACCTGCCACACATTGCGCCCCAGAACTCATTAACAACATAACTTGGATTCGACAACTGGACAGCAAGGTTTGACTCAGTATTTATCTATTTTATTTGTGAAGTTAATTAGTAGTCATTATTTTATTTTTTGAGTTAGTTTGCTGTTTTTTCTTATTAAATCTTAAATTTAATGTTATAATCTAGGATATTTTAAATTTCTCTGTAAAATTTCAGTGTTGTCTTAAAAAAATTATCACAAGTAATGTACAGATTGATAATTTTAAGTAATGAATTTGTGAATTGTTAAGTGAATGAAGTAGTCAACTTACAAAAAGTTCAGATTAGTTACTTCTAAAGCTTTTAACCAAAATTTAAGTGGCTACCTGCAAGATAAAGAAAAAAATTATGTTGCAAGTTATGTATCAAGGATTTGGAAGTTGATAGTAATGATCAACTTAAACAGGTAACCAACTTTAAAGTTTCAGATCCAAGTATCTAGCATCAACCTATCTTCTTCAGTTGATTAAATAGCAATGCTATTCTAGATTTTCAAAAAGGAAGAGGAAAATTGTTCTTTAGACCTAAGAGAATTTTAAGTCTAAAAAATAAGGGACAAAAAAGTTTTAAAATTAAAATAGAATTTTTATCAGATCAAATCTTATTTAAACTTCATAGCAATTTTATAGCTTACTCATTGTTTTTGAATGTATTTTTTAAAAAAAATATCGGATGGTTGTCTTTAAGAGGTTTAATGGTTCAATTTTTTCTTGGCTATTGAGTGATGACAAGAAATACTGAGATTTGTTTAATTAACATTAAGTATGACTGATTGCACAATTTTTTATTTGTTTAATCATTTATTTGATTTTTTAAAAATATTTTTCTTTCAATTTAGATAAAAGAAATAAGAAAAGTGAGCAAGTCCCTTCTTCATGATATTGATGGATATCAAAATTTGTGCAAAGATATTGATGATATATTACAAGAATTTCAAAGTTACAACAAAGAAAAATTTGACAACTGGACTCAAGAAATTCTGGATGGATTGAGAACTCGTAGTTTGGGGTAAAATGTTATATTTCTTAAACCTAACTACTTATTGTAATAATTTGTAATCAATATAGTGCAGTTTCATGTTGTGTATCTGATAATAAGAAGCTATGAATTGCTATGATGTTGAAACGTTTTTTAAAAAAAATATGAGCTAAACTAATTTTATTTCTTCGTATTTTGTAGAAAGCTATTTAAGGCATAGCTGCAGATTAGGGTTTACAAGAATTTTTTTTTAATAAAAAAATAATTTATTTTCTTGTAGCAATAATTGTTTTGTATGTAATGTTAAGATTAATACTTTTGAACAGCTTTATTTGTACAAAATTGAACAGATAAGTATTATTTATGTTCATTATGCCATCATTTTTACATTTGTATCATTCATTATTACATGCTTATTTTTATTTTAAAAAAAAATATGTAAAATGCATGATTAAAACAGATCTTTAAAGTGTAGGGCATGATTTAAATAACTTGTTTTAATAATGATTGAAATCGCGATTTAAATCATGATTGAAATTAAATCACTTAATTTTTTAAAAAATCAGTGATTTAAATCAACTGGGATTTTTTGAAGGAAATCATTAATTTAAACCAATTTATTTTTTAAAAAAATAATTAATTCATTAAGTCAGAAATATTTTTACAAATATATTCTTTATTCTTTTTTATGTTTGTTTTCATTGATAATGAAAATTTTATCAAAAGAAAGAACGAAAGGGTAAATTATTATTTTTCTAAATAGGCTAATAAGTAAATAAAATTATAAGCAAAGTGGATAAAAGTAACTTTAAACTGTTAAATTATAATTTTCCATTAGCTGTATGTAAAATAGTTTACTGGAAATAAAAATATTTCAATTATACCCATTCAATTTTATGCTTATTTAAATACTTTAAGTACTTTTAAAGTATATTACATGTTTTGTCAGTGTTCTGTCTAAAGAAACTTATAAATATTTTTTTCCATAATGTATTCTGATCTAAACTAATTTATTGTTCATTGGATATCTAACTAAAAAGTTGCCTTTAAAACTTTTAGATGTTTAGCTTGAACAAAAATAACGATGATTTTTTTTGATTCAGTGATTAGTTTGTCATAATTGAATAATAATTTTTGAAACACTTTAGTTATAAATATCTACTATTTTAGCTGCATTATTGTTTTTAAATAAAATTAATTACTGTTAACATATTTTATCAGATGATTTGGCTGGTAAATATAAAAAAAATCTGATTTAAATCAAAACAATTCTATTTCAATGAAATAAATCCTATTGTTGTATTATTTTTAAAAAAAATCATGAATTTTGTCAATCCTGTTTAAGTGTTGCAATGTTCTCTACATGTTTGCATATTTTTTCAAATGGATTTAAATTTATATTATATTTATACATTTATAACATTTATATATCTATAACATTTATATTTATAAAATTATTATATTTTATAATTTTAATAATTTTTAATAGCTTTTTATTTCTTTCAATGATGTTTAGGTCTTCAATAATCTTTATTTTAACAGAGTGAAATTTTTATTGCAGTTTAGATACTGGCAGGCCAGTCATATCCCTTAATGAAAGGGGGCAACCACAGGTGAGTTACAGCCCTCGTTTAGTCACCCTTATGAGAGAAGTTCGACAATTGAGAGTTCTTGGATACAGCATTCCTAATAAAATCTTGGAAATGGAAGAAAAGGCAAAGAAGCATTATGCCCAAGCTAAAACTTTACAGCAGGTATCTACTGTTTCTGAAGAAAGTTTGATTTGAGATGTAGGAAACAATTATACTGTCTGACAATCACGAGCTGAACCATGGACGAAACTGAAGACAACTTCACTGAGAGTTCACCTCATGATTGCCAGACAGTAGTTTGTGTTTTTTAGTGTTAATGGAATTGTTTATTTCAGAAAACCTCTGTTACCTATCAATAAAGCATTAAAAATAAGTAAATTTCTTAGGTAAACAAATCAACTTATAAGTTAAGCTACTTTAGTGGTAGATAAAAAAAATGTGAAAATACTTCAAAGCAAAACAATAGAATAAATCAAAAATTTTTTTTTTAGAGAAAATCTTTTTTTTTTTTTTTAGAGTTTACATTTTAATAAGTAAAATGTGTAATTAGTGTAAAATGCGTACATAGAATTTTTTTATATGTTAATTTTTTCAAGATTGGCATGTTTTTTTTGAGAAAAATTTAAAATTTTTCTAATATGATCAATTAAATGCAACTATGTCAATGTGTAATAAAATAAAGTAAATCATGTATTTCTTTTAAAAAAATAATTATGAAATTGCAGTTTGAATTTGAAGTCAATTAGTGAATGTTGAGCATAACCACTCAAATTTTAACCTTGTGGCTTTTAAAGTTTTCTGTTAGTGCATAGTGAACTAGGAAGTGTTTTTCAAAATTCAAATACTAGGATATTGTTTTTGCTTATAATTCTTTAAGCTATTTTAAAGTAATAAATTACCTTTTTAACAAAAAATAAAAAAGTTTTCTATTTTACTCCTAACTTTTTTAATTTATTTTTTGGTAATCTGATTATATTCCATTACCTACTATTTACAATTGTCTTTTCAGAATAGTGCATACAAGTTCATAAAAAATAGAGTAAGAACTAAAGCAGTAACAGGATAATATTGTTTATTTATATTTAAAACTAATTACTCCAGAATTTCTTAAAAGATTGATGAAATTGGTTTTATATGTTAGAAAAAGGAAAATGTTATTTAAAAAAGTTATTCAAATGTTCCACATTTAAATAACTGTTAATCTTTCTTCTTAAATGGTAGATGAAATATCCTTCTTTTATTATCTACGCAGTTTGATGACATACTCAAATTTATAAACGGAGTGTACAGTAGAGTGCATCGAAAAATGCTTTCACTTTTTTCTCCTATTGCTGTAGTGTTTAAAAGGTAGGTAGAAAAATGGCTCAAAAATTTCGATTTTTTTTTTGGTTTGTTTAGACTGTATATTATGGTATTTTACATGAGGCAAAGTTACTAAGTAGAAAAATACTATATAGTTTTGAAGAAAAAATTGCAAAAAGTTTTTTTAAAAAAGGGAGATAACTAAATATATAAGCATAAAACAAGTAATTTTGCTTATAAAAAGTTTGTAGTTAATTAAATTCTTGATTCTTTACTTAATGTATACTATTGGCACATGCCTAAGCAAATTCTACCTTTCCTAATAAATAAGTATATCTATGCTACAATTTTCTAACACTCTTATTTATGTTTTTTTTTCTCCATCTGCCATAGAAACCCTCTATATATGATGATTCAAATGTTCATATATTTTTATTGATCCTACTTGATACCCAGTCTGTACTTGGTGTACAAATTAAACCTAATATTAATATACTACCAAAATTTGTTTCATTCAGTTTTGCAAGTGGTGATATTGTATTCCTAAAATATGGATAAAAGGATAGATTCCTAAAATATGGATTTGTTCATTTTAGGTGGTGAATTTTTATAAAACCATTGCTGACCACATGATATTAAGCCAGCAGCCTTTAATGTTGGAAGCTGCCAGGGCTTTCACCAGAGTAGTGGATGAGAAGAATGCTGTTACTTGGGATGATGAAGTTGCTCTGGACACTTACATTGGCAGATTGCACCAATCAGTGGAAAGGCTATCAAAAGAAAATAGGCTCTTGAGGAAACAACATTTTATGGTTGCAGAAATGGTTTGTCCTTTTCTTTGGGAGGGGGAGTCATTAGTTCTCTATTTATGTAAAGCATTATGTTTAGAATATTTCCCAGGTCTAAATGCTAAACATTTCTATGACTGTCTAAAGATAATAAGATTTAAAATAAAAAATCTTATTTTTATTTCTGCAATGGGCTAATTGCTATCGTGACCTTTTGTCTACCCCATGCACAAAGCTAATTTCAAGACTGAAACTATTGTGATAAAAAATAATGATTTATTCAATTTATTTTTAATAAATTTCACTAAAATATTTAATGTTGATTTATTTAAAAATAACTTAATTACTATTTATTTAAGTGAAAATTAAGTATTGATTGTAATTTCAAAGTTATTATATTTTCAATATATGGTCTACAAAGATTTCCTTATTCAAAATTAGACCATATCTTGTTACTTTGATTTTTCATTCCTCAATACTGGTTTAACTTATATTTAGTAGTTTGGTTAAAAAATGTCTTAATTTCCACAAAATATTTCTCAGTCTGAATGTGAAGTAGCAGCACATTATGTTCTTCAGTGTTGTTTGCATGCAAGTTTCTTATATTCATTAATATAATACACTATAAATGAGAATTTAACTTTTTTCTTTTTAGGTTCTCAAATTAATGAATACAGACCTACTTCGATTACAACAAACATGGAAAGACATTCTAGTTGAAATTCGTAGTATCTTTGTGAAACTTCAAGAACAGGTAAATTATTTTAAACAAAATTCTTTTACAATACAACAAATTGATGTTATTAAATATTTAACAGAATGAAGAATGTGATGAACTGACTCATTTTGTTTGCAGGGATTTTCTGCTGAGAACATGCGACCCTGGAGAGCACATTGGGATAGGCAACTATACAAAGCCTTAGAATGTCAATATGAACTTGGTCTTGAAGTATTGACTGAACACTTGCCTGAAATAAGAATTGACTTGATATACAGGTATTGTTTTTGTTTCATTTATTTTTCGAAATTTCTGGTATGTGTAAATTGTTCTTGAAAAATAAACTTATTTTATAATGAGTGATTTTCTGCTTTGAAACTAAGCAAATTCAGAAATATTAAACTTTTAGTTATAATTAGAGTCAGTAAAGTGACACTTGTTAAATACTTTTTGATTAAGACTTAAAATGTTTAACTGTTAAAATGAAATTTTCATGTTTTAAACATTAATAATCAAAAATAAATATATAAATTAATTATTGCTGTTTTTTTTTCCAATATTTAGTTTCATGATCAGGCCCAAGAATATTTTTTTCTGAATAAATGTTTTTCTAATTTGTTTAAATTCAAATTAGCAAATATTTAGGATAATAAAAATTTGTTAAAAAAGTGCTCTTGTACAAATACCATGAAATTATTAAGTTTTGTCAATTTTTATTTTGGGATTTTTTTTCTTCCAATTTTAACCATTTAAACATATTATTTGACTTCATTGAAAGACTTTTTGCTTATTAATTTAAAAAGTTATAGCTCAGATATAGAAAAACAGTATAGAAAGTAGAAGACAATTTTAATTTTAGGTAGGAAAAAAATGAATCTTAATTATAATTTAAACATATGAAGTATTGTATTGTAAGATTAAAATACACTAATATACTTATTAGACAAACATGCTTTATTATGCAAAATATTCAATAAGTTTTCTTGTTCCGCTGTTAAAATGCTGTTGTTCGCCTGTACCGGTAATGCTGGGTAAAAAAATATAAATTAAAAAAACTAAAAGGGAGATTTTTACAACTGAAAATTACAATATGAAAAAAGGTGGCACGTGATAAAAATTATAGTGGCTTGGAACATGGCGAATGTATTCTGACAAAAACCCTTGTAACAAAATGACAATACAATCTAGAAGAAAAATGATAGGGATGAGAATTACCACATACAGTAGGTCACCTTTCTAAATCTAAAGAAAACTAAAAGTTCACTAAAAAAGATTCACGTTTTAAGATGAATAAAGTTCGTTTTATTTCATATTAGCTTAATGGCAGCATCAGAAAAAAATCGCAGACTGCACATTGTATGGAGAGCGTGGTGGTTAGGAGTATCTGGGAGTTTCGTGGTTTCAACTCAGAGCAATAAATCCCCCAAAAAAAACAAAACACAGGAGTGGATGGATATCAGATCTTCAAGAAAACATAGGAGCGTGGTTATGTCAGCATTTTCCGTCCAACTTGGCTGGATAACTCAAGGCAAGCTCGTCGGCGTTGCCTCATTTACCACATGCACCTGGTCGTCGCAAATCCATAGTCAGTCAAAAACTTCTATTGCAATGTAAGACCAACTTATCACATTAAAAAGGATGCTTGATCAAACATGGAAAAAAGGAAAATTTTGTAGACCACGTCACTGCATGGCAGATTTCAAGCTGGTTGTTAAAACTGACTAACATAGAGGATCCCAAAATCAATTTGGTAAAAATAAAGATGGCGCAAAATGAAGCCATTTCTCCAACAACAAAAAAATTCCCCACCTCAGCGAGAAGGCAAAGAAAAATAAAACTCCGATAAGCGGAGAGCCGCAACTTATTTTTGACGACTGAGTATCGAATGCTCTCGAGCGTCTGGCGCTCAGATATTTATACAAAAATGCTTAAAGTTAAAGTGAAATTTCCTAACCATTGGAAGTTTAGTAGTCATATCAATTATTTTTTCAGTGTCATTCCCACCTTCTGATGGAAAATGCGGGAGTTACGGTTATGCATACTCCTACACTCGTAGCCTTCACATGGACATGAAAGATACCGCGGGGCCAGGTGTTGTTCCAAGAAAAAAGGGTAGGGAAGGAATGTGCAGGGAGCGTGTCCCAATTACACTAATGCATTAAGGGGCGAGTAAGAATTGGATCAGTATTTATTTAAATTTTATGATTTGTATCAGAAAATAGATTATAGTGTGACTCGATGTCACAGCGCCTGTCTTTTAATAGTTTTTTTTTTAAATTTAGGAATGGGTGCTTGCAGTTCCGTCCACCAATTGAAGAAGTCCGTGCCAAATACTATAATCAGATGAAAAAGTTTATATCTATTCCAATACTTTTTAAGGGAGTAAATGATGTTTTGGACAATCTCATATTTCCCATCATACTCGATCGTAATGCCTACAGTTTTCTTGATCTGTATCGTAAAACTGAAGCTTTGTTTAAGAGATTAGATGAAGCAAAAAGCAAATTCCAAGTAAGTTTGCTTTTTCATTTTTGATTTGATGAATAGTTGACTTTATTTACTTTTATTTTGTATCCTTTTTTTAGGATTGGGTTTCACTTGGTTCTGTGAATTTAGAAGAATTTGTCTCTCAGAATTGTGTCTCCATAGATGATTGGAAAAGAAACTTCAAAGCTATAAAACTGAAGAGTCAAGAATTTAGTAAAATATCTTTGTATGTACTTATATTTTAATCTTTATATAATTATGATTTTGAAATGATTATGTTATTTAATGTTTTATTACTTGTTTGTATATATATATATATATATACAGTAGAGTCCCGATAATCCGAGTTTCCGAGTCCGAGCTATCCGAGCTCGGTCCGCTTTAACCGAGCTATCAAATATTTTATGGATTTTTTTGTTCTAGTTTATTTTTTATGTTTAAAAAAACCGCCGAAATATAAATCTGAATTTTATCTTCCAAACACTCAGGAAGACGAAATCCAACAACTTGATCCAATGAAATTATCGTTAATATCGTCAATGAAAATGAATCTAGCGAAGATGATGAAGACAGCGATGATTAAAATCAACATATAAAAATCTCTCATACAGATGAACTAAGAGAGAGAAAATGCTATTGAATATATAGAACAACAAAAAGAGGTGACACCAGCCTTCCTATTATCCCTAAAAAATGGCGAAATATTGCTGCAGAAAAGCACCTAAGTTATGCAAAACAAAAAAAGATTAAGGACTTTTTTTAAATAAAAACTATTTAATTCTAGTAAAGTATGCTTTTTATGTGTTTTTAAGTAAGCTTTTTCATTTTAATATGAATTGTATGTTGTATACTCGTATAAATGTTGTATTTGTTATATATATTACATTTATACCTACTCTTTTTCTTTCCTTTTTGTACTCTTCGTTTTAACCGAGTTTTTCAGCTATCCGAGTTAGTCGCGGTCCGCATTAACTCGAATAATCGGGACTCTACTGTATATATATATATCCTTTTTAAAAAATCGATTTTATTTTTTTTAAAATTTGTTTTCTGAAATTTTACTTTAGTGTTGACAGCATTAGCAATAAGGAAAGGAAAATAGATGTCAAGTTTTTTTTCTCAAAATCTGCTGTAAAGCCTTTACCTTGTTTTTTCAACTGTACCGCAGTATACAGGATGTAATAAAACTAATAATTATAGCAGTAAGGCATTTTATACCTTTCCAAGTCAAACAAATTTCATCATACAGTTAGAGTGGAAAAGAAAAAAAAGCCAAGTAGGGTGGTCTTGCTTTCTGTAGGGTGGATGAAATGTTGCATTTTGAAGGCATCATCTTTTAGAGTTTATGAGATATTGACACATTAGAATGTGGAGAAGGCAGATTAGACCTTATAAGCGGGATTTCAAGTGGCAATGCCACGGGTGCAAGTTTGTCATCAGAATTTCTGTGGGAGACGCAGATACTAATGGAATATCAAAAATCTTCAAATGCCAGCCTGATTATCTCCTTTGCAGCTATGAAATCAACAATGTACAGTGCGCAAAAAATGGACCACCCTGAATAACTTTTGATTTAATGATCTAGGACTCAATGGCTGGAAAGGATGACCTCAAATATACTAATCAATAAATGCAGACGTTATTTTAAGTTATGAAATCAGGTACGAAAACGTACTTTCTCTGAACATATCTTTCTTTTGATAGATTCGGATTTCTGACCTCCAAAATATAGGGGTTAGCTGCAATCTAGTAAATATGATTTCAATAGTTTGGTCAGAAAAGTCTGTGAAAGTTAATGTTAGTTTTACTTTTTGCATATTTCCCTTTATCTCGAGAACATTTTAAGCGATTTGAAAAATTTTTGCACAAAATTACGTTTTTGCGTCTGACTTTTCAACTTAAAATATCATATACACTAATTAATTAGCATATTTGAAGTCACCCGCTCGAGTCATTAAGATTGAATCCTAGAACATAAAAGTCCCATTTTTAGATCAAAAGTTATTCAGGGTGATCTGTTTTTTTTTGGTGCATTGTACCTCATGTTTTTTTTATTTGTTGTAAGCTTTTAAATAATAAAGAGTCTTTGTGTTTTATTATCTATTTTTATTGTATTCTTTATTTTAACCAAGCAAACGCCCTCTTATGGCATTTCCATTTCTTGCCAATACCATATTGGTAAAAATTTATTTGTTTTTCAAATTCTAATTCTACTTGCAGCAGTGACAATGATTTTCGTTATGCCTTATTTGCATGTATTGTACCTTGATAACTAGTCAAAAAGTTTTTTTTGAAAAAAATTGTTTTTCTGTCCCTATTTTCATATTTCCTTTTCTTTTCTTTTCTTCTCCTTATATTATTTATTTTGAAAAGAACACTTTAATGCCTGAATTTATTGGCAGTGACCTTTAATAATTCCATTAAATGCAAATAAATGAACCAATCAAAGACAAGAATCAGTGTTTCAGTTTTCATACACTCTTTTCTTCAGCTCCAGTGAAACTACTATGCAAGTAATTTAAATGAAAAATATTTAATATTTTTAACTAATAATTTTATTTGAGGTTATATGATTTACTAGGTTAAATATGTATTCTTTCTAATCTGTAGTCAGTGCAACACTTTTATTCTTGAGCTCCTTTCATTATTAAATTAATTTATGTAGAGTTTCAGAATGTAATACTTGAGAGAATTGCATCATCTTCTTCCTTGTTGAAGGGCGCCAGCCTCTCCAGAAGGGAAAGCCCTGGTATCCACGGAGCCATATAGCCTAGACGGGAAAAGTCCCAAATTTATAATTAACTCTTTTCCATAGAACAATCTAATTTCGCATTTATACTTGATCCGGCAACCCTGCATGTTGGCAGCTCATGATATCGCTGTTGAACTTATTATTTTTTTTATTAGTTGTTAAGTTTTATTATTAAACTATTGTCTTTATTTCATCCCTCTCTCCACCAACTCCTACATTTATTTTGTCACATTTTTTTTGAATTTTTAAAAATATGCTCCTTTTTTCAAGCCTTTTTTTTGAGTTGATATAGTTAAGTATATTAATTCTATCTTCCCACATACCTCTGAAGAAAAACAATTATCCATTTAATTTATACAAAAATTATATGTTTTTATTTTATCATTATTTAGTGCTGTGTTAGCACAGAGGTTGAAACACTGAGTTGTCATTGGGAAGGACCAGGGTTTTATTCTTATAAAAACTTGAAACATTAACCACAATGCCTGTTGTAAAATTAAGTGTTTCAGGGTCAATTAACTTCACTTTATTATAGCTAAAGATAAATTACTATAAAAATAAGCTTTATTTTAGGGATGAAGAGAAATTCGACTGCATTGTTGTGAGCTATGCTCCTACCAAAGCCTATGTTGATTACTTGATTTCAGAATTGGAGAATACTATGATACGATGTCTTCAAAAATCCATATCCTCATCAATGGGCTCTGTGAAGCAATTTCTTAATGATGCCACAGACACTCTCACAAAACATCCAGAATCCATTGAAGATATTGCCTTAGCAACCAGAAAACATGAGGAATTCACTCAGAAAAGGGAACAGGTGTGTAGTTTGTACAAGTTATTTGATTTCTCAGTTTTTTACTTGCTAATTCTTTCTAGATCATTGATTTGTAATTCTAATTACTTTTCTTACTATTTGTCTGTTAATAAATCCCAAATCATTAATTTACCATTATAGTCATTTGATTTGTTGTTTTTTTATTAATGGTTTGCAAATTCCTACTATATCATTGATTTGTCATTCTTCGTATTTGATTTCTCATTTTTTATTAATTGTTTGCTAATTTTTTCTAGATCATTGATGTGTCATTGTCATTTTTTACTGATTGTTTGCTAATTCTTCCTATATCATCGATTTATCATTTTAGTCATTTTCTTACTAATTGTTTGCTAAGTCTTCCTGCATCATTGATTTGTCATTTTTCTTACTAATTGTTTGCTAATCACTCTAGATCATTGTTTTGTTATTCTAGTGACTTGATATTTTCTTACTATTTCTCTGTTAATACTTCCTATATTTTTGATTTTTCATTCTAGTCTTTTGATTTCTAATCTTTTTACTAATTGTTTGCTAATTCTTCCTATATCATTCATTTGTCATTTCAGACATTTTCTTACTAATTGTTTGCTCAGTCTTCTTACATCATTGATTTGTCATTTTCTTACTAATTGTTTGCTAATTTCTTTATTAGATATTGAATGAGTGTAAAGAGTTGGAAGCTAAAAATGAATTTCTAAGTAAATGGTCGAAGCAAGCCTCTTTTGACTTAGGAGAAGTTAAAGTATTGTGGGAAAACTTTGAACACACCTTGTCTGATCACAATGAAATTGTTGAACAACAAGTAAGAACTGAAAGATGCTTAATTTGTTGTTAAAGTTGTGATTTTTAAGGCTTTATTGAGTACAGCAACTAAATATGCTGTAATATGAAGGGTGTTTAATACAGTTCCCATTTTCTTACCTGCATAATTATGATGATTATAAACTTTCATTGAAGAAAACAAAACCGTTAGTAAAGCACAAATAAAGGTTCACTTGTGTTTTATTCACATTGTTCGTTTTAATTCTTTTTATTCATACATAGAAAAGTATACCTCATTTGTATATAACTGGCCTTGTTAAATTTGCTCTTAAAATTTTTTATAAGCTAATGAGACACTTTTAAAATATAATGGAAAAAATTATTTGTATCAAAAATAACATTTTAAAATCAACGGCATAGTAATTAACTTTTTTATAGCAATAAATAAGGGATAAGTATATAAAATAATTATTGTAAAAATATGCATTAAATTTCAAACATACTAGGAAACTAAAACAAAAATGGCTCTTGTTTGTTTTAGATGGAAGTACTGAAATCTGCTGTATCTTCTCAACTCAAAAGTTATACTTTGGATGAAGAACGGTTTGCAGCACGTTGGCACCAGATGAAGCCACGAAGCGATGTGGAAATACAAGATTCAAAGCAAATACAAGACATTGTGACCTTTCTTAAGGAGAAACGATCTGAATTTAATGTCTTAGAAGAAAAAAATCAAAGACTTTTGTAAGATTTTTTTTTGTTCTGCTATACTATGAAGGAAAAATAAATCCAACTATTATAGAATTGTATTGAAAATTTATATTTGGTTGAAATTAAGTTTTAAATTATGTTTGTTAAAAACCCTTCAATTTTTTTTCTCATTAATGGTAATTACACTGAACATTCAAAATTAATCAAAAATCTGTAACACTGATCGAAAATTAATGTATTTTGAGTAGTTATTTCACTTTGAATATTTATGTTTCACTTAATTTTTAAATTAAATTTAATGAGGATTTTGAAAATCCATGCTTTTAATGCATTTATTAATCTCATTAATATGGTTTACATTACTTATTCTATACATTAGACATTAGGTTTGTGTTATGACTTGCATCAAACATTCGGGATAGTTCCAAAAGTCCCTTTATTTTTTTTAAAAAAAAATTTCAGATTTAAGAATTTAAGTTTCACTTATTTACGTTTTTTTTCAAGCTATTTATATTTAAGTTTTTTTGTTTAAATTTCTTTTATTTAAGTTCTTAATTACTTGAATGTACTTCATAGTGTTTTGAAAATCTATATTTTTATTACATTCATTGAAATTTATTCATTTATTCATAGTAGGTTTACATTATTCATTTTATATATGAGGTACCTGAGACTTATCAAAAACTGAAGAAAAAAATTAATTTAAAATATTAGATTTAGTTGGTTTAGTATCATAAATAAGTTCATAGTATCCCAAGGAATTACTTATGATGCTAAATTTTTTGTAATCAAATTAAAAAGTTGTAAAATATACAATATATTCCAATGATATTGAGTTTAATGCAATTTCACCAGTGGAGAATAGTCCATGAAATTTGTTTCCGTATTAATTTTATTCAATTTCTTAATTCATGTTTATCAGTTTTATGTACCTAATCCTATTGATAAATACCATGAATTGTTGTTATTAAATAAATTAATAAGGAAATCAGATAAAATAAAATTTAGGTGTAGCATTTTAAAAAGAAAAGAAAAAATTGTTTAAATTAGTAAATTTAAATCTATAAAAGTTTACAATGCTTCATTAAGTGACAGTTTTTAATTAATTGATTTTTTAGAGGTGATATTCGCCACTTCAACTTGCCTGAACCTACTTTTCAACTTGAACATTTAAGAGAAGATATTGAGACGGCAGAAAAACTTTGGCTGACATATGATGAATTCCACAATGAGTTGGATGAATATTCTAAAGAGGAGTGGATTGTCTTCCGGTAGGATTTCAGATGTTTGTTCTTTTGTTGTCATCTATTCCTGAGTCGTACTTGATTGCTATGTATTGGTTTTTCTTCAGAAACAAAATTCACCTCTTTGAGTCTTTTCTGAATGACTGGATGGAAAAGTTTCGCAATGAGAGTTCATCCGGAGATTCCACCTCAGTGTCATTAAGACTACATCAAGATATTGTAGATTATTTGGTAGGTTTGCGTATTTGTTTTTTTTAAATAAAAAAAATATGAACCCTATGTTTGAGGGACATATAATGCACAGTCAAGCAATAAAACATTTAGGGACATACAACTGGTTCAGTGCTTTTGAAAATCATTTACATTCTTGGAACTTATCTTTTGAATTGGAATCTTTCTATGTTGGCATCAATGTGTCAGAAAGGAAACTTTTCTACTGGGCTGTTGCAGCATTTTTAACAACGGCATACATTTTAATACTTAGGCTACTTTTTCAAAAATGAAAATTTTAATGGAATAAAAAAAACTATTGATAATAATGTAAAGCATTTCTTCTGAAGCGTTTCTCAAAGTATGGTAAACATTACTAGATTTATTTCAAAAATGAAAAATTTAAGAAATAAGCATGAAATAAACAAATATTATAAAGTATTCTTAATAATTTGATAGATTGTGTTATTATTATTTAAAAAAATAATAATAATAACACATGGAGTAAATTTTCGGACCCAAACGTGGCAATCAAGTAATGATTGGTGTCATTAATCACCACAATTTTTTTTTTTATCACCACTTGTTATATTTAGTCGCCATGTTACCAGTGGTGACTGTAAATTTTGTCCTGTGCATCAATGATACTTGCCAAGAACGCTGAAGAAATTATATATCATTCATTTTATTATACAATTCTAAAATAGAATTTTTTTTATCCTTTTTTACCTTTTCTTCTAATTTGTTTTGTTTTTGGTTCTTCATATTGGCACTGAATTTTTTTGCTTCAATCATATGTTTTTCTTTCTTTTATAGGAGGTTCTTCCATTGTTAAAATTTTGTCGTGGCGACACGTTCTCCCCTCAACACTGGGGAGAAATGTTTAGGTTACTGGATATTCCTGAAGTATCTGTTGATCGTCTGGAGTTCGGGCACTTTCTCAGAGCCAGAGCTTTAATCAAGCTGAATGCAGAAGCACTTAAGGTAGTTATTTGACTCAATGTACATTAGGATGTAGAGGAAAATTTTGAATTTACATTTTATGTAGTCTCAAAATAAATAAATTCCTAAGCTAGATTTTATTTTAAAGAAACTTATATTAATTTTTTGTTTTTAGTAAAATATTAAGTTTTATTTAATTGTTTGATGCTTGAGATACAAAAATAAATAAGAGACTATTTTATAGAAAATGTGTCATATTTTTCTCTAAGAGAAAATATTAGTGGTAATAAGTCATATTTAAATGTTCTGCAGAATTTGAATGATAGGGCTCAGGGAGAGGTCACCATACGAGAGGCTCTGAATGAGTTGGATTTATGGGGAGCCAAAGCAAGATTCTCACTCACTGAACATCAGGATTCTGCTGGAAATGCAATCTCACTCATCAAGGATTGGCGAGATCTTCTCAACAAAGTGAGTCATTGTCTATGTGTCCACTCTATTTTAATCACATTGTAATGGTATATATTTCGATTAATTTTGAAAGTTTAGCAAGAATAAAATAAAATTTTAACTAGTACATTAAAATAGAACAGAATTGTATTATAATGCTGCCCATTTTGATCTATCAGTAGTTTTATGCATCAAATCTCTTTCTAAAATGCAATAAGTAGCAAAAATTGGTATATTCAATAAACAATATTTTTGTAGTGCGTTTAGAATTATTTTCCTAAGAAATATATTAACACATGTAATTATGTAACATTTTTTGTTGCTTAGCTTATTAAATTTGGCTGTCACTATTAGCAAACGCAGTTTTTTTTCTTTAAAAAAGCATATGAGGATTACATGCATATGAGGGTTGTTCATTTTGAATATATCTTTCTTATAAAATTTGAGAAATTGTAAAAGTTAATTTAAAGATAGGTTATGAAAGTAAGGTTTATTCGTGTTTCACNTTTAACTCATATTTTTTTTTTTTTTTAAAAAAAGATTACCTTCACTCACTACTATCTTCCAAAACCTGACGCATTAGATCTTGCAATTTTTTACCACCTACTAAAAGGAAATTAGTTAACGGCTTGCCACTGATTTGAACTTTCTTTTTGGATATCAGATGTAATGCCAAATTTACTGCACTATTGATATTTTAAATTCAATTCCTGGATTTATATTTTCCTTCTAACTCTTTGATAACTAAGAACACTTTTTTATTAACTCTGTAGGAGTATGTTCTTGTAGTTTATATTAAAAAAAATATTTTATATAATTTAGGTTGGTGAAAATCAATGTCTCCTTCAATCTCTTAAAGACACCACTTTTTATGAACATTTTAAAGATAGAGCATCCATCTGGGATTCTAGACTTGGACTTTTAGATCAGTCTTTACATCAGCTCAATGTCATCCAAAGAAAATGGGTGTATTTGGAACCCATATTTGGTCGTGGTTCACTACCTTCGGAAAAGACTCGTTTTCTTGCCATTTGTAAAGAATTTAGGTATCTTATCTCTTTTATTCCCTTATCTGCCAACTATATTTAATCTTAATTATTATAACTGATTCTTAATAATTTATTTGTAGTTTTCTACCTATAATGCACGAATTATATGGGTTTGACTTTAAAGTTTAAAGTTATAATTACATAGTTAACACCCAAAACTTCCTTTCATGTAAAATTAAAGTTTAATTTTACATGAAAGGAAGTTTTGGGTGTTAACTATGTAATTATAGCTTTATTTGTTTGGATCTAAGTAATTCAAGTCAATTTTTGTTTACCAAATGCTCCTAAATGTCAAATCACATCTAAAAGTAATTTTTTTAAGAAAAATATTACTTCTCGAAAAAGTTTGCTGATGCCAAAGGATTTTACAGACAGGAAGGATTCTCTGGAAAGAATTATTTTTCTTTACGGAACTATAAAATTTTTTGTACAATTCTCTCAACTTTTTTTCTGTCGTCTATAAAGCTTAGAACCTCATTTCCTAGTAAAGTGTAAAATTGTTTCAAAACTTATATTCTAAGTTGGAAACTAAAATAAGGTAAGTCATTTGTATAAATCATCACCTGTATCTATAAATCATCACCTATATATCTATAACACCATCTATATCTATAAATCTATAACACCATCTATATCTATACACAATTTATATCTATAAATCATCACCCGAAAAAAAAAATTTTTTTTTGGGTTCTTTAAGTTTCTTTCAAAAAGTTTAAACCGTCTGATACCATTTCTTTTATTATTAGATAAAAATTGTACATTTAGATGTGATTTGACGTAAGCAATAAATACAAATCGTACACATTGCATTTTTTAATAATTATTTTGGTATTCCACTACATACTTTGAAAATGATGGTGCAAACAATAGTGTCTGTTATTCTTTGATTTTAACGACATTTTTCTTGTGTTTTAAAAAATGCAAACTATTTTTAAAATTTTTTTTATTGAAAAACATGAAAAATTCAATTTTCTTATAGTTGAATTTGTAATATATAAGTTTTTCTACTTCCAACACTATTTCAAGTCATTGAATTAACACTGCATGCGAATATTTTCTTTTTGAAAAATATTTTTTGTTGCCTCATTTCAATTTTATCCTTTTCTTTTTCAGGTTTATAATGAATAGCATTAGCCAAGATGATAGGGTCCTGTCTTTGGTTTCAATATCAGGTTTGCCAAACATACTGAACAACCTTCAAGACCAACTGACTCGTTGCCAGCGTGCTTTAAATGCATTTTTAGAAGTACAATCCATTTTTTCTAACTTATTGAATTCGACTTTTTTTCTCCAATTTCTTATAATTTATCTTCTTTATACTTTTTCCAGGAAAAACGGTCAATGTTTCCGAGGTTTTATTTCTTGGGAGATGAGGATTTGCTTGAAATTCTCGGACAATCAACAAAAGCTACAGTCATTCAGTCACATCTTAAAAAACTGTTTGCTGGTATTCATCATGTTGAGTTTGATGAACATATCACAAAAATAACATCTATTGTTTCTTCTGAAGGAGAAGTTGTTCACCTTAAAAAGCCTGTTTTTATATCATCAGATATTGAGGTATACACTATAGAGCCTTATTTCCTCAAATTTCAATATGTCAATTGATTAGAAAGTTTTGTTTTGTTGTTTGGCAAGTGAAATAAGTAGCATTTATTAGTAAAAAAATATTTAAAAAAAGGAAAAAATATTTAAAAATTTTCTTGTCACACCGTGGGAGTAATAAGAAAAGAATGTTTTTCTAGATTAAGAATGCGCACTACACTCTTTTTATAAGCGGGAGACAAAAAAAAGAAGAAAAAAAAAGAAAGAAGGAAAGAAAATTTAGCTTTCAGAGAGCTTAATGAACTTAGTTTTTATAAATTTTAGTTTTTTTTTATAATCTTATAACTAAATTATTTCTTAATTTCTTAGTGTATTAAGAACAATATTATTTTGTCTTAATAATTAAAAGATGAAGACCAGAAACTTACATATAATGTTCAGTAAAATGTTTTAAGTTTGTTATACCTCGTCTTCGGTTATAAGATTAAATTATTGAAAGCTTTTAACATTGTCTGAAAAAAATTTATTTTGTTATTTTTGTACCCACTTTATTTATATTGCATTCTTTAATGCTTTTTAAAATCAATTTTAAAAAGTAAAAAATAATTGAATTATTGAAAAAAATAGTTGAGTTATTGTAATAATAATTAAACTATTGAAGAAAATATATTTTTCTTCTAAACTTGCATTTACATTGAATAGCTAAGTTATATTTAGTTTGTAGATTTTGCGTTCAAATATTATCAGAAGATTTTGAAAGTTTCTGATGCAAAAAATAACTTTTTTCAACAAGAATTTCATTATATGTCGTTCAAAAAATTTTTTTTTGAAAAAGTCAATTTGTTTAATGGGAACTCATTGTCAGAATATTAAAGTAAAGTGAATTATTCCCACACCAGTTTGTTGTAGGCCAGGGGATCATGGAAGTTAAGCATTCATGATTTTGTGATTAATGGTAGGATATGGTTGCACGGTGGCCTAAATGGTTCATTATAAATTAACCTTTTTTAATAATTTTGTTTTGGTTATATATTTAATTTTTTACTAATAAAAATAATACTTGTTTGTATAAATTTTAACGTATTAGCTGTTCAGCTACTTTGAGAAATTTGAACGGCTATGTATTTCCCTGTTATTCAGAACTTTTCTATTAAAAAACATAGAAAAAGACTGATTTGTAGAAACTAAGTGCTACTCTAAACTTAGTTTGTACTCAATAGTTTAAGAGCTTTTGTGATATAATATTCTAAAACTTAGCAGAAATATTTGCATTAATCTGGTAATTTTAAGTATTTAGTATTTTTTTTATAGATTTGAAATTTTAGTTTTTACTAAATGGGAAATTTTTAATTTTTTTAAAATTTGATTAATAGCCTTCTTTAAAATTGCTTTATGTGTCAGCAATAAGGTGTTTTTTACTTGTTACTGTTTGTGATATTTAATGCAAAAAAAGGCTGAATTTGAGAAATAGATTTGTTCATTCTTCCCCCCAAGCCATTAAAATCGAAAAAAAAAATATTAACAGTAATAGATGTATTCAAACTACTGTAATAATCATAATTTTCTCAATATAAGGGCATTTTAAGATTTAAATGCGTAATATTTTTGTTTTGCGATTTCCTGGCTAAGAAGGGAGCTTCAATCCAGCAAACAATTTCTGGTCTCCATTATCACTTCATTAAGGCTATTGTTAGAAGCGTTTTCAGGACCTCCTTTTTCCAGGATCTTACTTATAAAAATAGTGGTAAACCACGGATAGAACAGATTTGTGAAATTCCCGATTGGTCCAGAAAGAAATCTGTTGCAATTTTTCATCTTGTTTCTGGGCATGATTGCCTACTTAAACATCTTCATTCCATTAATGTCACATCGGACTCTCTATGTACTCTTTGTGGTCTTAAAGAGGAGGTGGACTATTGTCATCTTCGCATCTGCCCTGCTCTTCCCCATATTTCAATTTGGAAGTGTTATTGGGTGGCAAAAGCCGCCCTAAGTTTATAGATTTACTGATGTCACGTTTATTCTTGTTATGTTTTTGTGTTATTGTGATTTCAGGTGTCTTGTAACTTGCCATTGGAAATAAAAAATTTTAACTTATTTTACTAGAATTAATACTTATGTCAGTATCTTTAATGTGTAAGAAAAAGTTTAATAAATCACATTATCAAGAATATCACGTATAATTTATTATAGTAAAATTGCAAAGTGTATTCATTCTTAGTAAATTTTACTTATGTAGTAATGATGTAATTTAAATCTCAACTAATACAATTATAGTAAATAAAAATCAGATGTAAATCTTGAAATATTGCAACTTCATGGATGAGTATTATGACTCTTCTATTAAATATTGTCTGCACTTATATTTGCCATACAATATAATTAAGATTCAATATTGTAAAACATATATTGTAATTATAACGTACAGTGAATTTCTTGTTTCAGGTATGGTTACATCAATTGGCCAAGGAAATGCAAAATACTTTGAGATCTCTTTTAGTAGAATGTACTGAGAAAAGCAGGCAAGGAGATCAGAATATTAATCCTCTTCAATACCCTACTCAGGTAAGGTTGTCCTCTCTTTTATTATTTGTTTAAAAACGTTGATACCACAAAAGATCTTTTTTTTTACCAGTCTTTCCAGATTACCAGTTTTAAATTTTACATGTACCAATTTTAAATTTTACATGTACCAATTCTAAATTTTACATATTATATCAAAATGATATGTTAACAAAACTCTTATATATCATTAAGAACTTTCAAAGGATTCATATTAACAAAATAAATCTTTTAACAATTTTTATGTGTGCAAGCCTCTTACAAAATATTTTATTAAATCTCATCATGCAATCTGAAAAAAAATACAATAATTCATTATTTAAATGTAATTTTCTTAAAATGTATGACTGATGTATTTTATTTCTGGAAAAATCATTTATCTTTAAATTAATATTTAAAAGCTATTTATGTGTAGCATATTTTTGTTGCATTTTTAAAGATATATAGTTTATGCAGTAGAAAGATTTATAGCTAGGCTTTTGCATTGCTATAACCTGTCTAAACATCATAAGTTTTTTCAGAAACTGAATCTGTAATATATAAAAAAATGAAACTTTGATAAATTAAGACTAGTACTAAGTTCCATCATGCAAATCCATTTTCATCTGTATGAATACTTTTCTGCCATAGTTAATAAACAAGAATTGTTTCTTTTTTACCTAATACTGTACTTACTTATCTAATACCATATTAAAAAGCTGTTAAATGAAAATTCCTTAATGTACATTAAGAAAATCAAGGCAATTCTTATCTGTATTTTTAATTTCAACTGTTTTCTTGCCTTCTTTATCGCCTAATGATGTTCCTCTTATTTAAACATAGTCATTTCTATAGTATTTACTCTCTGTTACTATTCTTATTTAGGTGTTGTGCCTGAGTGAGCAGATCTTGTTCTCTGAGCGATGTGAAGAGGCCATCTCCAGAGGTTCGCTCTCAAGTTACCTCAAGGAACTGCAGTCTCAGTTGGATTCATACACTTCAGCCAATATGACTTCTTCAAGAGAGGTGCCCATTGTACACTTAAAACTGAAAGCCCTCATTCTTGACACTATCTATGATATAAGTGTTGTAGAAGAGCTCTTGAGGGACAAGGTGAGGGCTAAAAGTGATTGGTCATGGCTTAGGAGACTCAGGTGTGTATTGGGTTTGCAGTATGGAGCAAAAAATTGAGACTTTTATAAGTTTTGCATTTTCTGTGAATCTCGTCACCATTTTTTTTATGTAAAAGATGTTATAAGGAAACTAAAGGACCGAACATAATGACTCAATAAAAATCAATATTTTTGTTTGTTTAAAAATAAATTTTATTTTAAAAATTTAATTTGCATGAAGAATTAGGAATTAACTCTTATTACTTTTTTTGTAGTGTGTCTTATTTTAAAATATATTTATTTCCAGATTTTACATGATTTCTAATGGTACAGTGTATGGAAGAATGGTTGATGCGGAATTTGAGTATAGTTATGAGTATCAAGGTATTGCTGCAAAACTGGTTCATACTCCTTTGACTGATAAATGCTATCTTACTTTGACTCAAGGTATTTATCGTTTTCTGGACAATAAATGTTTTTTTTTTCCTTGTATTTGATCTTTTATTGTTTTTTTTCTAAATTGTATTAAATTTATTTTATTTTGTTGTTTATATTTGTTTATTTTACTTGTTTGATATTATTTCTGTTAATTACTAACAGTGAGTACAAAAGGTTGAAATTTTTAGTGTTATTATTTTGAAATTTTAAAAGATTGGAATTTTTATTGTATATTATTATGTAGAACTATTTAAAAGGAGGATTGGGTATAATTTGTTCTACATAGATCGAAGCACAAAACAATGTGACTAAATCAAAAATAAAGTACAGGTTCCCCTAACGAGAACGTTCCTCTGCATCTAAATATCAAATGTTTGATGTTTCTTCTTTAGAAGGTTCTTCTTTAGAGAACCGAAACTAAAGTATATCTATTTCTGTACTTTTTTGTGCTGCATTTGCATTGTTTATTGCTTCAATATCTTCATTTGTTTTAATATTTGCAATTTATTTTAATTTAAATTCTAAAATAGATTATTTAATTTTTCTCAGGCATGCATATGGGCATGGGTGGAAATCCTTATGGACCTGCTGGTACTGGCAAAACAGAATCTGTCAAAGCGTTGGGCTCTTTATTTGGTCGCCAAGTCTTGGTGTTTAACTGTGATGAGGTAATCTTGGAATGCATAATTAAATTCATCAACTTATTCGATTTACTCTAGTGCATGAATTAATTTAAACTGGATGTAAACGCTTAAAGCTTTGTAATAGTAAATAAAAACAATGTTTCGTTATTTTATGAGCTCCTCTTCCATTGTAGCAGATGTATCTCAGAAATTGTAATGAAACTGAATTTTACTCTCACAAATCAAAATTTTGAATTGATATTTGTTGAAAACAGAGTAAAATGAATTCAGCCGACCAGCTGGTCGAACGGTTAGAACTGACTGTGAAGCCAATGGTTGCGGGTTTGAACCCTCTCAGGGTAAGGATGTTTCTCTCAGTGCTATCCTCTGTAGTATGAATGTGGCCCACGCGGGTCCAAAAGGGTACTGTGGCAGTGTGTTCATGTGTGATGTTGCGTGCCTCTGTAACTTTGGGTCACAAGGTGCTCACCAGGCAACGCAAAATGAACAACACCTTCGGCATCTTCCATGGCGAAGAAGGATAAATTCGGTGTCTACCATTAAAAAAGTAAATAAATAAATAAATAGAGCACAGGTGAAGCTTTGAGCAATTTTCAGTACACCATTATTCTTCTTGAATTGCTTCAATTTTTTCAGAATGCATAGTAACCCGTTTCTGTATGTTCTTAAACTTTTAACCGATGAAACATACTGGTTAAACTGTTTTTCAGTATGTTTAACATGTTCATATTTCAACAATGTAAAATCCTTCTGTGCTATACTTGTTAGATAACTAAGAGTCAACTGTTCTTAGCTTTTGAGATTAAATTTTGTCATTTTAGTATTGAGCACCATTTAATTTTAATATATATTTCCTGAAATTTTTTTTTGTTTATTTCAGGGTATTGATGTAAAGTCAATGAGTCGTATTTTTGTTGGTTTAGCAAAATGTGGAGCCTGGGGCTGCTTCGATGAGTTTAACCGACTCGAAGAATCAGTCCTATCAGCATTATCTGTATCAATACAAATAATTCAAACAGCTCTGAAAGCAAACACAAGAGAAATTGAATTGGATTCTAAAAAAGTAAACAAATGCTTATCCTGTTAAATACTATATTGTAACTATTGAATACATTTGCATGTACTGTGGTTTCATTCAAAATAAAGTAATAGTCATTAGTATCTATGATCATTACTGTCTTGATGATCATTCTTTATAATTTCACCCTTGAATTTGTTCTGTTAACATGCTATGTATTTTTAGTTACTATTTGATTTTATTAATTTATAATTGTAAATAAAACACATTTTAAAAACAATAAAATATATGTAGGAATCAGGATAAGAAGTTTTTTTTTCTGAAATTATTTTGTTCCTTTTTAGAATAATCTCATTGTTTAGAACTGTCGCCTCTGAACTGTTTATGTAAAAATTATTTTTATTTTAATTGATAAATGTGAATGGCTACTTTGAACATATTTATTTATTAAGGACTATTTCATTCGAGCTATTTATTTACTAATGATTTCAATTTTGAGTAAAAACTGTAAATAAGTACCTATTGAACAATTCCATGTTTTAAAAACTGTTTCATTTTGACTATTTATATACATAATTTCAACTTTGAGTATTTCCTATTAAACGGAAAACCATTTTAAATTAATAAGGCTACTTAATTATTTATTAAAAGAGTTGCCTTTTCTATTGTTCGATTTATACATATTAAGTCCTTTACTAGTTTGTTCTAACTACAGTGACATGTATTTTCAATAAAAAAAAATTGTTTTATGTCTTTTAAGAGAATTTACTGTATATTGCCATAAAATAATCAGCTTGTCACAATCTATGCAGATCAGAATTTTTGATATCTTTCTTAAGTTTAATTCTTACAAATCTTAAATTTAATGAACTTTAGCTTATTAAATTTAATATATGACATTAATATATACATTTTAATACACATATAATACGTTTTAATACATATAATATATTTTAATGTACGTATTAATATATACATTCGTTACTATTTTTTTGAAAATCAAGCTGTTACTTGACTCATAATAGCTTGAATCATTAATACTTTAAATCCTTTGAACCTGTTTTTTTTTCAGGTGAGCATTGATTTTAATGCTGGCATATTTATTACTATGAATCCAGCTGGAAAAAAATATGGTGGACGCCAAAAATTGCCAGACAATTTAAAACAGCTCTTTCGTCCTGTTGCTATGACTTCACCTGATAATGATCTCATCGCTGAAGTTCTCCTCTTCTCTGAAGGCTACAAAAATTCTAAAGAATTAGGACGGAAAGTTGTTGCTGTGTTTTCACTCGCTAAGTATGAAAAATGGGACGGATCATCCTTTCTATAAGTTTTGCTGTTTTATTTTATTCAATTAAAGACAGTTTATAATTTTTATTTGCAGAGAGCTTTTATCTCAACAGCAGCATTATGACTGGGGATTACGTGCATTAAAAACAGTTCTTAAAAGTTGTGGAGAACAGCTTCAATCAGCTAAGCATTCATCTTCTGGCAAAGAATTAGGTATTCAGTACCTTGTTTGTCACTTTGTGAAAAGTAAATTTTGATATTATGTGAACTAATGTGCGATATAGGATGAATTAAAGACACCAGACACCTAAGTGGCCTCATCTGGTAATTTTCCTATATCTAGACACCATTTTTAGGTATAACATAGCTACCATTACAACTGCAGCTATTTGAAAGTTAAGAGGCTTTAGTGGCATCCTGTGTATAAAAATATTTTTATTTGGAGTTTTATTAATATGATCTTGACTATTTCTTCTTAATTTTTTTCACTAACCAGCCCTATAGTGACTTAATTCTTTTACTATAGATAGGAACAACTTTATAACATGGTTTTATATCAACGTTTTCCTCACAACACTTTACAAGAAAATGGTTAAATTTTTTTTTATTAACTTAAAAATTATTTAGGTACTTTATTTACATTGCACTAGAACTGCACAAAATGGGGTGTTGAAGACAGTCTAGGAAGCATCCCTGAGGATGATCGAAGACACGTCATCGCAATGCTGATCCTCTACAAAGGGGGTGGCTCCCCTGCCTTCGGTAGTCCGACGACCTGCGCATGAAGTCGAAAATTTTACGATGGAACAGTTTAACGAGGGTCTATACAGCGCACCCTTGGTCCCTATGCAGACTCATCAAAGTGGTCCCCCACCCACTTATTGACCACAACCGTCAGTGATGCTCGACTTTGGTTTTCTGCTGGGAACAGTGTCTTTCGAACAGTCCACTGGGGAATAAAAACTATCTAAATATGCTATATTTTTATTTAAATATTTTGTTTACCTTAATTGTTCTTTGCCAGTATAAAATTCATTAGTATATTTTTTTCCAGATAAAAAGTTTGAAAGCGACCTTGTAGTACAAGCCCTTCGTACAAACACACTATCAAAACTTACTTATACTGATTGTTGTCGTTTTGATGCCTTAATTTGTGATTTATTTCCTGGTGTTCAATTCAAGAATATTCAATATGAACAGCTTTCAGAAGCTATTAAAACTTCTATGGAACAAATGAAACTAGTGTATTCTGAAATTCAAGTAAGTGAACGTTTTGTTTATAAATTATTTATAGTTTTATGCAAAGGCATTGTGAAGCCTGTACGTGGGAGTACCCTCAATGATTCTTCAATAAAATTCTGTTTTAATTGTTAATATCCCAACTTAGTTTAAAAACTAATTTTAAAATTTATTTTTATTTAGTACATATAGGTTTATGTTATAAGTGGAATAAAAATGAATATTTTTGTGTGGTGTTTGTATTTTATGACAACTGTTTTTTTTAAATTAAAATTTTTGAATTTTATCTAAATGGGCAAAATCTTACTTTAAAGTAGTTGTAATTTTGAGAATTTTAAGCCAAATTCAAATAAAAACAAAAGCTTCTATACACTTATGTAAGTTCTTTTTGCAAAACGTTTGAATTTTTAATGTTCCTCTACTGAAAATTTACAATAATACTGGTAATTTAATTTCTGTAAATTTAATTTCTCAAATGATATTTTTATTAGTAATGGTTTGATGAATAGTATGATTTATGTTATTCGAAATAATTGTTTTTCTTTAAACATTTACTTCTGTTTAAATCAATAAATTAATTAATACAATAAAGTCCGCTATAGCAATAATTCAGATACATCACAAACCTATTTTAGACTAATAAACATAATGTATAAATAGTAGAAGAAAGACAAATAAGGAAATGTATATATTTACCTCTTTTTATTTTTATTTTGATCGTCTATTTTTATTTGAAATACAGTAAACTCCCGATTATATGTGGAATTGATTGGTCTACCTAGCACGGATCAGCGAATTCACGGATAATCTGCAAAATGCATAAAAAAGACACTCATCGTCAATTTTAATACAAATGATAAATTTTAATATCTTTGATTATCTATTATCAGCGGTTTTCTTCACATTTTCGTCTTTTAAATTTTTTTATTATTACTGTATGCTTGATGTTGGAAAGGCAGGAGGCTAAAATAAAACATGTGCAAGCAGACTTTTAATTCAGGTGTTCATTCATTATTTAGAAAAGATTAGCACAAAACCCAAAACAATGTTCAAAACACATGAATTAGTTCTTATAAAGAGTTACCATACCTAAACTACTCTTAGAAACTCTTATCAGTAACAAAACTAAAAATAAACAACTGACAGCAATTCTGAAGTCATGAATATGGTCCATAAATTATTCCCTGATTCATTCTTTTTCCTTCAGAGGTATTAAGTATATCAGGGGTTGTGTGAGGCCTATACTCATTTGTTAATTATCAATTTTATAATTGATAAGAGTTCCAAGAATGTGTTGCATGTTGACTAAATAAATTACTGAGGATAATTTATTCCCATTCATTATAAGAAAGCAAATCATGCTGCTATCATCTTGCTATCAATATCATTGCTCTGAATAGTAACAATAGGATCCAGAAGAAGATAGTGCTTTGATGGATGCAGAATTTATTCATTGAAATTTGAACTTCATCCTGCATTGGTAGTTCTACAGCTGTAACATGACTCATGTTGTCTTTCTCTTTTTGAATTCCTCCCCATTTTAAACCTTTCAATCCTCCTTTTTACTTAGGTATTGCACTTGAAGTTGCAATGTTTAAATGTAGACCCATTATTTGACTAATTGTCAACACCTGCGCTACAAACATGAATGTTTGGTAGTATGTTCTCCAATCTCTTAAAATAGTTCCATCTTTATGAATTTATTAATTTTCAATTCTAAATGCCATGTTGTTTATCATTGCAAAAAGAAAAGTGAAGCGCAGATGATCTGCTAAGTGGGTGGACCACCCGTGGATAACTGGGAGTTAACTGTATGTACATATATAGAGTAGGCTGTTTTTACCTATTGATTGTAAACTGAATTGTGTAGTTGTGTATTTTATGGAAAGTACAAATGTCTATGACAGGAATGTTTGAACAACAAGTTTCCAAATTGTAATAAGTTTTTTTAAAAAAAATGAAATGCAATATTTTTTGTGCGTACAATGCTTTCGTGTCTCATACCTTTTAACACCTTTATCTGCAATAGCTTTTGTGTCTCATGGTGAGTAGGCTTGCTAAGGGTTGAGGATCCACTGAGCTATGACGTCCGTAGCATAGCTTTTGATAGGACTCCTACACTGGACAAGTCAACAAAACAATGGTAAAGCACCAGACAAATAGATAACTCCCAGAGTTTTTTTGAAAATAGTTTTATTTTTTTTAGTTACTTGTGTACCACAGGCTTTTTGTTTCCTACTTTAGAAACCATTTTCAAATATGAAAATTTTCTCAAATGTTATATAGTTTTTTTTGTATTATTTTAAAAGTTTTGTTAGAGATTTAGTTGCATCCTTTTTCAGGTGAAGAAAGTTTTGGAACTACATGAGCAATTGCAACAGAGAATGGGTGTAGTTATAGTGGGACCTAGTGGATCTGGAAAATCAACACTATGGAAAATTCTTATGAAATCCCTGATTCTTCTTGGTCAGCAAGTCAAGCATTATGTTGTCAACCCTAAGTCTATACCAAAGCCACAAGTAAGCCTTTTTTTACAACATTCTTACAATAATCCATTCTTTGGTGGAAAATGTTATTATAGACAGGGTGCGTAGCGTTTGTAAAAAGTACTTAAAGGTGCTTTTTGGGAGATGTCGTTTTTAAAAGCTTTTAAAGGTGCTTTTTTCAGCTGGCGTTTTTAAAAAGTGCTTTTTTTTCACGAAAATTTTTTTTTTCCTTCAGTGATATCTGGCGGATCCCCTGCATTTCACGAAAAATGGGGTGTTTGCTACGTAATCATTCACACGGACTTCATGTCGTACCCACGTTATGACTTGCGCATGCGCGCACACTCGAAACTGAAACCCGAGTGCTCCAATTCGGATAGAGTCAGATCCTTATTAAATGTTTTTCTTTTTAATTTATTATTTTATTCTTGTTTATTTTATTTTACTTCTAACACTTTTTTGATGTAGGGGGTAAGGGTACTTTGTTTCTGAGTTCAGAGTCAAGTTGAATTCACTCGGTGATGTGGGAAAGTACTGATTGTTTTGATTTACGTCCGTTACTTTTTGAGTTTTTTTTTAATGCTAAAACTGTTCATAAAAAGTTTTTGTTTTTCAATAATATCATTGGTTCAATATGAATTTTTTGAGTGCTTGAAAACTTTTGTTATGTGCTTGAAAATCTTTTAAAAAGTGCTTATTTTTGATTCAAAGATTTGTCTACGCACTCTGATAGATAAAATCAGTTTCTTATGAAAAATTTGTATTTAGTTTTGTATTTGACTTTATTTGCAATAAAATTCAGATTTTTTAAATTTAAATTAGATTTCTTTTTTTCTTGTAACATTCTAAATTAAATTTTTCAGTTGATATCAAGAATTCAGGGGTATTAAATCTTTAATTATATTGTTTTTATAAGTAAAATTTTTATATTTAGAAATTTACTCATTTATTTCGAAACCAGTAGTATTGATTTCCTTTTGTACATAGTTAAGTTTTGATTTCTCATAAAATTTTTGTTTATCATCTGAAGTGTCTCAGAAAATTGAAAATTAAAAATCTCAAAATTTTATTGAATGCCTTAAATATGAACTTTTACCTACAAATTCTCATTCATGCTTCCCATTCGTGATAATCAATCTCAAAACAGATTTAAAATATTATTTTAGAAATTTTTAATTTTTGGCTTAGTAAATCCAATAAGAAAGTATCTCTAGCAATAATAATGTGATTTCAAAAATAAATGAGAATAAATTGTGATTTTTTTAATCCTATTTTCAGCTTTTAGGGTTCATTGATTTGGATACAAGAGAATGGCATGATGGAGTTTTAACTTTAAGTTCACGACAAGTTATAAAGGAGCAAGATGGTATAATTTTTCATTTTCACCGGTCACGTCATCTTACTATGACCTTTTAATCAAATTACTAGCATGTAGCTATTTTTATATCAAATCTTACTTCTTTAAAATTTAATTTAAAAATGCAATATCCTTGTTTTGAATTGTTTTAGCTCTCATTCATTTAGTTTTTGTCTTAAAGACAAAAATATATTTACAATACTATTAACAATATATGTAAATATATATTACAATATAAATATATTTACAATATATATATATTTACAATACTTTGACTATTTACAATAATTTATATTAAATGCTCATGAATAAAATAATAAAAATACTGTGCACCTTTTAAAAAATATATTTATCTAGTTATTGTAAGTTTTTACTATATTCATTTAAAATATGAGCAAAAGAATAATGATTTTAAAAATTTGTTTTTGTTTTTTTCCCCTAAAGCTTGAAGACTAATAGAAAAAAAATCATAAATACTGCAACTTTATTTTTTTAAATATTAAAGTATATCCCTATTTTAGGATTTTCTTTTTATCTTTCACATTTTTCATAAAAAATGTTTCTACTATTCTAGTATACTATTAAAAGCATAATTAGTTAAAGTTAAGTTTTAGTTTTACTGAAATTAGTTACATTTGTTAAAATTTTGAATGATTGAAATTTTAATGTTTACAGTTACTAGAAGTTTAAGAATTTTCCGATCTTTGTTCATTGAAAAGTTGAAAATTGAAATAAATCTAGCATGCTCATTTATCAAAAATTATTTTCATTAAATGTAAGTGTTATATTTTGGAAGTTTACCCTGAGGAAATGTTATTGAAATTTTAAATACAATTTCTTTATGAAATATTTGCATCTAAGTTATTATTGCTATATTAATTTAAGTTATCATAATAAAGTGTTATCATAATAAAGTGTTATAATAATAATGTATTATAATAGCATAGAAAACTTCTCTTGAAGCTATTATAATGAATAACATGATATATTCTACTGTATAGTTTTAATTAGACTTTCTTTTTGTTTGCATATTTTGAAACAAAAATAATACAATTTTGTTCTGTTTAATACATTTCACCAAATAATTGGTGCATATAAATTTTCAATGAGCATGAAGTCTTATCACTAGATAAAAAGAGTAATATAAATTAAATAAACTAATATTATACATGTTAAAGAATGATACAAAATAGAAACATGCAATTTTATAACTACAGGTCACTATACAGTTTTAATGTTTTTTATTAAATCGCATTTTAGCTGAATATTTTATTTATTTATTTATTTTTGCATTACAGTTAATTATATTTAGAAATAATTGTTTTCTTAATTGTTTTAAAACAATTATTTATATTTTTAGATATTCTCTCATGGATTATATGTGATGGGGATATTGATCCAGAATGGATTGAATCTCTCAATTCTGTCCTGGACGATAATCGATTGTTGACTATGCCATCAGGGGAACGGATACAGTTTGGGTCTAACGTCAACTTTTTATTTGAAACACATGATCTTAGTTGTGCTTCTCCTGCAACAATTTCAAGAATGGGCATTATATTTTTGAGGTGAAAATATTTCATTTTGACAATTGGAAAAAAATTAGTTCAATGTCCTTTATATTTCTTTTAATTCGTATGTTATTTTTAGCAATGAAGATATTAGTGTGAAATCCATAGTAACTGCTTGGTTACTTCAACAAGATGAGAATGAGAGATTAACACTTCAAACATACATAGATGATTATTTTTACAAAGCATTAGACTGGGTCTTAAAGCAAGTGAGTGTTTTTGAAATTACAAGACATAAATTTGATACAAGAATGAAATATGTATTTGTATTTAATTTAGACCAATGATATTTATAACGAGATCAATGATAACCCTTCAACTGTATAGGACTTATCGAAAATTTAATTTGAACTGCATTCATTGTATAGCCAAAATCATTATTCTGTATTTTTAAATAAAAAACAGTTTACGGGGAGAAAAACATTATACAAAATTTATGATTCTTCCAGATGGTTAATGGCACATATTTTTTTAAATAAAGTATCATTTTAAATTATTATCTATTCTGATTTTATTATTTCATAATTTAATTTATGTATTTCTATAAAAAAATAAAAGCTCAAAATGTTTGTAATTTATGTCTGGCAATTAGTAGTATATTTTTCCCCACTAAATTTATTCTTATAATGAAAATTAATAAAAATATCGTAGAAATAGTAATTTTGTAGTAAAAATAATTTTGAATTGGAGATTTATGCAGTTTATAAATCAATATAGAACTTAGCAGTTTATAACCGAATAAGAACTTAAAAAAACACTCTAATTTTTAGTCTATAAACTAAATCGATATTTCTTCATTTCAAACCTAGCTATAGCTGTCATTTTCAAAGCATTTAAAATAACTGTTTAGAAGGTTTTTTTTATTTACTAGTTCACGTACTGAGCATTATTAAGTGTAAAAGTGTTCACGTACTGAGTGCTATTGTTTTCAGAATGATTTTGTATTGGAAACTTCTATAGTTGGAACTATCATGGATGGGCTTTCTCAAGTAAAAAAGTCAAGATCTGTGGCTCAGTTTGCTGTTGATTTGAGTAGAGGTCTTGGTGGTAACCTAAGGAAACCTTCCAAAGATGGTTTGATAAGAGAGGTATTCCGATTTTATTTTAATATTTTCGATTTGGACAGTTCATAGGTATGTTTACATGGTCATTTTCAATGCAAATTGAATTTGTTTAACAGGAAAATGTAGAGGCTGAAGCAAATAGCTTGTTGCGTAAGGGGCTTGTTTAATCCAAGTATGCAGAGATTGTTAAAGATAAAATTTACAGTTTGCCCCCCCCCCAAATGGCATACCCTGAAAAAACAAGTGATCTGATTTACAGATACTAATACCCTATCTTAATAGTTCAAGGGCCTAACTGTATCTATCCTAACAATTAATTAGTACAGATGATATTTTAAGTTATGAAACCAAGCACTTTTATTGAATGAAGATACCTTTTTCCTGATGGATTGAGACTCCAAAATGTGGCGGATAGTTGCAAATTTAGGAAATATGGTTTCAATAGTTGTTCAAGTGTGTGGTCGAAAGTTTGAACCACTTAATGTCAATTTTACTTTTTGTGAATTTTGCCATTTCTTGAAGTTTTTAAACAAACTAAAAAATTTTTTGCATACAATTGTAAAATTTGTTTATTAACGAAAAGTTCCAAACAAAAAATTATTTTTAAGAATATTTATTATTATTAAGTATTTACCTTTTAAATTGCAAAAAAAAAATTGCTTTTAAATTGTATAAAAATGACTTACCTTTTAGTGATACTAAAAGAACATGACGTGGAAATTAATTTTTTTATCTGAATTTTGCGTGTTTTCTTGGCAATTATGCAACACACATGGTACAAAATACATTTTACAACATCTATTAATTTTAGAAAATTTCTCACCAAACTTCATATCTTATCTCTCAATGGGGATTTGTGGTGGTTTAATTGTTCTTTCCCATTATTGTTTGATTCTGCATTTTGCCAACATTTGGTCTGGCGCGTATGTGCAGGCGCATGGACAACAGCAGATGGTGTAGAATCTTTTTAATAGCTTGAATAGCAACATTTTTTAGCTCTTGTAAATACAATCAACAATCTATTATTAAGCTTAGTAGCTTCCGCTAGTTGAGTGATTCATGACTGGTTATGAAGGAGGACCTCACATTGATTTTTGCCTAATTTACTTATCTACGTACAATTTTTTGACAAATTGAACTAAAAGGATGTTTTCATGCACTTTAGAAGAAAATTAAATTTCTGTGAAAAGTCAAAGGTTTTTACTGACAGCTTCATTAAAATAATTCTTGAGTAGTTATGCTCAAAATAACAGATAAGACCAACCAATACCAGGGGTCTGTCCAGGCCGAATTTACTACCGTTTAGCGGTACCTTCACAAATTCAATTTTAGGTAAAACGGTAGTTTCACAAATTCAACTTAAGGAAAAACGGTAGTTTCACAAAATACTTTTTCTTGAAATTTTATTTTTGTATACCTTAAGAAACGATAAATCTATATTTTTACCATGTTTTTGTATTGATTTTTTAATATAATTTTTAATTTTTCACAAATTATATCTAAATTTTCACAAAATAGGTACCTTTCAGAAAAACCTAGATAGACCCCTGAATACATAAAATTTACTTTGTTAAATTAATGTTCTCGTTAAATCAGTGTTTATGATGAACAAAGCAGACCGTCATTTTAAAGTGACTTTTCTAAATAAATAAATCAACTTTTGTGAAGTAACAATTCTGTTCAATGATTACATCACAATATAAATGCTTTTTTTTTCAGACAATATTAAACTTAAAATGCAAGCATTGTTTTTTTATTTAAAAAAAAGTTTCACCGATATCAACCATTTCAAAGGAATTTTGCATTTTTTTTTGTTGATAATTTCTAGAGTCTTATTAAAGTTTTTTGTAAATATAATGGCAGTCATTTAAATATATTTATTTTTTCCATTACTCTTAGATATTTTCGTGGGCTAACATCATTATTCCTGATCCTAATTCTCCTTCTAACACCTTTTACAATGAGACATCTGGCAGATTGGATTCTTACCAAATGCAGGTAATGCAGAGCCTCTTGTATCCATGTTACTTCACTTTGTTCATTAATGTGTTAAAAAATAACAATGATGTGGTTGCCATTTAAGGAAGATGAATATATGACACCTGAGTTTGAAAACAATACCTCACTTCCTGTGATACAAACAGAGGATTGCCTCAGAACATTTGATCATCTATCTCCTTGGCTACTAGATGACAAGTTACAACCATTCCTCTTGGTAGGACCGGATGGATGTGGAAAAAGGTAAAATATCAGGAGTGTATTAATATTAGGTTGCGTCAAATAATAACTAGTCAGGGGCTATTAAACTCAAACTGTGGCTTTTGGAAAACTTGGAGGTTGACTTGAAATGTAGTTGCTGTATGACCAAAAAGGTTCACATGCTTTTAATTTTCTAAATGACAGAAGTTGAATTGCATTCAATGATCAAGAGACAAAAACTGAATGGCTATCAGTCCACCCATTGCATTTCTATGAATGGTGTGTAATGATGATATCCAAAAAGATTGTTGAGTGTTATTTGACAGAGAAAGATGTAAGGTGAGATAGAATTCATCAACCAATATCGTGAGCTCTGTATGTCTCTGTCTTATGTTTGGCAGTGATGACTGACACAGCAAGCTCAGCATGTTATAAAATTTGTTGAAATCATAACATAAGATGTCATTTCTACCATGCTAGGATTTATCCATGGTACAGTTCTCAAAATAAGCAGGAAAACATTAAAGTTCCACAGTGTGTTCATGTTACAATTTTCCAACTACTTGACTCTTGAACGTGAGCTATAGATTAAAACATCCACTCTCTAGTTCAGATCTGTGTCACTGCGTCTCTGCCACATCTTCAATAAATTAAAATAAATACTTCTGACATAGGGGCTTAAAATTGACCATAAAGTCAAAGAATATACGTGTGGCTGATGCAAACAACAACTAAAAGTTTTTTTAGGAACATGGCATTGTGCAATTAGTTTCACATGAGATAAATGCCTAAACCATTGCAATAGCAGATAAAAAAAATTAAGAATTATTTTGAGTTAAATTAAATAAACAGTATGAAATTATCTGCCTCATTATTAATTGACTATACCTAAACGAAACATACATTTAGTCTATTTTTAAATAGTATCTAAGGAAAATAAACTCATAAAACTTAATTCAAAAACTAAATTAATGATTATTAAGAATGGTTTTGGGTCTTTTTTGAAAAGGCACTGATAAAATAACTTTACATCTGTCTCTTATGTCAGGATTGTTTGTAAATATTGCATTAATGTACATAAAGGCATAATAATTCCTTTATCATTATGTAAAGTAATAATGCCTTAATTCATACTTCTTTTTATACTATATAATATAGGGCAATATTAAGAATTTTTTCTGCTAGTCAATTGTAGGATTTTTAACAGTGGTTACTTTTTCAAAAATTGAAAATTTTAAGGAATTTAAAAGCTAGTGTTATTAATAATGTAATGAAACAGAATTGCCCCTATTTTACCGAGGAAGATAGGTGTTGCCTGTTCTGGAATGTTGATAGATCATGATTACCTTCAGCAGCCTCTTAATATTATTGGCATATCAACCTCTGCCTCATATTCTTTGTGAGGAGGGGGAGTAGTCCCATGAATCGACAACACTTCTTTGTGTGCACCAAACTGAGAGCTATTGACAATGGGAATACTACCTCTTCTTTTTCACTTTTTTATTGGGAAGCAAAGACAGTGCATGGCCGATAGGCACGGGCTAGGTGTAGGATAAAAAAAAATAATGTAAGGCATTCCTTAAAATATTTATCAAACTATGGTAAGTATGACATGGCTCATTTCTGGGCCGGGATAGCCTGATTGGTAGGACACTGGGTCCATGTGCAAGAGGTCGTGGGTTCAATCCCCACTCGCCGAAGACTCCCCGTGAAGTAAATGGAGACTGATTGCAGATTTAACGTGCATCAGTCACAAAGTCCTCCATGTTCCAATTAATAGCAAATCATACTTCTGGGGTTTCTGATCCAGGAGTTTACTTGTCTTCTGGATTGGTTCAAAATTACAAGGCTACTGAGTTGAACATTAGTAGTCATAAACCCAAAAAAACTGGGTCTGCTGTTCAACAATGAATATAAGTAGTGTAAATAAAAGTTCTTTTTTAAAGTAACGAAAAAATTTCGGAAACAAGTATAAAGTATTTTTCAGAATATTATAAAATATTTATAATAATTCCATATTTAATAAAGAAAATAATTAAAAAATCACATAGAATGATGGAAAATAGGGAAATATTCAAACTTCTCAAGAATCCTTGAGTCTCAGTATTTTATATCACAATACATTCAAATGTATCACATACTAATGAATTAAAAGCTTCTGCTATTTCCTATCCATTCCATTAATTCTGAATTGGCTTTGTTTTTTATTAGTACTCTGCTAAGAAACTGCCTTCAACAAAAGTCAACTATCACTTCTGCTATGGTACATTGCAATGCTCAAACAAAACCACACCATGTTCTGCAAAAGCTAATGACTGTTTGTACAATCATTGGTGCACAGAACAACAAAGTTTTAAGACCAAAAGAACATGATCATTTAGTCTTGTATCTCAGAGATCTGAGTTTGCCTAAACCTGATAAGTGGGGAACCTCACAGTTGCTAGCTTGGTTACAACAGGTAGTATTAACAATTTATTTTAAGAGTGTTGATAATATTTTTTTTGAATATTTATTTATAAAAGTACAATTTTAAGTCTATAGGTACATTTTTATTTCTGTGTGCATCAAATTTGTTTTCTTGTTTACTAAAATATAATTTTATATTTAAAAAAACAAACATATTTTTAAATTGCTATCATTCAAAGAGGAAAGAAGCTTTAAATCTCTTCCATTTAGTCTCTGGACAGGGGTGCCTGCAAAAAGGCTTCAAATATCTTTTTCCAGGCACCCTGGTCCTGAGCCCATCCTCCTGCCATCCATTTATTTATAGATCCACTTTCTATGATCTATACAAATGGCACCCTATTAGAAAGTTTTAATCCTGGTCTTTAAAAATCACAGCTAAAACGAATAACTCTACTTCAGATAGAATTAATCTGAGTATTTCAAAATACATGTCTGAAACAAAAATATTTAAGAGTCATAAACGAAAACAAAAGTACGAGTTTTTGAAACAAAACAAGCAATGTACTTAAAGCTTCTTGTTTTTGTATAAAATAAAAGTAATGTTCTTTTATTGCTTAATCTGTTGGTATTCTATTGCATAATCTGATGGTATTCTATGTTCTCAAAATTTCAAACTTTTCTGCGATGCACATAAGTTAGCCAAGAACAATATAAACAAGCATCTGCAACATTTTTCAGAATTTTAAAAGTACTTTTTAAATTTGCGCCATAGTTTTTGAATCTTCATCACGACCTACATATTTCATCATTTTTTGAAAACATGCACTACCATTGTAGTTATAGATTGAAAGAGAATTTGATTTCAAATTTTATGTTGGATTCAAATATCAAGAGAAGGGTGGCAAAACTTTTTTCTCTTGGGAAGGAGAAGATGAATTATAATCTCATACAAAACTAAGCATTCTTATTACGACTATCATCTTAATCATAATTTTTCAGGTTTTGCATGAAAAATTTTTTTCTCTTGTTTCTAAGTCCTGCAAACAAAAGTGCTTCATTTTAATTTATTTTTCATGGGTCTTATGTGCTTTTTCAATATTGTGAATTAAGTTATGTTAGTTAAATTATTTTTATTTAAAATTAAAATACATAAAAAAATTACTTATGGAAATAATTTTTTGTGTGATTGATAAAAACTAGTTCAAAACTGCACATAATCATTTATTATTGCAACTTTACAATATTCAATGTTGAAATTACTCTTTAGAAATCCTTTCAATTGCTTGGCAGTTTTCATAAAAGTCATAAAAAATATACTTCAGGTATATAATCGGGTGAGATTAACATTTTTCAACTTTTGTTGAGTAGAATATAGGTACTGAAATGCTGCTTTAAATTTTATTTTACTTTGTTATACGAGCTTCGAGCAGAATGAGCCTATTGTAGTACTTTAAAATTTTTTGTCGACTGAAATTCTAATATTCTAAAGGTTCTGACCTATCATGGATATTATGATGAAACTGCAGAGTTTATAAGTATTGAAGGCATACAAATTGCAGGCTCAGTAAGCAGTGTGTCATTATCGGGTCGTCATTCGCTCACTCCTAGATTTACAAGCATTATGCGCATATGTGCAGTAGAGTAAGTATCTTTCTTTTCCATAAAATATTCTGTACTTCAAAAAAAAAATTATCAGTTCAAATTCTTTATCATTACTGCTTAGCAACTAACACACAAACTTTTTATTTTGTATCTTATTGCTTTCTTTATTCTATATTATGCTATTGATTTTAAAAATCAGATTTAGAGGATTTTATATGTAATAAAAACTCACCAATATCCAAAGATTTTTATTTTTATCTAACCAGTTTATCATTTTAAGTTTTATGTTTAAAACTATTATTCTATTGACATCCTGTACAATTATTATTGACATATTCTTGTAAAAACTTAAAAAAAACTTGTTTTAATTAATAATATATAGTTTTAAATTGTGATATAGTGTTTCTAAAAACATTCAAGGTCTTTTTTTCTCATTATTTAAAAGTACATCAAGCAACTAGCTAATATTATTGAGTAATACTCAATTTCAAAATTTTAAACAATCAAAGTCAATAAAACATTTCTTTCTTTTTTTTCTAGATCTTATTATTGTGATTTGAAAAAATTATTTCAATTTCATTGCATTGATTCATGGGGTAAAATGTCCCATGAATCAGCTTTCAAGCAAAATATTTTGTTGCTTGATAAATTTATCACTGACAAATAGTTTTTTAAATTGTTTCCTGTGTATTCTTAAAACTATTTTTTTTGGTGATAATTTGCTTAAATTTTTTAATTTATTTATATATTGCAATTTCATACTTGTCATTAATATAAAATAAAAAACTTAGTGCTTAAAAAATAATTAATTTCAATGAAAGTTCTGTCTGCCTAGGTGCCACCCTTCTATCCCAATGACTGGAATCAGTCAAGAGAAAAGATTAGTGGACTGAATTCCATCCTACAATTAATATTTATGTCTAATTTGTTTTGTAAATTAAGTTTTCAGAAAAAATTTAAATTTTCCTTTTTTCCCTTTAAAAAAAATGTAACGATTGACAAAAAAAATTAACTTTTTAAGAAAACATTGTTATTTTTCATATTTATTGCAAATGTCATAATTATTGATGAAGAATGGTGTCACATCACAATGAAAAAATGGAATAGACTGACCATCTGCTTGTGCAAATAAAATTTGCATTGTTGAATATGAATATGCTTGAGTTTGCATTTTCCCCTCAGCATTTTGAGAAGCTGGGCAATATAAGATTATTTTGGGACAAAATATTAATGATGATGAAGTAAAAACTAAGTTGACATGTGAATGGCTTCAAGAAAAAGTTCAGTGGTGTAATTCAGTAATTGGTTTAGAAAGATAGATGAGTTTTGCTTTTATTTTTGTTCAGTTTGCAGTAAAAAATAAACAAGTAAAATAAAGAAAAATATAGGGTTTTTTTATAGAAAAAATAATCAAATTATTGACATAATATGTAAATCAGTCTCATACAAAGTGCACTATAAATTTCTGAAAAATTATGCTTAATAATGTTAGTCTGTGTTAATTGGTTAAAATGTAAGTTTAGCTTTAAAAATTATTTAGAGTAGCACCCATGTATCTGGATAGAAACTTAAATTGCAAATAACTATTTATTTTTATATTTTTATATAAATATATTTTTTTATTTTTTATTTTTTAGTATAGATTTTTGAATGTATACTATCTCCCATATTATAAAAAATGATCACCTATTGAATTTGCTTTTACATAACTGCATGTATGTTATTGTGATTTTTAAACCATTCAAGAATATATTGTATATTTTTTTAGTATTTATTGGTGTTGGGAATATATTCTTTTTTTTTATAGTTATCCTACTCAGGAGCAGTTACGAAGTATATATTCTTACATTTTGACTCCTACTATTTATGATTCCTTAAAAGATCATGTTGTGTGGGGAAATGCTTCAAAAATTCGTCAACTCATTGGCTCTATGGTTCAACTATTGGAAGCGGTATGATTACATCATTTATAATGCACTTTTAAATATTATAAAATATTAAAAACTTTATTGTTATAAAATATTTTTGCATATTGCTTATACATTGAATATAAAATAACTTATGATTATAAATTTTAAACTGCCTTCAAACTTGGATCATAAAAGTACAGAAATGTATCAAGGCCGGATTAACCATTAAGCACACTAAGCACGTGCTTAGGGCACCAGAGGATAGGGGGGCACCACAAAGTCTAACTAAATGTTCGCAGTACATAATTTATTTTTTTTTAGAAACATTGATAATAAATTTATTATTTTGAGCTTCCATTTTAAGAGTAGATAACAACCATTTCTAAGTACGAAATTTCACATAATAAAAGAAAAAAAAACGAAAAATGTTTTGTATCAAAAATTTTCGTTCTTCTAATGAAATTAGGAAGTGAATTTCTATGCGATAAAAGCTATATTTATTTATCCATTACAAGGATTCCATAACATACTGCTACGATTCATGTTTACAGAATATTTTTCGCAGTTATAGCAAGTTAATACTCCGGCAATTTGATATTTTTATGGAAAAAAATTTTATTCTCAAAATTTTGATGCAATGGTTTGATGATGTAAAAAATGTGATTTTTGATGTGAAAAAAAAATCTATGTTGTGCATGTTTTTGTTTATACTACATAAAATATTTGCTTATACTATATTTTTAATTATATTCTCATTGCAACTGGAAAAGAAGTCCTCAAATTACGTAAAGGTTGTGTTGCAAAAATTTATTTCAAAAATTTACGTCAACGAATTTTTTTTATTCACTGAATTAAGAAAAAGGAGTTGCGTTTAAGTATCATTTTTCGAAATTTCTTTGTGGAGGAGAGGTTATATTTGCGAAAAATATGATCACACACTTCGCATCACTTAAGATTTTTTTTATCTATATATATATCGAATACCGAAATTAGATTTTAAGATTTAAAATATATACTACGTAATATGAATGCAAGCAGCTAGTTTTTGAATAAGGAAAGAATTATAGGTTCCTTAGTCCTTAGAGTCTTGTATAAATACAAATGTTATAAAAGTTGAGCACAATGTGTAAATTCTCAATGTGAACCGGATGTTCGTTGACGGTAAAAAATACCTTAAGAAGACTACCCATTAAAACTAATTTAATTTTGAAAGCAAATGTAAGAAATAAGTAGCAATAAAATCAAATTTTCAATCATTGTATTTTGTTTAGTGCAAGTAAACTATATTTTGTGCATCTTGTAACGAAATTTGTAAAAATTATAATTAAGAAATAAGAAAAGTACTGAAAATTTCAAATTAAAAATAAATAGCAAATTTAAGAAAGATATTTTTATTAATTGAATTTTAAAATATGTTTAATAACTAATAAGGAAAATCCTTAATGANTTTTTTTTACAAAAAAAATTTGATTTTATATTTTGAATTAAAACGTGATTTAGTACTAGATATATTTTTTATTGTTAGAGGGGGGAGGGCACCAAAATATTTTCAGTGCTTAGGGCCTCAAGAGGTCTTAATCCGGCCCTGATCATAGCAGTGCATAATTATTGTTAATTGAATAGAAGATAAATTTGAAGAGAACAGTATAGAAGTAAAGAAAAGGAGAAAATAAGCATTATTTTTCTTGCTTTTTAATCTGTGACAATTGTTGTCGGTTTGAGAATTATTATTACTTGGCTTGAAAAATGAGGAGCCATAAACCTCCATGGCCCCCTGGCTGGCAAACTGACTACTTACTGTATTCATTGAAATATCAAAGCTTAAACTGTTTCAAATTGTTAGTTGTGAAGTAACATAATCCAAAATTCATAACTGTATTTGGTAATCACAGTGTAATTGAAAAATGAAGTTTTTAACTTTACAAAATGTTAAATCTTTTTATAAATTTATGTAACCTTATTAGATTTGTGGTAAAGGATACAAACTTTAATGATCTTGATCATTATTTAATATTTTTATTATTTCTTATAAATATTGCAAAGGATTATTTATTAAAACTTAAGAATAACAACTTTTACATTACATAAAGAAGCGTATGCTCAATGATCAAATAGCTTTTTCATTTAGATAGATTGTTAAATGCAATTAACAATAAGGTGAACAACAACAATAAGGTGATTAACCGCTTCAACCCTACTGTTTTAGTATCAGTAGCGTTTTAGAAACCTGGTGCCCTACTAATAATACATGCAAGAAGAGAAGCATGTTATCAAATTTGCTCTGTTGGTGGCAGCACCTCCACCGCAGAAAAAATATGTAAAAATTCTTCTAGCCATTTGCATTAAAGGGCAAATGCATCAATAAGTAGTTTTCAAAATATTATATGTAATTCGTTGGATCTTAAAGTTATTTCATAATACAAATTCGACTCTTTATGCCAATTCAGTAGCTTTAACTGAATAAAATGTTCTCATTTTGCTTAATTATAACCTGGTGTCCTTCTATTGGCATAGCTTCCCAACTGTTTTTTCCAGTATACTACTGGATTTGGCCAGTTTCTCCTGGTCTACTGGTTTCATAAAAATTCTCCTGGTCTACTGGTTTCATAAAAATTCTCCTAGTTTTTGTATATTTTAGAAAATTCCCTAAAATTGATTAAGTTTCATTAGAAAATTTCCTATCAAAATAGAACTTTTGCGTAGATTCTTGCTTACTTGAGTATTTAAATAAGTGTTGCTAGTACGCAATAAAGCGAGCCTCATTTATAAAAATTCAGTTAAAAATTTTATTTGCTCTAAAATGCTGCGTTTGTTTTTATTCATAACTTCTTTTTTAAATTAATTAAATAGTAACTTTAAAGCAGAGGTTCCCAAACTTTTTTTCCCCTGGACCATTTTTAAAGTTTTACTATTTTCCGTAGACCCCCTGCTGCTACATTTCTACTGTATTCCCAAAGCTCCTAAAAAATATCCCCCTAAATTGGGGGTGTTAAAAAGAAGAAAAAAATAGCACACTTTCTTGTGTCCTATTTATTAAAATAATACTTATGGTTATACAAAGTTATAAACATTTATTATTACAAATAATCAACAATTGACAAAAAATCAACAATGAACTCTGAAATGTAAAACAATAAAAAATAGTCATACTTTTAATGAGACGGATGTACTTGATGAATTGACAGCAAATTATCAATATTTGGCTTCAGTTTTGTAAGAAGTAATCTCAAATACCCCCGTTTTGTGATGTTCAATCTGCTCCCCTTTTTTCTTTGTTAACAGGTTGGTAACGGCACTAAAACTTCTTTCGACAAGATATGACGAGGAAACGCTATCAAAAACTTTCTCGCAATTTCCCACAGCCCAGGATATTCTTCGGGGATTTCTGCCTGCAGCCAAAATGTTTGATAGCCTTTTTTAAATTTCACCTTCAGTTCCTCATTGGTGCACCAAAATTTTTGTTCTTTATTATGAAAACCAGAAAATTTTTTGTGGACCCCCACTTACAACTTGTGAACCCCTGTTTTCTTTTCACTTCTATGTGAACCCCCGTGTGGTCTCCAATGTACCCCTGGGGGTCCACCTGGACCACTTTGGGAACCGTGTGCGAGCTCCTTCGTCACAGGAATTCTCCCCCTCTTCAGTGGGCGTAATCCTTAATCAATCTTCAACTGTCAAAATCGGAGAAGGAAAATCGGAGGGGTGAAGAACTAAGATGAAGCTTGAAGAGGGGTGCTAGAGGATTATCCTTTATCGCCTCTTATTTGCAAATTATTTATAACAAGCTGATTATAATGCTGATTAGTAGAGGAAAGCACGTGCTTTTTTGAAAGTTATTATCTTAAAATTTCAAAAATTTATTCTTGATTTAAGTTTAAGTTATTTAATTTCAGACAATTTATCAAAAATGAAGTAAAATAATTCTATATTNTAATTTTTCTTTAGGAACCGTATCTGTCATCTTTGGGAACCTATGCTTTAAAGCATAACATTTCAAGTTCATTTAATGTTAATTATAATTGGAAAGTATAGCATTTTTTCTATTTTGATGACTATAAAAATCTCTAAAATTCCCTATGAGTGAAATATTTCGTACATTTTGCGATAATTATCATGAAATTTGTATTATTTTGTAAAATCTACTGAATGTTTTCCTATCCATGTTGACAGCTTTGCATTGGTAAATTTTTTAATTAGTTTGATAATTGGCAGAATGTATACTTATATATAGTCCAGTGTATCCTACCAGTCATTGCTACATTTTTTATCTGCATAGTTTGTTATTCAGGGTCAAAGGGGTCAAGTTTATTGTTATCAGTGTTATCAAATATAATAATTTTTTAATCATTCAAATGTCCTTTGTAGATGAGGGCTGAATTCAGCAGTGATGTCTATGGTAATTGCAGATTTACGCCAGTTGATTTAACCCGCTGGTCATTTTCTCTGTTTCGCTATGACCTGGCCCAGGAAGGGTTTTCTACCTCCAAATCACCAGATGGCCTTCTTAGGGCATGGACTTATGAAGCTTGTAGAATATTTCTGGATAGACTGATGAATATGGAAGCGAAAATGAAATTCAATAGCATCATATCAAGCATATTAAGAAAAGATTGGGGAGCTCCAGACATCAGTACTATAAATGGTGATTGTTAAAAAGATTGAACTATGAAATATTTCATTGTTTTTAGATGATATTTTATTCAAAGATGAAAAGTCACAGAATAGTTGGAAACATTTTCTATATTTACAATCTTTATGAGTTCCGACTGTGTTCTTTAGTTTTTGAAAATAAAAGTAATGAATTAATTTTAAAGTTTTCTGCACATTATCTTAGAGTTGATATAAGTAATTATAACTGTAAATTCAATGATAAGAATTTTTCATTTTGTGTAATTTATGATGCATTAAATGCTTTTAGCCTTCAAATTTTTTTCCTTAAAGTTTTATTTGGTTTTGAAAACTATAAGCAATGTTTGCATTGTGTTAGACACTGTTTTGGTTTAGTAGTTTTTAAAAACATTTTATATAAATTAGTACTTTAGCAGTTTTGAACAATATTTGGATAAAATGAGAAAATTTGTTTTGTTTGAATGATATTAAAACTCTGTTTCACCTAATTTTTCATCAAAGTTTGCTAAAAGGCAATAAGAAAATTTATTACAAGCCCAATTGCATAATTAATTTTTTTTTGGCAGAAATTAATAAATGTAAATATTTAATTATGAGCTCTGCAGATACATCTTAGATTTTTTCATGGTGTTGCAATAGGACTATATATTCTGGTGTGTAAGTCAAAACTCTGTTTTTGATTTTGACAAAGCAAATTTTTGGTATGTAAGTTGCATGAGTCAACTGCTGTCAATAAGTCGATTATTATTCCCATAGATGTCTTGTGTCAATTGATACTAGACACATTGCAGGATATGAATTCTAATGTTACAGTAAAATATTTTTGTGTGGAATTTTGAATTCTTTGAATGGGGGTGAAGATGATTTTTTGTAGTACTTAGGTCATAAGAATGAAGTAGCTTTATGATATGTTTTAAAAGTTTTTATTGTGTTATATTTTAAGAATGAACTAACTTTTCTTTGTTTAATTTTTCTCTGAACACAATTTTAAGTATTTTTTGTGAAAAAAAAACCTTTATATGTAAAGAAAGTATGATGAGAGAAAATGCAAAATTTAATTGCATTCAAAATAATTTCTGAAAATGTTAAATTGATGCAGAGTTGTTCATGTCTGTCTCATTGTTTATAATGCATCAATATTTCATGATCAACAAATATCTGACTATAACCAGTGTATGAGTCAAAACCCTGGTTTTCCTTAAATTTTGAGGGTTTAAAATGTCTACTTATACACCAGGATATACCATAGTAAAAAATTTATATCAACAGGACCTTTTCAAATAATTATGTTTCTTTAGTGAGTTTGGCAAATATTTTTATTCGTTTGAAACTTGTAATGACTTAATATTAGATTCTACCTTTATAAATCCAATTTTTCATACTCATATGTTTGCTTGCATTTTCCTACATAAAGGCTTGTGAATCATTTGTCCAATCTTCTCTTTATCTTAACCCACAGCTTCAATAATTGATAAATGTAAAATTAGAATTTTTTCACACAAAAAAATCGTTTTTTAAAGGAAGAAGACATAAACATAGCTTTAATGAAGTTTGTTTAACACTTAACACTTTGTTATCAATAATTGTGGGGATAATGTATTTTGTGCCATGAGGTCTTGCACTTCAGCTAAGTTGCAGATGAAATCATACGTTTAAAACATAAACAAAGATTTCACATTCTCTTCTTCAGAACAAATATAAAAACAGTTTAAAATTACCCCTTTTCTATTCATTTTTAGTGTATTTTTAATCATTATATTTTATTTTGACTGAATAAATTTAACAAGCTCATTATTTTAACTAGAAATCGCCTTGGTCTCTTCTTAGTTGCTTTCAGATAGTTCGACTGTGTGTTTTTTTATATTTTATAACCTTTGTTAAACAGCCGACCCGATTTTGATCTTACGCTTACCTATATTTAAACTCTATGACCTTGTAATTGTAATTTTAGCCCAATCCAGAAAATAAGAGATCTCTTGTATTAAGTATTTGGAGAAATTTATCTTTGTGGAAGACTTTTCTGATGGGACAAACATGAATTTGCGTTACATGGAGAGCAAAACCATGAAAACCTCCCACGGTCAGATGATTTCAAGGAGAACACATGATTCAACTTTGAAGAGAAACCCAAGGGGCCCCAGGGGAACCCTACTTTAACCCATGATCGTCTATCACTGAGGATATTTTACGTCAGCACTGTGGTGGGTGCAAGCCGGGTGCGGAATCAGCATCGATCAGCCATCACTCGGATTCTAACCCGGATCACCTTATTGAGAGCCCGGCTCTCTATCCCCTGATCTCTAGTTCGACTGTATGTTGAAAAAGTGATTCCCCAGTCATATTGTTGTTAATTACAGTTACCTTTTTATTTTACATTATGTGCTTTACTTACTGATAGATCTTTGTTTACTTAAAGGCTAACTTAATATTTTGCCACATGTCTTATATGTATTGATTAGGTAATTCTGATGGTAATTATTTGACAAAATAATTTGAAAACTATAATTCTACAATATCATTCTTTCATTCTAGATTTTTATTATGTGTCTGGAAATCACAGCTCCAAAACGAAATTGTTTGGTAAACCTCTGGAGAAATTGTCATCAAATGATTGGCTCGCTACTGTTCAAAGGAATGTCAAATTATACAGTAAGGCATTTTTATCATATTCAAAATGTTATTTAATCTTTTTGAAGAAATTTATATTTATTTCAAAGATGGACCCACAACCATTGCATCTTTTTAAATTTATTATATGTACTTTTTACATTATTTACAATAAGTAGTTAATTTAATTGTGAGCTTCAGGGAAATTTTATTTGCCCACTTCATTGAAATTCAGTTAGAAGCCATCTGGTTCAGACTGTCTGGACTTACTGACGCGAATGCGCCAACACAAAACCTTTTAAATCTTTTAACTTTGGAAATTTTCATTTCAATAATTGTTTGATTGTAGGTAGTGAGATGCGTGAACTGGATGTTGTTATTTTTGAAGAGGTATTGCAAAATATGGCTAAAGTGGATCGAGCACTGTCTCAGCCAAATGGATCCTTGTTGCTAGTGGGCAAAAATGGATGTGGCCGTCGCTTGTCTGTTTCTGTTGTTGCACATGCTCAGCAGATGCCAATTCTTACTCCTAAAGTACACCCAAACTATGGTTTGAAACAGTTTTCCAATGATTTGAAAAATGTGAGTTTTATTTTTATGATAAAATGTTTTTATTATAAACTCTGAAAATATACCTTTAAGAGATGTACTACAATACTATGCATTTTGAAAGGAATGATCCTCTCCTCATCAGAGTTGAGCACAATGCAAAAAAAAAATAATCTGCTTCTGGTGTGTTTTAGAAATAAGTAAAAAAAAAATTTCTTTTACTTTGCACTTCAGTTGTATTTTCTTTATAAAGATAATATTTGCTGAACACTACTTCATGTTAAATTCTTAATAGTAGTTCTTCAATATATGGATGTTGATGTAAAAGATTTACCTCGTTTTTCACTATCATCAAGTCTAATTTCAAAATCATAACATTCAAATTTATTATATTTTTTTTTATCCAAACAAGGTTGCTGATACAGCATAGATTTTCTCTCACTAGAGCTTTTTATTTCGTTATTTAAAAATGGCAGCTTTGAATCACTTGATCATAATAATAACCAGGGTTTGTAATGTTATTAAAAATTAAATTTTGGATAGAATTAATTTTAAATTTGGATTCCTACTCTTGAAGAAGTGTTTTTTTTCTTTTTGCGTTTGCATTTTCTTGGATCTAAGGCATTGAAGTCTCTGGACATTACTTAAGATTATTCTTAGGAAATGATGCTCATTTTGTTTTATATGCTTATTGATCATTTTGAGCATTTTATGATTTTTGTGTGTTACTTTTAGCATTTAATTTTTCTTAAAAACATTTTTCTGTGCTTATAATTTTTCTTTAGAATTTAAGTAATGTGACTGTGCTCCTCCAATTGTTCCAAACTGTTCCATTAAACTATAATTTCATCAAACTTCTCTGAATGAAACACTACTTTATAAAATCTTTAGCTTTTTTTAGAAAACTACTTAATTTGTCCAAAAATAATAATAATCAAGTAAATCATTCATGTTGCAATGAAAATGAAATTGATTCCTTATTTCAGGAGAAGATAAAATATAGCTCCAAACAGCTGCAGTATTATGAAACTGTAGTTCTGTAGCATTACAACTAATTGAAATATGACATGAGTTCTTTTATAATTTTAATTCATAACTTTATATGATTTCTCAAATAGGAAAACCTAGTTTTATCAAAGAGGATATAAACATTTCTTTTTTGAAAAGAAAAAAAACAACTGATTTTACTTAGAATGAGAAGAATCTCGTACTACAACATGATTCATATTTTAATAATGTATATTTTAATAAAAAAGTTAACACGTTTGATATTAGAATACCCAGAATATTTGATAAGTGATTTAAACCACTTTGTCGTCATATTTTTTCTCCTTTATCTGTTTTGTTAAAATATATGCTTCAAACTACCATCAAAATACAAAATTTTTAACGCTGAATTGCTACAAAAACCACAAAAATTACTTCTTAAAAACATAAGAAACCTAATCACAATAAATTTCTTCTATATTTTAATAATTTTTTTGCATTGTAATTGTTATTCCTACTTTTACACTCTTACGAATAATTTCTATTAATTGTTGCTGTTAGAAATGAAAATATTGTTTTTTACTTTACATTGATAAAGTCTTCAACCTTCTTAGGCGATGCAGTTATCTGGAATTGAAGGGAAGGATGTTCTACTTATGATAGAAGATTACCAAATTTTGGATGAAGAATTTCTAGAACTTGTGGACAGCTTATTGTGTTCTGGAGATGTTCCTGGTCTTTACACTCCTCAAGAACTGGAACCACTTTTGAATCCCCTAAAAGATGTAGCTTCACAAGAAGGCTTTCAGGGTTCTGCAGCAGCTTTTTTTGCTCAACGTAAATTACTAGCTTTCATCTACATTTTATTAATAATTTAGTTATACATTCACTTGGTACTACTGTATATAAACTGTGCAGAAAAGGACAAACAGAACACCTGAAGAACTATCAGATATTGAAGTATACTTTCTCTAAATAAATATATCTTTCTTTTGATGATTTCAGATTTTTGACCCTTAAACATTGTTTAAAATCACATAAAAACTTATAGAATTTTACAATTCAAAATTTTTTCATTTATTATTAAATTCATTATTAGTTATTATTGAATTTTCAGTCATGATTAAAATCCATAATCAAAATTGTTAATATAAAACATCATTTTTCTTGGAATTACTGTTCAGTAAAGGTGTTTTTATAACTATATTTACATTTTTCCAATTGTTGCTACATTTTCTAGATTCTAGCTCATACTTTACGAATCATAATTTGAATCTCAGCAAATAAAGGTTTATTTATTTAGAGAAGGAATGTTTCTATGATAAAAATTATTAATAATTATAAAAAATCATTTTTGATGGAATTGTTAAATAAAGATATCATATTAATATGTTAATATTTTTCAAATCGTAGCAATTTTTCTATATCGGGCCCATACTTTAAGAATCAAAATCTGACTTTGTACAAAAAAAAACGTTTATTTATTTAAAGAAATTGTTTATGTTTTGGAGTCTGATTATCCTATTACAGGACACTCTCTTAAACCATTATAATTATGTTTAGTGCGCAAAAATTCAGTATTAAATCAAAAGTTTAAAAGTGAAGAGTTTCGTAGGCAGATAAACCATGCATATCAAAATGTGGTTCTCTACTTTTATGACAATAAAAGGTTTACTCGCATATTATATATTCATTCCGTTTCAGATAGTTTTTTTTTTTATAAATTTTGACTAATTTGATTATTTCAAATTTTCCCCGTTTCAAGTTTTCCACATTTATGTTTAGCTTTTTTTGAGAATGAGCGCCTACTTTTTGAAAGCTCAAAATATTTCAACTTAATTTTTTGAAGAAAATGAAGTTTTTATTTTATCAGATATTGTTTTTTTTTCATATGTAATTTATTTTGTGTTATTTTTATAACATTTAAGTTTTTATATGCATCATTATTTTAAAGTTACGTTTAATTTTCTTATAAGTGCAAATTTATGAGTATTTGGACTTTAATTAAAAAATGTTTTTATTTTACTTAGGAGTGAGAAAGAATCTTCATATTGCTCTGATAATGGATTTTACTGATTCAAAATTCCTCTTTCGCTGCAAGAGTAATCCTTCTCTTTATAAATCCTGCAATGTTTTGTGGATTGACGAATGGAGTGAATCCAGCATGCATAAGGTATAGAAAAAGAAGTATTTTTTGCATGAATTTTAAATTTTTATTTAATTCTCCTTTAACTGAATAATCTTTTTTTTTATTGCGCTTTCAAATGGTTGATTATTTATAAACGAGAATTGCTTTATTTTACTTATAATTTCTTTTTTTTGGCTATTGAACACAAAACTATCGACCCTCTTTCGGCAGAACCTCTGCTTTACCGATAAAGTTATTTAGTTATTGCAAACATTATTAATATTCAGTTTGAAAATATTTACTGTGAAGAAGAAAATTTTTTGTTTTAAAAATAATAATTTAAAAAGCAGGTTGTGTACACAACCTGCTCAACTGTAGACAGTTGAATTCATTTGTCTGGAGTTTCATTTTCTTCAGTTTAAAAATGAATAAAATAGGCAGAATTTGAGGTAGTTGAAATAAAAAGAAATAACAGTTTATAAACATTGAAAATGGTTATCAGAAACATTTCTTTATTGTTTAATTTGGTTTTTTAATTGATGAGTTTCAAGAGAAATATTAATGCAATTTTTTATAAATACATATCAATTTTAAAGTCTATTCAATATATATTGTTCTTTAAGAAAATATTTTTTTCAGTTTTGCTATTTTTGCTCTACTTTTTAGTTAAATTTTCATAAAAGCAACCATAAGTTTGAACTAATGGATTATTAATTGGATATAAATATAATTAAAGGTTTGAAATATTATTACTGGCTAACTCTTTTGTAGAACCTTACAGTTCTGCAGAACTTCTTTTTTGGAACCAATTCTCTAAATAGCTTTAAATTTATCACATAAATTTTTTTATATATATTTTCATATTATGAAAGCTTTCATTATTTAGTCTAATTAATTACCATGTGTGTTCTCTTATTATTTGTTTTATATTTATTTTATGCTGTCTTATGAAGCATTTCAGATGTTTCTGTTTGCTATTTTTATTGAAAAACAGTATTGTTTTTAAACATTAATTATTATTCTATATATTTAGTCATTTAATTTCATAATAAATTTAAAAAATCTTTAAGTCAAAGAATTTTAATAATTTTTATTACTCCCTTAACTAATATTTTTTATATAGTGCTAAATAAAATATTCAAAATATAATGGTAAAATTTTAAAAAAAATAAACAATTCATTTTTAAGTATTTTTTTTTCTTTTTGATATTTTTATACAGATTTGAAACGTTTCCCAAAGTCCTTTTTAATTTTAAGAATTTATGGAAATATCTCAATATCAATATCTTTTCAGTTCAATATCTTTTTGGTTGCATAGTTCTTAAAGTAATAGTTAGATAAATGTATTCTTAACACAATGTGTCTTGACAAGATGAATTTAAATATGAAAATCTAGTTTTAAAATGATAAAAACGCATTTTTTGTTGTTAATTGCAATTATTATAAGTAAAAAAATATTATGTATTTCTTATTCTTTCAATGTTTCATATTGAATTTATAAAATATTTATTTATAAACAACTGTTTTTATTATTATTATATTGAAGAAGCTTTTGTCTTTTTCTTAATTTGCAATTTTGTTCTTTTTTGTTAATTATTTAAAGGTTCCGAGATTGCTTTTGTCTAACAAAAGTGTGGAGTCTGATGAATTTCAAGAAAATGAGTTTTATGATTGGTTTTCTAGAATCCATGAGCAAAATACGAAGAAAAATCAAGCTCCAAGAAAGTTCATTGCTTTTATACAAAATTACAAGAAAATTTATTTAATGAAGTCTTCTGAAATACAGACGAGAAAACAACACTTACAGGTGTCATAACTTACTGAATCTTTGGATAATCATTTTATTAAAAATAAATGTTTTGTTCATCAATTACACAAATTATATATTTGGGAGTAAGTGGTATTAATTTGCGCAAATTCTATATAATCTCCTCAGATCAAGCTTTAAATAATGGCTGAAAATATAATTTTTACTTAAAAATATGTAGCTTAAAATAATTTGACACAATATTTAAAAAAAAATTCAATTAAGCCTCGCATTCCTCACCTGGGTCGCACCAACCACAGTGCTGCTGAAAAAATATCCTCAATGGTTGACGGATCATGGGTTAGAGTTGCAAGCTAACTGTGGGAGGTTTTCATGGTTTTTCTCTCCATGTAACGCAAATGGGCCGTAGTTCCTCCTCATAAGGAAATTTTTCCCAATACTTGATACAAGAGATCTCTTATTTTCTGGATTGGGTTCAAGATTACAAGGCTACAGTGTTGAACATTAGTAATTGTAAACTCAGAATTGGGTCAACTGTTCAACAAGGTTTATAAAATAAAATAAAATTAGTTGATCCAAATTAATTGTTTTATTTATTGCTTTAAAAATGATAAATTTTAATTTTTAGTATTTTTACATGTTGAAAAATATTTTTACAGCATATCACTTCATATTTTGATCGTGAAACTGGACTCTAATAATGAGATATTTATGTGCCATGAAACTGTCAGCAGGGTTACTTGAATCACCTGTGTAAGACTTGCCAACTCACAGGCCTTGAGTGTCAGGCTTTTGTGTCCTCAGCCTATGAAAGTATTTTTTCTGACTCATTAAGTGTATAAATTGGAGGACTAAATCAAAATGGTGTAAAATCAGTGAAAGTAATACCTACAAGTGTGTTGACTAAGTTGAGCTGGGAGTATTCCTCACAGATCTTATGAGAGAATAGTTTGCCACATAATGAAAATCCAGACCTAAATTCTTGGTCAAAACAAACTAAGAAGGCAAACCAGATAGAGCTTCAGAGAAATTTATGTAATGTTTTTAAAAAATGCTAAATTAGTCACTCAAACTTTTTTTAATAGAATAATTTATTATTTTGGTGATTTTTAGGTATAAAAAGTTGGTTGTATAAATTTAATTGCAAGAGTGCCAGAATTTACTTTAAAAAAATGTTTATTATTTTTTGTTTATAACGTTCTGCTGTAGTCACAAAAAAAAATCTCCATTTTGAATATCTGTGGTTAGCAGGTCTGCTTTTTTATAACTTTTCATTCTTATTGAAAATTCTGCCAGGGTAAATTCAATTGTATATTTACGTTTTCTAAAAGCTTATAAACAAACAAAAAAATGAAATATAAGTGAAGTTCTCTAAAATGTTAGAATCCGGTACTCAAAAAATGCATGTAAATTATATGAAAAAACTTTTCCTACTTTACTTTATATCTGACTGTTATAAATTATTTTAGGCTGGTGTATCCAAACTGAATGAAGCTCGCTCTCTTGTTGATAAATTGAATTCTGAAGCTTTGGAACAAAGTGCTTTGTTAGCTGAAAAACAAGCTGAGGCAGATGAAGCTCTGAGGTTGATTACAACCAGCATGTCTGTACGTAGCATACATAATTTTTTTAAAAATTTTATTACTTGACCACTATGAATTGGACGTTTTTATTTTTCCTAAACATCACTTTATTATGTTTTTTTTTTAAATAAAAGTTATTTTAGTAAATACTAAGCACCTGTTTATCCNACCAGCATGTCTGTACGTAGCATACATAATTTTTTTAAAAATTTTATTACTTGACCACCATGAATTGGACGTTTTTATTTTTCCTAAACATCACTTTATTATGTTTTTTTTTAAAATAAAATTTATTTTTGTAAATACTAAGCACCTGTGTATCCTATAACACAAAAGTAAAAATTTGTTTTTAATATATTGTTTAAAGATTTAATTAGAAAATGATAACTCCAATCATGTAAACCCATTTAAGTTTTAATATTTTTTAAAAATATTCATTAAATATTTAAGTAAGTGTTTATTATTATATCCTTTTTAATTACTATGTCTATGTTACAAATTACGACAACTTTCAATTGAACTTTTTTTTCTCTTTTTGAGGAATATTTGAACTTTTCTTTTCATAAAATGAACAAATTTCATTTTTTTAATTAACATTTTTTGTTATTTTAATTATGAAGCTTTATTATTGCTATTTTAATTCTTTTACAATTTAGAATAATTGAGAAGAATTATTTTTAAATAATTAAGAAGTATATAACTTACCTACTAGCTAATGTTGCCTACTAACTCATTTTTTAGTAAAATTTCCATTTTTTACAGCATTATTATTAATTTTAATACAGCTTTACATTCTTAGCTATTGTGACTGTACCTACAGTTTTCAATTGCTATAATTATTTTGTTATAAAGGGATAATTATCATTAGAGGGTTAGCTATCCACCACAAAATAATTTTTTTATATTTTCTTATCATTAAAATGCTTAGAATATAAATGTCAAGTTTGAACTAAAATTAAGTAAATGTAAATTTCTGTCACATAAGGAAATAAAATCAAGGATAAAAAATTATTTATCTGAACTATTATTCTTGAAAACATCTTTTGTAAGAATTTCTACAATACATTATACTTTATAGAATACAGGCGATCAAAAGATTGAGCTAGAAAAACTGAAAGCTAAAATTGAAGAGGAAAATGTAAAACTATCTAAACGGAAGAAAGATATTGATTTAGAATTAAAAGAAATTGAACCCATTGTTCAAGAAGGTATTTTTTAACAATTTTTTTGTTCTGCTGCACCTTTTATTTAACTCAAGAATGTGTTGTGTCCGTGCTATTGACTGTTAGTTAACTCGCACTGTGTTTTCGTTCAGCATGTGTTAATGTTAACTGCACTTCAAGCTTTATGTGTAGGTGAAAAATTCTTATTTATATCTAACGCATTTCATATATCTGAATATATTCATATTCTGAATACAAATTTATGTTGGAAAATACAGTGAAACTTCTCGGAAGCAACCACTCTTAAATGGCCGTTAATGGAGGTGGGTCGTTCTTAGAGGTTATTTCCGTTGACTTTACAATGTCATCAAAGGTACATGATTTTTCGCAAATGATTTTAATTTTTGTCAGTGTCATTTCTTTAGTGTGAAAATGCTATTTCTCTTAGCGTCATGAAAACTAGATCATGGAATGAAATTTAGCCTCAGTAAAAATTATCCATACTGATATAATAATGTGTAAAAACAAATTTACCAATTATGAATAATAGAACTATTTTAAATAAACAAACAATTATGTTTTTTGTTTAAGTTTGCATTTCATTTTGTATCATAAAAATTAGTTGGCTTTAAAACGTGAGAAGAGGTTTGTTTGTTTGAGATCCTTAGTTTTTCCTAAAATAATATTTTTTTTCTCTTTGAACTCTCAACTGTAAAAATAAATCACAGGTAGCATCGTCTTTAGTGCATTCTGACTACAACATGCTATTGTAGATTTCTTTCAGAGATTGTCAAAAAGAGCTCTCTAAGTAAGAACCTAACGCAAATATTTTGAAGACTCATTTAATCTACTTGTTTGATTTTTTAATATTTTTTTTCTTGTCTTTTTCTTATTTGACCTTTACCGCATTTGGTGTGGAGATTTGCCCAGTCACTGGGGCGGGGGGGGGGGGTTGATGGTCTCTTCTAAAGGTTTTCTCCCATGCAAAGTCTTATAGAAAAAGTCTCCCAAAAGTGGTCATAAAAGCAAGAAGTTGCTACATAGAGGTGGTCTTTCCTGGAAATTTCACTGCATTAGTTTTACAATTTTAGTTAAAGTTTTCAGTTTGGAAATTTATTTTTAAATACTTTTTTTAAGCTTGTTATTTAAATGAAGCAATATATTGTATAATGAATTGTTAGTTTTAATATAATGATAAATGTAAAACCTAAACTTTTAATATTTAAATCTATTAATCAAGTTTTGTTTTCAATTTTCTGTTGATTTATATTTACAGTTCCTTATATACATTAGCACTAATTAATTATTACTTTGGGCAGTTTTGCCAATTAACATGAATCCATGCGCATGCTTTTTAAATAAAAGAAATGTGTGCTCTTAATCTTAACATCATATGAAATTAAAATGTAATTCAATTCTTTATATTTAAACATCTGTGTTGTTCTGAATTGATTATATTTTTTTTTGAGAAATTCTCTAAATGAAATTTTTTTTAAAAATTTATTTTTCAGTTTAAAGTATTCTAAATGCGGTATAAAGGAAAAAAAATAGAATAAATTTATAAAAGTTCTTTTCAAATTCTGATTTAATAATTGTGTTCAAGCTAAATCTGCTGTTGGTGGTATAAAATCTGAATCACTGTCAGAAATAAGGTCTTTGAGAGCCCCACCGGATGTTATCAGAGATATATTAGAAGGGGTGCTGCGACTCATGGGCATCTTTGACACTTCTTGGGTCAGCATGAAAAGGTAAAAACTCATTTAAAATACATACTTGATAAACTTTTTATAGTGATTAGGAGATTAACATATAATGATAATGGTTAGTGCCTAATAAATTTCAACTTTATTATTTAAGCACTGAAACTGAAATTTAGATTTTTTAATTTTTCAAATGTGATTTTAAAAGAACTTTTACATGTTTTTTATATTCTTGTTGCGCAGAAAAATGAATTCACATTTTACCCTTATCTAAAACTAAAGGTCTGAAGTGAGATTAATTAGGAAAATTATTATTAGTAACTGTTGATCTAAATTAGTAATTGGGTACTTGCACTTTGAAAAGAAGAAGATAAAACATACCCACACATGTGACCCATGACGTCAGCGCCAGCTGATCATCAATAAACAAAATGGTGTGTCAAAGTTCAGCTAAGTTTTTCTACATAAGTTAGGATGTTAATTAACGTGAAGTTAATTAAATACAGCTCTGTATCGCTCATTGAGTTTTTTGAAATATAATTCCTTCTTAGATTTATTATTTGTTTATGTGTTTTATTGTAACACATGATATATTTTTGTTTTGTGTATCTAGCAACTTCGATGCATAATTAGTTTGTTTATGTTCTACATGGCTTCCTGCCTGTCTTTGTGTTAAGTAAGAAATATGAATAGCTTTTGATCTAATAATTGGATCTTCACATTCTAGGACTCCATCCTTAAGGTTAGAGGGGGGTGACCTTGTATATGCTAATTAATTAGTGCAGACAGGATTTTAAGTTCCGAAATCAGACACATAAACGTACTTTCTCTTAATAAACATACCTTTTTTTGACGGATTATGATTTTTGACCCCCAAAATATAGGGGGTAGCTCCAATCTGGGAAATATGGGTCTACATAATTTGATCAGGGGAGCGATCCAAAGTTTGGACACCCTAATGAGAATATTATTTTTTACGTATTTTAAACAAATTGAAAAATCTTTGCCCATAATTATAAAATTAGTTTATCCAAAGATAAATTCATGCAAAAAATAAATTTCAGTAAATATTTGAATTGTAAGGTATATAAGTTTTTACATAATTTTAAAGTATCTAGTTTTACTTGGTAAAATACAAAATTCGTGCATAGTTCCTGAGAAATCAATTTTTAAATATATTATATTTTTAAAATTCGATTTCTCAGACACTATTCCGCCGATTTCCGTCAAACTTTGTATTTTGCCATATAAAATAAAATACTTTAAAATGTAAAAAATTGTATACTTTACAATTCAAAATATTTTCGACTATTGCTAAATAAAATAATAAAAAATAACAAATATTTAAAAAAAAAATTTGCATGAATTTAATGTTAGATGAATGAATTTCATAATTTTGTGCAAATTATTTTAAATTTGCTTAAAAAGTTCTCAAGATCTAGCTAATAAGCAAAAAAATAATATTCACATTGGGGGGTCCAAACTTTGGATCGCTCTCCTGGCCAAACTATGGGGACTTTATTTCCCAGATTAGGGATACCCCTATATTTTGAAGGTCAAGAATCTAAATCCATCGAAAAAAAGGCATGTTTATTCAGAGAAAGTACTTTTTTGTGCCTGATTTCGTAACCTAAAATATTGTCTGCACCAATTAATCAGCATATTTGAGGTTGCCCCCTCCAACCATTAAGATAGAGTCCTAGAACTTGAAGATCTGATCATTAGATCAAATGTTATTTAGGGTGATCCGTTTTTTATTTTGCGCAATGTAGAATCACTAATATTTTAGTATCAAGGAGAAAGCATGTTTATAATTATAAAGTATCTGACAAAACGTTTCTATGAGCATCACTACTTTTTGAAATGTTCTTATCATATTATTATTACTGCTGGTTTATAAAAGTTTGCAGAAGCGTTTGTACTAGAAGCACATATTAGATTTTAATAAGTTCATAGAAAATACTATTAAAAGATAAAGATCTGAGAGTACCAAAGTTATAAATGATACATTTAGTGGATTCCAGCCACTTAATATAGAAAGTATTGTAGACGTGGCAACTATGCGATCAGATACCAAAACATTGGCATAGAAACTTGTGGCGTGACTACCACTACTATTATTAAACATTAATTTACTAGTATATAAAGACACGTTAACTCCATTCAATCTTGAGGTACTTTTTGATAGATGAAGGTTGGCATTGCCGATAACACATTCCCCACCTCGGTGACCGGTGGACTTGATATGAACATTGAATGTAACGTCCCCTTTAATTAGAACATGCTTACTTCGATGGTTGAACTGATAGTTACACTGAACAGTTGACTTGCTATTCGGGGCTATGTCATTGTCCTCCCCAAGCTGTTGCTATTCTGTCTCTATCACACACTAGATTGTTACTAGCAACACAGGGACCACACACACAACTGTGAGCTTAATACAGCTCTCCTGGTTTTTCTCAAATACAGCAGCTAGTGGTATCCATTTATCAAATTCTATCCCTGATAAAATTCTGATGGGGGAGTATTGTGGCGTAACTACCACTACTATTATTAAACATCAATTCACTAGTATTTAAGACATGCTAACTTGATTCAATCTTGGGGTAACTGTTGATAGCTGAAGGTTGCCATCGTTCCCCACTCACTCAATCATTAATCTAAGCTAAAGGAGGATTAATATAAGAGATTAATCTAAGCCACATTTGGAAAAAGATTAAAATCGATGCAGAATGAGAAAGTTAGTGAACCATCAAATATATTTTATAACAACTTTGCTTGTTAGGAAAAAAAATTATTATTCAGTTATTTTTTTCTAAGGAATTAAGATGCTGTACTATCCAGTTTGAAATCAAACATAAAAAAGCTTTTGTCTTGCCAAGTTCTAAGCAATGAATTTGAAGTTATGCTTATTCTTATTAAATGTGTTATCTTTTTTATTTGTAGTTTTCTTTCAAAAAGAGGCATCAAAGAAGAGATTTTAGCATTTGATGCCAGAAATATTTCACCTGAAATAAGAGAGAGTGTTGAAAAACTGCTAAAGAAGAATGCAGAATCATTTGATCCCAAGGTTTGCACTCTTTTTTGTTCAATTACTAGTCATATGCTCTTTGTTCAACTTTGAACTGTTATCATGTAAATGTTTTTTGTAACATTTCCACACAAACATTCTTGTGTCATTTGTGAACATTCCTATGCAATTTCCTGACTTTTCTCGAAATATATTATCATTTTCTCTTTGATTATCGTTTCTTAAGCCTTATGAAGCATATTATACTTACATACAGTCTTATAATGAAGTTGAGCTTTTTTAAATGTATATTAAAAAAGATTTATTGTTAAAATTTTTTTGTTGTCCTTTTTAAATCTATATTTGGAATGAGTCAGAGTACTGCATGAGTAATTTGTACTTGGTTAATTTAGTATTTGTTTTTTGGAAGATAAATTAAACTTTATTTTCTCTAGAATGCCAAACGAGCCTCTGCTGCAGCTGCACCACTTGCTTCATGGGTGAAAGCTAATGTTATATATTCCAGGGTGTTGGAAAAAATAAAACCACTTGAAAAGGAACAAGCAAAGCTGAAGCAGTATGTATCATGAAGATATATTTACTATATTTATTGTTAAGTATATTTTAAAATTTACATAATTTTTATAAATTTGTGTGCCAAAAAGATTTTAGTTCACAAATCTTTTTATTTTTTAGAACAGTTTTTTCAATTTTCACATTAAACAATTTATAAAAACATTCATTATTTTTTTTTAATCAGATTTCTAAACTCTTTTAAACTCTTCTTCAGAGCTTTTCAGAATTTGAATATTTTAACTTTAAAACAAAATCTCCTTATGAAAAATGTGTTCTTTCATTATCACACACGTCATTATTTTTAAATCTAGGAAAAAATGTCAGCTTCATTCACACATAATTTAAAAATAATTTTTTAAAGATTAATAAAACTTAAATATCTATTTTTTGCTTTTGTAGAAAACAATTGACTCTGAATAAATAAGATATATTAAAATATCACTTCTTAAATCTCATATTCACTTCTTAGTTCTCATATTCTTAAAAAGTGCTAATTTTTAATTTTTGGTACCTCATTTTCTTGCAGGCTCTCTTGTTCTTAAAATTTGCTTATTTCTAGTGTTGGCAATCAATAGATAAATTTTTATCTACCTTTGTAAAAGTGTCGATAACATAAAAGTTAAAAATGCTTAAAAAGTTTTGAAAAAATTTAAACATTTACATTTTCTTTTTATTTGAGTATATAACTTGAACAAGCATACTTGTATTTCAGAAAATAGGATAACATATTGGGTTTCTTCTTTAAAACAGTTGTCTCCTTGTGTTCAAGTGTATTGTAAAACTCTGATTTAATATTTTCTGTAAGATACATGTTAAAATGTTATTTCTAGTTTCATACGCTAAACTTTAGAATAATTTGTTTTCCAAAAAATATCTTAGTATGTCTGATTTCATACTATAACTAAAGCTCAAAATTGAAAGCTCTGAAACAATTCCGAAAAAATATAATTTATAGATTTTTTTTTTAAATTTTGCTCTTTTTTCTCTTAACGGTATAACTTTTTAATTTTAATTAGCATTCTTTGGATAACAAAACTGTTCTACAACAATAATAATTTGAAAAACTGTGTTCTATATTGTTAATTTTTATAGTTCTTGAATAGTTGTTCTATGTATGTTGTTAACATTGGATTTTATATACATTCAGATAGCAAGTCTTTCAAAGAATGTAGCCAGTCCAAAAAAATTTCACACTATTGGTGAACACCCTATATATTGATTTTTAATTTATTTTTTTAAAGAGAAGAATGCTTTACAAAGTAAAATTTTTATTAACTTAATTTTTATAAATTCAAACTAGTTGCATCTGTTTTGTAATGTTAACATTTAAAAATGCATTTTTTGAAGTTTACAACAAAGTTTTATTGCAGCAATTTAGCTTCAACTGAAAAACGAATTACTAAGCTGAGTTCTGCTCTGGAAGACGTTGAAGAAGAAGTGTCAGTCTTACGAGACAGATTGAACAAGTTTACTAAAGAAGCAGCTCAGATAGAGATCAATTTGAAGCAAGCAAATGAGACTATCGCATCTGCTGAGTCCCTGGTCAGCAAGTTAGATGATGAATATCGTAGATGGACTCATCAGGTGATTTTAATTTTCTATGGCCTAATTATTTTACTTATGATTGTAATTTTAATCTGCAAATAAAAATTAATATAATGAATTATGTGTAGGTAAACAGCATAATTATTTTTAATTTGGAAATATATATTACAAGTGGTATTTATTCTATGCCTTTTTATCCGAAGAATTTTCTTTTTATAATGTTGTTGCAACTTCATATTGAAACACCACTTTTTTTCGTCATAAATCACATATCCATAACTCGTTTCGCAGTTGAGCAATTTCAAGGTTCTGTTCTTGCTGTAGCCGTATGCCTGTCTCAATTTGTCACTTAAATGTGACATATCCACTACAATCTATTAAAAATAAAAATCTAATAAATTAAAATTAGAAATATTATTAAGTTTCTGTTTTAAATTAAAGATGCGAATTAGTTAGATATTAGTTAGATGGGAATTAGTTAAGAGATTTTTATTCTTAATTTGATTTTTATGAGTTTATTTCAGAAATATCTGAAAATAGCTGGGTAATATGTCATAAACTTAACTTAAAAATTTATTATTGCACACACGTTTATATTTAAATTTTAGTAAAAATTGCAAATACTTTTCTAGTATTCCTTCAAGATTTAATATTTCTTAATTACAAGATATGTATGATGTTTATTCAAATTGTAATATCATTTTGTAAACATATTAAAATATTTTATGTGTAGTGTATTACTTGGTATTTAATAAGAAAATAGTCCATCATTCTCCACATTTGAAAAATTTCCTTTTTCAATTTCTAAATTTTGAAAATTTTTAAAACTGTTAATTTTGAATGCATTTTTAAAATTTTAGAAAAAAAAATTTTGTTTTTCTTTTAAAATTCTATTTTTGTCAATTAAAAAAAGTTTAAGTGAAAAAAAATAAACTCAGGCAAGAAATTATATTCGTTTTACCTTTTCTTTGTGTATTTTCCAAACACTTTTCAGTTAATTTTTTAATCAACAGAAGAAAAAAAATCTGTATTTAGTTTTTACTGTTAATAAAGAAATGAATAATATTGTACTTTTGTATAATAGTTTTCTGAAAAATCTCTTTAATTTTTATTGAATATAAAATCTAATCTATGTACCATACATCTTATTTTTATTGTCTTAACAATTCAAATAAATTTCTTTTAAAATATATGACAGCGACTATAATTTAAAATTTTTTAGTTAATGCATATAAGCTATTTCCTTTTTTCAGCTTCAAGAAATTGATCAGCAGTTAGATGAACTACCAATGAAAGCCATGCTTGCTGCTGCTTTCATAACTTATTTGTGTGCAGAGCCTGAAAATACACGCCGATTAGTTGTTGATGGCTGGTGCAAAGAGTTCGGAATAGACAAATTTTCACTAGCTCAAACATTAAGTACTGAACGGGAACAACTTGTTTGGAAAAATCAAGGATTGCCATTGGATGCTCTATCCATTGAAAATGCTATATGCATTTTAAATGTAAGTTTTCTGTAAATTTAAATTGTAACTGCGCATTAGTATTTATTTTTGTTCAAAAATTAGTTATTTACATTTTTATTTTTGAAAAAATGTGAGAATAGGCATCTATTTTGAAGGTGAAAACTATTTACCAATAGCTCTACATATAATTATATCAGAATTGAAAATTTCAACTTTAAAATATTAACTATTAATGAACGTTTCAAAATATGGTCTTTCATTTTTTTTATTAAAATCAAATTACATAATTTTTGTACAAAATGTTCATTAATCTCTCTTTAACTGAAACTACTCAATTAAATTTGCACAAAAATCTGCTGGCATAGGAAGAGTTTTAAACAAGAAAAACTGGTTTGTTTTTCTAAGCACAGTCCAGGATCAAGAGTTAAAAAAAGTTTAAATAAATTATCATAAATAAAATTTTATCAAAGATGAATACACATGTTTTATTTGTGTTTTAGTACTTTGCATATTTACTTCAACTCTACTTATTTATAAAAATTGTTCAAAATTAAGTCAATTTATATTATTTTTCATTAAAAAATTGTGAATGTTTAAGTTAATAAACTTAATTACATAGCTGCCAACTCTTCCGGTTTTCCTGGAAGATTTTATTTTCATATTTAAAGTGGTAGCAAAATTCATGTTATTTCACTAAACTTTTTGAATTATAATAATAATTTTAGATCAGTTTGTCATATATAAAAGCACATTAGTTCTTACAATTGCGAATTTCAACTTGATTAAGATCTAAATATAGTTTTTGAAGAAGATTGTTTTTCGGTAATTGTTTCACTACCACTTGGAAAATCCATTCTCGAAAGGAGTGAATGTTGGCAGGTATGTAATTATTTTATTTGCATTCATTAAATATTCAAAATAGTGCTTAGAATTAAACAAATGCTTTTAGTTTGAAATAATTTCTACTTAGAAAGCATGTTAAAGAAAATGCACCAGACATAATTTATATCTAAAAATATGAGGACTCTTGTCTCTCAAAAACATATTTCATTCTATTCAAGTGGTTAAATAAGAATAGTTTTTGATTAACATAAAACAGTTATGAGATTGTTAAGAGTGTAGATTTAGATTTGTTAAGTACAGCTTAAACTTTTAAGCAAAACTGGGTGGCAATCTGAACAAAATAATTAAGATCTTGATAAATCTGATTGCTGAAATGCAAAAAAATACTATAACTTATATAATTTATTGATTATTTCAGAACTCTTTAGTTCCATTTCTTATTGATCCAGCATTTCAAGCTACTAATTGGCTGAAAGCTAATATGGCTGGCTCCCAATTAGAAGTTGTCAACTTTCATGTAAGTTGCTTTGTTAATATTCTTTTTTTTTATTTTAAAATTGTTTTTGAAGAAATTATTTCATTTTTTATTTTAATGATGATTAAAAGGATTAAATAATTTGTTTTTCTAAATTTTAAGATTTGTATGAAATATAGTGTGTAAAACATAATTTGCCAATTCAACCAGGAAGTTTGTTCATCAAAATAAGCAATAATATTGATTTTATTTTAAGGATTTTAGTTATGTTAATCATTAAAATATATTATAATAAATTGAAAAAAAACACAACTTTGTTTAACTATGTTGTAAAAAAGTAAAATAATATCTACTAAATTTAAAAAAAAAATTTTTTTGCAAAATTTCCACTATGTCACTTTTTAGGTAATTTATATCCTAATTTTAAGCACAATATATTGTAAATTTTTGTATTTAATGTTGATTAGAGCAAGATTGAGAATTACATATTTAATTGTATTGTTTTCTCTTACTTTTATTAAAAACATTATCGCTCTTAAATTTTAGCAAACTTCTTATTTATCATTTTTTAGGATAAAAATTTCTTAACTTCTGTTGAAATGGCTGTGAGATTTGGTAAAACACTCCTGATTCAAGATGTTGATATTATTCACCCTGTTTTATATCCTCTATTGCGCAAAGATTTGGTTAATCAAGGTAAAAACTTCCATCCAAGTTTTTTAGCATTAAATTGTATGTAGTTTATTTTTAATTTGAAAAAAAAAAATCTCTTTCAAAGCTAAAAGTAATATAGTTTTTTTTTAGATTTTTGTTTCAAAGTTATTTTTAACAGTTTATTGTATGAGGATAATTGTTTTTAAAAATTTCAAAAATGAATGTATATTTTAGGACCAAGATATGTTGTACAAATAGGGGAAAAGGTGGTGGATTACAATCCTCAGTTTCAACTATTTTTAGTCACAAAATATTCAGAAATAGAATTACCTCCAAACTTTTATGCTGTTGTGTCTACAATCAATTTTAGTACAACAAAAGCTGGACTGGCTGGACAGGTAAATAAAATTTCAACAACATATATGTTATTATAGTAGACTTGTATTCTAATTCTTTTTTTATTTTCCCTTTGTGCCATTATCATATAATTTTACAATAACTGCATAATACTTTAGCTGTAAATCAATTATCATAATATGGAAAAAATGTATTTAACTAGGGAATATTTTAGGCAGCTAACCGTTTATGACAGTTAGAAGACCGTAGGAAACATTTATTAACAAACTTGCCCATATACAAAAACTTGTATCAGGAAAGAGATCATTGTTAAGAAACATATTTTAATTTAGATATTTTAACCAAATCAGAAGTTTAGACTAATGCAATAAAATAAAATGTTATGTTTATAATTTACATTGGAATATAATTCTAATTCTTGTAAATATTGTATTATTATTGATGTTGTGAAACTATACATTGTTTTTAATCATTATAATCTAATAAATTTTCTTGTAAGTATTATTAAAATTAAAAGAAATAATTATAATTTGTGAACTTTATGAATTATATTTGTAATCCCAATTAGAACTTGGTATGTTATTAGAATTTAACCTCCAGAAAAATAATATCAATTTAAATGCTAATTAGAAAATATATTGTCTGGATATATTTGTTAACATTGTATATCACTCTTATAAACTGTTATTGAGTGCAATTGAAATTTTGTACAGGAGTATTCTTTTTACTTTTTTAAGTAACTGATTTTTTTTGCAATGAAATAGATTTGGAGATTCCAATGAAATCATTAAAAAATTATAATGCTGAAGCAATTTTTGGCAAAAACAATTTCATGATTGCTAAGGTTATATGTTATGGTTTTTATCTTTATATTACTATAATTTAATTAATATGTAAATACTAAATGCTTAATGAGGTTTAAATACAAATGCATTCTTTTCTTTGTCAGAAGTTTCAGCCTAATTTTTTACAAGTTAAAATAAAATAAATAGGAAAGCTTAAAATAAAAGCTAAATCCTTGAAAGTGCCTGCCTTACCTTACCAATGCTTAACAAATTTCAGAATAAATAATATTGGAAAAGTAGTTGTAAAAATCTAGAGATTCGGTGTTTTTTAAAATCCTTTTTGCCACGAATGCTTTGAATTTAAACTATATATATTATCTTTTTAAGTTCTACTAAAGTAATTTTAAATTTCAGTAGGACATCTGAAGTGTATTTATTTATTTTTATGCTGAAATAAAACTTAAAAAAAACAAGGATTTTAAATTGACTCATCTTCTCAGCAAGTTATGAGAATTCATCTCTAAGAAATCATTTGAATTCAAGTGTAATGCAATTCGCTTCCAGAAACTAACCATGTGAAAGAAAAACTGTTTTATCTTGTTTTTAGAACCTACCCACTTGTTCAACAGCCTTGCTCATGCTGCCCGGAAATATCATAGAATTAATGTTTATAATGGCTAAAACTTAGCTCAGTGATGTGACAGCCCATACCAAGCCAAGGCCTATTGTGTCCATCTCAGTTTTCTTGACCTTGGGCTCTGAGGTGCAACAGCAGATGTTCCGGTTGGGTGGTCAGTGGAACGCAGAACACTGCGGGTTCTGCGTTTGGCTGGAGGGAGATGAATGGCCTAGTCAACCTAGCCCCGCTCTGGGTTTGAACCAAGCATCTGTGGCAGGAGTGCGTGAAGTCTTACCACTGAGCCGCAGAACATTGTTTAATTTAATAAAATTTATTAAAAAGTGTCTTAAATATTCTCCAAAATAACCTCAATTTAATGTAAATAATAGAAATTATTTTTCTTGTTTGTGATTTTCATAAAAAACGATCTTATTGAAGCAAGCAGCTAATGAAATTTCACAACTTCAAATAAAAAGATAATGATTTCTCTTTAGTTTCATTAAAGTTACATAAAATGTGTTTATACTGTAAATAGGTTCTAATCTTTTATAAAATTTGACATTTTTTATTATTCTCAGCTTTTGGCTATTGTATTGCAACGTGAAAAGCCTGAACTGGAATTGAGACGCACAGAACTTCTGAGAAGAGAGGAAGAAATGAAACTCCAATTGACTCAGCTGGAAGAATCACTGCTCCAGGAACTGGCATCAGCTCGAGGAAATGTGCTGGAAAATGAAGAACTTATTGCATCATTGAACAAAACAAAAAGCAGCAGCAACGAGATCGCTATGGGTCTTAAGGAATCGCGTGAACTACAACAATCATTAGAAGAAGTATGCTTAATACCATTAGTTTGATCACAGTTCTAATCTTTACTTTGTTTTGCAAATGACAGTAACGATTTGAACTGTTATTAAAAAATTGCTGTCATTAAAAAACGTTTTTTCCCCTTTCATAATTTGGAAATGATATCACAATTATCATTTGACAAAATTTTACAAAACTCATTTAACCAAAATCTGCAGCAACGAGATCGCTATGGTTCTTAAAAAATCATATAACTGCAACAATCATTAGAAGAAGTATGCTTAATACCATTAGTTTGATCACAGTTCTAATGTTTACTATGTTTTGCAAAAAATATAGTAAAGATCAGAATTTTTATCAAATTATTGTTTAAAAAATTGCTGTTGTTAAATAAAGTTTTTTTCTCCTTTCATAATATGGAAATGATATTACAATTATCATTTTCTTTAATTGTTTTTTTACTTTGGTGTGGACTTGGACAATCTGTGCTTTTATGCTCTTGTTATTATAATTCTTAGTATTTTTATTTGTTGCTTATATGACGCATTTATTTAGAAAGAGTTTAATTTTGAAATTTCAAATTATATAATAAATGTAGTTTTATCGTCTAATTATCAAGATTTTACTATTTTAAATTTCTATTTGATAACTATACAGTGGAACCCTGGTTTTACGTTTTCTGACACACTGGCATTACAAAAAGTATTAATAGGGCTAATGCAAACTTGGGGTAAAAAATTTAAACATATTTTTCGAAAATGGATGCTTACAGATGAACTTCTAGAAAAAATGTGTAATTTTTACATATTTATAGTTTTTAACTACAATTTCAGCAATATCCCTCTCAATACTTGTTATTTATAAATTTTCTTTGTTTTACATTCAAAATGTCAAAAATGTTTATGCTTTCAAACTCTTAATTAGCTGTGGGCATATCCTTCAATACTTTTTGCTCATTTTTGTCATTTTCATCTCTATTATCAGAAGCAGGTATTAAATCAGATATTGAAAGAATTGTAAGGTAATGGGATGTGTGTTGCAATTGATGTATGCGTCATCGACTTCCGAAGATCTTTGCCACGTAATTTTATTTTGAATGGCCATAACAAGAAACAATTAACCCTGAATAAGCTTTACTAAATCCATTTGTAATGCATTTAATCGACAATATCCAACATTATGGAAATCAAATTCAGAACTTACAGAATATTTATTTTTTGCTTTAGAAGCATTTTGTAGGTTACTGAAATAAGAAAAAGAAATGATTACCTTACCAGTTGTTGAGTGTAACGATCTTTAAACGATTTTACAATTTAAACTCCCATATTTCCTTTAACCACCCTTCCAGTGCTTTGCCCATCCCACCACCCTCTTGATTATGACTCGGGGGGAAAAATCCCCTCTCACTGACAAAAGGATAATATAGATTAGAAAAAATTTCAAAAAAGCTCAGAACAGGTAATAAACTAGTCTTTTTTATAGGAAAAAAGAAAAAGAAAACCCAGAAAAATTTTGTGCAAGTTTTGTGAAGAAATAATTATATTGATCTGTTCGAAAAATGTATAAAGCGGGATTTTTTTAAAAAGGAGTAGTGTAAAATATGGGATAGTTTAACATTATGAGGCAATTTACACTAACCAGCAGAAAATGACGTAGGAAGTGAAATAACGAACCACATTCCAGCCGGGGTTCCATTGTATTATAAGTTTGTCTTAAACTATTTCAAGTATCCTTTATTAACTTATGAAAATAATTTTTTCCAGGAGAGGAAAATGTATCTACCTTTAGCTGAATTTGGCAGCACTTTGTTTTTCTTAATAGCAGAACTTCGAAAAATGAACAACATGTATTGCTTCAGCTTAACATCTTTTTTCAAACTATTTAACCAAGCATTAGAGACATCAACAGTAAGGAAATCTTACTTCTCGTTTTTGTGTGAAACTTTTTTGATTATTAGAACTTGAACAATGGACCTATTTTTACTCATTAATAACTCTTTTTGTGTTAAAAATTTTAGGACGACATATTTTAAGAGTAATAAATCATAAACTCATTTATTAATTTTTACAAATCTGCAAAAAGGATGAAATTGAAAAAAAAATTTCTAAATTTTTGTTGTAAGAAATAAGTTTTGTTATGTAGAAATTTTTAATTTTTAAAAAGTATTGCGCATACCAGAGCATTTTTAATTATTATTAGACAGCGAAACTTTGGTTGATTATTTCTCGTGGGGCCAATATATATCGGAAAATGATTAATATGAGTCTGCTTAGAGTATCAAATAATGACTTGAGAATGTATGAAAGGTAATAAAAAAGTAATGAACTTGAAAATTTTTAAATTTAGAATAAGTATAAAAAAATTATCAATATAATGATTTTACAAATTTAGAATGATAGATGCAGGAATCTGCCTGCTTTAAAAATTGAACTAAAATAATATTAATAAAATTATAAGAATAATATTTGTGGTAGGGCTATTTTAGCAAAACTGTATACATGGGAAANTGTAAATCTCATCAGTCTTTCAACCCTTCAGTTGGTCAATAAAATGATCGTTAGGAATGCTTGGGGACTTAAGGGAAATAAACAATAAATTTTGGACATTTGTTACAAACTACTTTTCATTTTTAGCAAGTTTGTGTAAATCTCATCAGTCTTTCAACCCTTCAGTTGGTCAATAAAATGATCGTTAGGAATGCTTGGGGACTTAAGGGAAATAAACAATAAATTTTGGACATTTGTTACAAACTACTTTTCATTTTTAGCAAGTTTGTGTAAATCTCATCAGTCTTTCAACCCTTCAGTTGGTCAATAAAATGATCGTTAGGAATGCTTGGGGACTTAAGGGAAATAAACAATAAATTTTGGACATTTGTTACAAACCACTTTTCATTTTTAGCAAGTTTGTGTAAATCTCATCAGTCTTTCAACCCTTCAGTTGGTCAATAAAATGATCGTTAGGAATGCTTGGGGACTTAAGGGAAATAAACAATAAATTTTGGACATTTGTTACAAACCACTTTTCATTTTTAGCAAGTTTGTGTAAATCTCATCAGTCTTTCAACCCTTCAGTTGGTCAATAAAATGATCGCTAGGAATGCTTGGGGACTTAGGGGTTCCGCGTGCAACTGACCACCCAACTGGAACATCTGCTCCTGCACTCCAGAGCCAAAGGTTAAGAGAATTGGGATGAGCACTGTAGGCTTTGGCCCTCCTTGTGCTGTCGAGCCACTGAGTTTACTTTAGTTAAGTGTGGATAGAAAATGTTCCTCTTCGTTTTAAATGTTTTGAGACCTTCTGCAAATGTTGACACAAGTTGTTGTTCTGTTGCATCGTCTTTATCAGTATTACTTTGTGCTTTTTTAGTTTTTGAAACCATTTCTTGAAACAACAATATCTCAAGTTTCAATATTTTCACCAATTGCAGCATAAATATCAATTTTTGAAGCGTTCTTCTTCTTCATTAGCATCAGGAGTTACTGGCTTCCTTCACAATACAAAATAACTTCAATTTTTGTTGTTGTTTTGTTTAAATGTTGGTAGAAATTTAGAATGATAGATGCAGGAATCTGCCTGCCTAAAAAATAGAACTAAATTAATATTATTAAAATTATAAAAATAATATTTGGGGTGAGATTGTTCTTACAAAATGATATATATGGGAAAACAAAAGATGTGAGAATGATGGCTCAAGTTTCAACTTTATCATTTTCATCAATTAATATTATTATTGTTTATGTTAAGTTTGAACACTCGATGACTTTATTTTGCGCTATCTGGTAGTTTGTCTACTCAATTAATAAGACAAGAAAGAAAATTTAATCTTTTTATTTCTCCAACTTTTTAAATTAATTTTTATAGAAATTTAAAGCTTTATATTTTATTTAATTTTACTTTTTGCCTATAGGCTACATCACATCATTAACACTATAATGAGATAGCCAATCTGCGAATTTGTCAATTTTCACATTGAATTTTTTAATTTTTCTCTATATCTAAGTTGTCTAGAAATGTATATGCTTTCATTTTGTATATCGTAGAAATAATTGCAAATTTTTATTCTGTTTATCTCAAAAAAAAAAATTTTTTTTTAAATTTTGTATTTTTTGATGCTGGCAATAGGTTCTTTTATCATTATTCTTTAAAAACCGAAAGCAGTTGTTCAGTTAAATAAGGGTTTAACTTGTAAATATATTATTATAACTTCTCAAATCATATCATAATTAATTCCTTTATTTTTTACTTATTTAGAGCAATAAAGAAACTACTGGAAGGATTACCAGCCTCATCAAGTCTTTGCAAAACATAACCTACGAGTCTGTCTCTCGATCACTCTTCAAATCCGACAGATTGACATTTGCTCTTCATCTCATACATGGTGTCTTCTCACAGCTTTTTGAGCATCAGGTTATATCTTGGATTCTATTTTGCAATCTGTAGCTGTTCTGTTTTGTTTTACACCCCATCATAATCTAACTAGCCATTATGATTTGTTGCAGGAATGGGAGGCTTTTACAGGTGTTCTGATTACTGAATCAAAGTTTGATCAGGAAGAACTGAAGGCTGCCCTTCCAAATTGGATGGAAGAAGGAAGAGCTATACCCGTTGCATTGTTGAAGGTTGAAATTATTTGTTTTAAATTCTATAAGCAGATATACTAGCGCCATTTTAGAAAAATTTGTCACCATTGCCGAAAGGTTGTTATGAGAATTTTTTCCTGCTGCACACTTCCTGCAATTACGTCATTGCATTTGAAGTTCAGACATGCTGGTATCAGGAATGAGGCTCTTTTCAATTTAATTAGAAAAAACTGCTTTTTCAAAGAAAGTTTTTATTTTATAGTTGAACCCAATTTTGGGTTTATGACTACAAATGTTCAAGTCCGTAGCCCTGTAATTTTGAACCAATCCAGGAGACAAGGAAACTCCTGGATCAGTACCCCCAGAGGTATGATTTGTTATGTGAACATGGAGGACTTTGTGATGCAACAGATGTAACATGCATCAATCACCATTTACTACGCGGGGAGTTTTCAGCTGACGGGGATCGAACCCACGATCTCTTGAACATTGGCCTATTCTCTTTAAATGACATTGGCCCAATGCCCTACCAACCAGGTTTTCCCGGCCCTCTCAAAGACAGTTTGTCTTTTTCAAATTCCCGAGAAGAAAACAATTCGTTTTCCGCATTTTCCTACCTACCTATGCAAACGCGACATCCACATGACTTAAATTCGCATTTCGTGATTCGTAATAACGCAATTTAAAATCACACATCATGCTTCGTATTTTCACAATTTCATATCAAACATCCCGTTTCGTATTCATACAATTTAAAAGGCACTATTACGATTCGTGTTCAAATAACTTAAAAATTGCTCATTAGAATTGGTATTTTCGAGATTTGATAATCAAACATCGCGATTCATATCAACACGATTTTAAAATCAAACATCGAGATTTGTATTCAAACGATTTTTAAATCAAACATCAAGATACGTATTCTCGTGATTTATAAATCATACATTGAGAATATTCACACAATTTGAGTAAATGAATAAAATCTTCTTGATTGATATATTTATTAAAATGTTGATAACCAATGTTCCAAAGAACACTTTTTTCTTGCTTAAATTTCAAGTGTTTTTTTTCTTCAATTATTTAAAAAGTGTGCGCATTACATTTTTGGATTGCTATTTTCTGCTTTTTTGTTTTTTTTACCCAACCCATCCCTGTGGTATGGATCAATATATAGTTTTATAAAAATTAAAGCATTTGTTTAAACGAATGTCACCAGAATGAGGTGGTGACAAAAGGGTTGAAACTAGCTACAATAGCTAATCAATTGTTTGCAGAGAGTTTTTTTTAATTGAGAATATGTGTTCCTAAAAGTTTTTCATTTTATCTAAGTTCGTCAATAAGTAGTTCGTACTCACAAAATTTTCTATTTCTTGTAGTAACTTTTAAATATTTAAATGAAACGCGGTTGCCTATAATATCTTGTTGCAATGAATAGGAATTAAATTATTAAAAATTAAAATTGTTATTGGGTGAATTTTTTTTTCAAATCTATGACTCTCTTATTTATTTTAATATAAATTTCTAAAATATTGCATTCATGATGCAAGTTCATGAGCCATACCATTCGTGATGCAAATATGCTTAACTTTTGATGGTTTTGCTTGTAGCTTAAGAAAGTTTTCAAGCAAACATTTTTCCATTGAATTCCACCTTATCTAAAGACTTCAGGTAATAAATCAAAGTTTATATCTGATACAACAGGTTCTGAAATATGGAAAATGTAAAATTTTGGGAATGCTGCTCAGCATGTTTGTAAGCTATAATCTTCAACTTATAAACTAAGAAAAAGATGATGAATTTATGATAAATATTTAATTAGATTTTTATTATAAATCATATTGCTTATAATTTAAAGTTTTCCGAATGTTGCTTTATGTGCTTCTATACTGTAAAATTTAAGTGTTAAGTTTTTGAATTTGTGATAGATATCGAAATAGTATGATTATTAATATCAACTAAACTTTATAGTTGACAGTAGCAATAGATCAAGAATAAATATGCCTGTTTTATGTAATACAGTATGATTTAGTTTTCAATTAAAAATCGCCATTTTCATCAAAAGATATAGATGCTGAAATAGCAATACTGGTATAAGTCACGATGAGTAGATTAAGAAATTGCACAATAATGTTTTAATTCATCATTTTATTAATTGTATCACATTATTGTTGTGTAAAGAATTAAGATATTGCTCAATCTTATTGTCAATTGTTGATTAATGAAATCAATTGTTCAATCATGGTAATAATATTTATTTTCAGACCACCTTTCCACATTTATTCAGTGTGCTGCAACTACCAGATGCAAAACTGTGGGAGAGCTTTTCTAAAAGTAGTCGCTGTGAGCATGAATTACCACCTGCAGTGTCATCCAAAATTAGTATTTTTCAACAGCTTCTACTTGTGCAAGCCTTAAGGCCTGATAGATTGTACAGTGCAAGTGCTCTTTTTGCTAGTAGAGTATTAGGTAAATGTAAAACTATGAATTATTTCACTTATTATAAATGTCCTATCAATGGCACTAGGCCAATATTTGTAGTATTTGTCTTTATAATTTCACTCCTGATTATGAACTCAATTTCTTTAATTGCATTAGCTCTTTTTTTGAAGCTTGTTGAACTTAATATTTATATGAATACAGTTACCGTATATTCCGGCGTATAACGCGCACTTTTAATACAAAAAATAACATTGGAATTTACGGGTGCGCGGTATACACCGAATATAAAAAATTATAGATTAAAAAATTTAAATATAGAAAAATACTTTTATTTTAAAGAAATAACATACCTTTACCTATATACTTTATTGATTTTCGTTATTACATAAGTAGTTCACTATATTCGTCTTCCGTTATTTCTTCAGGCACGTCATCACAATCTGCTTCGTCTTCATCATCTGTGTTACCCTCATCCATAAATAAACAGTCATCTTCTGATCCGTCCAAATGATTTGAAATGCTGCATTTTTTGAATGATTTTCTAAGCATCTCAGGCTTTAATTTCATCCCATGCTTTTAATATCCATTCACACACTGTTTCCAAACTTGCATGACGCATATGTCCTCCTTTCGTAAAGGTTTTCTCGCCCTCCAACATCCAAGTGTTCCACTGCTTTTTTAAATTGGCTTTAAAAGCAGACGTCCAATGGCTGAACTAATGGTGTCAATCCGCCCGTAATAACTGCCATATCGGTGTTACATTCATTCAACAATTTTTTTGCATTATCTGTAAGGTGGAACCTAAACATGTCCCACACTAAAAGGTTTTCTGGTTTTCTTACGCAACCAGGACGGATTTGCCAGACATTTTTTACCCACAATTTAGTACAATTTTCGTCCATCCAGCATTTTTCGTGGACATGAACAAAAATACCTTTTGGAAAATTACATTTGGGAAGAGTATATCTTAAAATTTAAAAAAAGTATTAGAAATTACGGGTGCGCGTTATGCGCCGGAATATACGGTATACTCTTTATAATTGTCTAACTCAGTATTGTTAATTGCAGAAGCTCAATATTTGTGGGAAACTTAATTTTTATATGTATATAATTTACTGTTGAAAATTATCTAGAGTTGATTGATTTTTGATGCCATAAACTGTATATTTTTTTATACCTTAAATATTTTTAGGTTACACAATGGCATTTAAACAAAATGACTTCTTTCTTTTTAGAATGAGTTGAAAATCATGTATTGTTTTAAGTGCTTTAGAAGTAATTTTTAAAATTGAAAATAATGGAAACGTTATTCTCTATTTAAGTATTTTGATTCGAAGATATACCTGGATATTGCCATGCATTGTAATACCCTTTAGTATATTTTGAATGGTTCTTAAGATGGAAGAATAATTTTTTATGCATCAAGTGCAACAATTAATTACATAGTAACCATTCATTCCTGTTCAATATAAAATAAATTAATATTAGTAACATCATTTGAATATATTTATCCAAACAATTTATCATGCAATTTATATATGCTAGCAAATCCAATACTAGGTTACTTTGCATCGAATTTAAGGATTTCAAATAATAGTAAGAATCGTTAGGTCTGAATAAAGTCTGTAAGTCTTGTGTAATTTCTCTGCAATGTTATGAGTTAATTTAATCTTAAGTTACAGGAAAGTTTGATTTTTCAAATAATGTTCCCTTCCTTTCAAATAATGTTTAATGAATGAAAGACTTTTGAAGAGAAGTGTTACACCTTGCTTTCTGGTACATGTTGATGACAGTTCAAAAAGTTATTTACTGGTTAGATGTTAGAAAAAATTATGAAATTGAAATAATAGTATTTTTGTGTATTTAACAAGAAGAAAAAAACATGTTGCATGACAAGAAACTCAGAGTTTTTTTTAATGTTTTTATCGATTGTTTTAATTGCATAATCACACTCTGCAATACCCAAAGTACTTCAACTGACATTTTGGAAACTGAGATATTTATATACTAGTGTATTGAAAATTTCCCAAAAATTGCCCTTTAGAGTTCTTAAATAGTTTGAATAATAAATATGTCCTTTGTAAAAAAATAATTTAAATAATTATAATAATTGAAGCCATAAAAGTTTTAACTTTGTCCGTGTAATATTGCATGCTCACATAATATGTATCTAAATATTGCTGTAACAGTTTAAAACATATGATTAACATGACATACGTATATAACAAAATATGATTAACATTAAAAAGGCTCTCAATTTTTATATTTTTTCTCCAATTTTCCTCTGTAATGAATATTTTTAATTACAATTACCGAAATAAAAAAATTTATATTGCATACATTAGCTTCTGTAATACTTTTCAATTAGTTAAGGCAAAGCAGAGTTTATATAATTCTTGTTTGAATTCTGAGTAATTATCAGCCCTAAACATCTATAGGTCTGAAAGAGCTGTTTCCTCAAGCTGTCAATCTGAAAAACCTTCTACAGACCACTTCTTACGAAGAACCCATTTTGATAATTATCTCTCCTGGTGTTGATCCATCTCAAGAACTGTATGAGTTAGCAACTGCCACTATTGGTGTGGAAAACTATGTTCAAGTATATATTTCTTTTATTTTCCATATTTAATTGTGCGAGGTAGATAGTTTTTCAAATTTGCCATAGCAATAGTTAAAAATTATTCTCACAATACAACTAAAATATTATGCCACTATTGGTGTGGAAAACTATGTTCAAGTATATATTTCTTTTATTTTCCATATTTAATTGTGCGAGGTAGATAGTTTTTCAAATTTGCCATAGCAATAGTTAAAAATTATTCTCACAATACAACTAAAATATTATATCTTAATATAAATTCCGAATGGTACTGGGCTCTCATTGTGAAGTACTAGGGTTCAGTCTCCAGCGGTTGCTTGAAGCTCACCTGCCTGATTACGAGAAATAAAGATTCTGGTGTGCAATGCGATTCACACTGTTACCATCATGCTGTTTCTTGATCACAAACAGTGAAACTTTAACCTTCGTAACTCCTTTGCACAAAATTATCAGTTGCAGAAATACTTTAGTTTTTTTTTATAAATATTGAATGTACAATAATTATAGACAACCATTGAAACCAATTTAGATTATATCAATAACTATAATAATCAAATACAATAATATTTGTGATCATTGTTGACGATGATAAATATCGAATAAGATAATGTTGCAATTGTTATCTATTAAAATAATGATGGAATTAGATATTATTTGGAAATTTCAATAGTTTAATATAGGTAACGAAAATATTGATAAATGCAAAAAATAATGCAAATTGGAAATTTATTAAATATCAATATTTTCTAACTGGTCAAGGGCAGTAGTTAAATTCTACAATGTATCATCTCTAATATTTAAAAGACATATAAATTGCATTTAGAGGGTTTTGTCTAATTTACATATTCATTTATTTTTCATCTTTAGGTATCGATGGGTCAAGGGCAGATGGAAGTTGCTGTTGAAAACCTTAAAACGTGTGCTGCGGATGGTTATTGGTTGTGCTTGAAAAATTTGCACCTTGTGACTCATTGGTTGCCAACATTACTCAAAGTAATTTCTTCCTTCTATTAATTTTTTTATTTGCCTTTCTGCTTGCTTATTGAAAACTTCCAGACTTTGAAATATTCACGTTAGATTTTGATACTACTACTGTCTATAAAAGACTTCTGTAAAAATAAAAAATATTCTTCTCTTCAAATGAGGCAACAGAGAGTTGAAAAATGACATTACATTAATTTTATAACAGCTGCATTTTTTTTTTAATTTCAAGACCTTTTGTAGATGGCAGAAACAGTAAAATAGCTTAAGGAAAAAATTTAAATTGCATTATTTACTATAGAACATTCAGGTGTTCGAATCTTTGGAAAATGTAGAATGCTTTAAATATAAGAGTTTTTTTAAAATTTTTTATTTTATTATTATTATTTTTTTTATAAAAAACTAACTTTGATCAAACGTACCAGATTGTAGAAATTTTAACCTATGCCGAATGATAAAATGCATGAAACATTTATGAACTGATTCCTTTTTAATGACTAAATTTTCAAAAAAAAAATCACTTTTCCAGCCAATAGATATTTTTACACTCCTTTAAGCATGATTTTTTGCTGTGTGAACTTTTTTGCCCTTTGTTTTAAATCTGAAAATGACGAAAAAAATCTATTCCTATTTTATAAAGATTAATATTTTCATAAATATTCTTATTCGAGAAAAGGACCCAGCGTTAATCTTTGACAAAAATAATGATTCATACTTATTTTACATGTGCACAAATGGTTCAACTTTTAAAAGTTTTAATCCTGATTCACTCATATTTATGAAGTTATACAATTTTTTAGAACTTCTCTAACAGTATAATAAGTTGTTGTCATATATTCTATAAAATGTGCTTAAGAATTTTGTAATAGAATGTATTTCTGTGCGGCTTAGTGCATTTCATTGTAATAGAATGTGTGTTTTACATTTTAAAAAAATAAATAAAAAAGATCTTTTAGAAGAAATTTTATTGTTTATTTACATATTTTAAAGATATTTTCACTCGTGTTTTTATAACAGAATGCAAGTCTGATGTCTATATAATCAAATGAATTTTTATTCTAACATTTTTTAAAATGTTATGCATTTAATTATGTTGTGTTATTTATTTTTAAAACTTTTATCTTGATTGTGTTTTATAGTAAAATTTTATTTTGCACATTCTTTTATAATTGGTTTTAATTTATTATAATTATATTCTTGCTAGTATTATACCATTGTATAGATATTATATCAACTTTCAACATTGTACTGTAATATATTATGTATGTTATATTGTATAATTTCTGCAACAAAAGAAATGTCTTCTTTGGTGACCCTATGTATGTTTCTTGTATTTTTGTTAAATTTTTTTGGCATTTGCATTAAAATGTATTGTTTTTTTTATGAAACAAATATAATCTGTGTTTCTTGTGTTTAATTAATTAAGCTTGTGTTAAATTAATATTTCAATTATTGTGTTAATAATTTCGTAGGAACTTTCATTTTTGAAACCATCTTCAAATTTTCGACTTTGGTTGACATCTGAAGTCCACCCTAATTTTTCACCAGTTCTCCTAGAAATGTGTCTTAAAATTACGTATGAGGTAATAATAATGTTTTATTGCTAATGTTTAATTGTTGCAACATTTTCTAAAAAAAGGGTTGAAGAACTCTTAACAAATTATTGAAATGTAGCAAGCTTATTTATTTTGTTGAAAAATATGTAGGCTCCTCCTGGAATACGTAGAAATATGTTAAGAACATATGATTCCTGGCCTCCTCCATACCTATCAAAGGGAGGAAATGTTTTGAGATCGAGAACTCTATTTATCTTATCCTGGTTTCATGCCATTATACAAGAAAGAAGAATTTATATTCCTCAGGTATTATTTTGACTTTTTGATAACTTTACGTACTGTCTATTATTATATTGTTCGAAGCAAATTGTTTTAAGTTACTGATTCTTGAAAGATCAGTTGAAACTTTTTATTGGTGAAAAGTCATTGGGATGTTCATAGCAATCTAATTCATTGTATCTGTTTATATTAAATTAGTAGTAATTATTAGTTTATATTGATTTGTTTTTTTTTTAAAAAATAATTTCTTTAAAATAAAGAGCAATTAACAAATAACAATTACCAATTTTATTACAATAAATAAATTAAAAAAGAACTGTTTCATTACTATTTTCTGGTAAAAATCTGAAGCTGAATTCACAAAAAATCAAAAATGTAATTTTTGTTATTTAAAATAGATTTTGTTTTTTGGAAATGAATTTTAATTGACTGCATACCTGCTTTTTTTAAAAAAAAAACTTTTTAATCTTCATAAAAATGTGTACATTTCTACACCAAAATTATTTAATGGTTTAATTATGATTTATAACAGAATTTTGATTATTATTTATAATAGATTTAAGAAATAAAATAAAATCTGCTAGGTATAGAGTTTAGGCATGTACATTTTTATTTACTGCTTTGTTGATCTACACACACTAAATGGAACTATAAACTATGTGAAATAGTCTTTCCAAACTATGTGAACACTATGTGAAATAGTCTTTCCAAAAAGCTAATGTATGAAATTGTTTTCATTTTGTTCTTTGTCTTATTTTATTCTTTATTTTATTTTTATTCTTTGTTTTATTCTATTCTTTGTTTTATTTTATTCTTTATACAAGATTTCTAATGTTATTACCTTTCACTTTTATTCAGACTATTTGAGATTATAACTTTGAAAGACAATATCTAAGAGTTATTTTAATTTCAGGGTTGGACCAAATTTTATGAGTTTAGCTCTGCCGATTTACGTGTAGCAGCTGATATTATTGATAGACTCCTCTCAAACACAAGTAAAAAAAGAAACAAACAAGGGAACATTTTATAGCATTTGGGGGAAATTTTTTCATTTACAAACTTGTTGCTTAGCAACTAGAGGGGAAAACGTTTAGAAACCGGAAAAAGTCAGACCTTTATCAAATTTTTCTCAGTTGTCTAGCAACAGATTATTTTATTAAATTTCCCTGAATAAAAAGTTATTTAATGAAAATGTCACTAAACAATGCAGAATGTTCCCTTGTGTGGATTTCTGTTTTTCTATTCTAATATAGTTTTACATATAAGCTTATGCTCACAACACAAAAAGATAAGTTGTTTTTAATGATTTTTCTATTTAGATCAAACAGTTCAATGGGAATGCATTCAGGGTCTTTTTGAGACTGCTGTGTATGGTGGAAGGATTGATGTATTCTTCGACTTACGTGTCCTCTCATCTTATTTGAGAGAATTTTTTGACAGCAAAATATTGAGCGGTGGTTCTAGGAAAGCTCTAGGTGGAAACACATCACTTCCTAAATCAGCTGACTTTAAGGTAAACAATATAAGTGACATTCAAACTATAAATCTGTAACAGTTAGCTTCTGTACCAAGTTTATACTAGCCACTGTATTAAAATAACTTTTGTAAATTTCTGGATCTGCATCGGAGCTATTAACCCTAAAATGGTAGATGACAGCTTGAAGCTCTTGTTTTCCAGTTGATGAAAAGCAATCAGTATATTTCATCCGGGTCTAAATAGTATTAAGTATACAAAAAACTATTTGAGTTTATTGCTTTCTAGAAGCTTTTATTAGAATACATGGATACTTTTAATCAGAGATACTTGGTAAAATTCGTTCTGGTGAAGTTAGAAACGTTTTCCAAAAGTAATTTAGTGCATCTTAATAGACATTCAGTCAATTCTTACAATTTTGATTGTAGCTGTTCAATATTCATTCAGTGAATAATTAAAGTGATATTGTGAAGAACCAGATTTCTATCCACAGTAGAATTTTGAAGCCTGTCTAGCTTTAGATTAATAACTCTAAGCTAGTCTGGGAAGTAAAAGGTGTGCTTCATCGCCTCTGTTCATGACTTTGATCTCAAATTTGTTGAGCCTTACTTTATTTGTTAACCTCCATTATTCTTTCTTGGTCAATAACTGGCAGTTGCAAAAATACTTTACTTTTTATTATATTTGTTATTCAGTTGTACTACATAATTGGCACAAAGGTATAAAAAAATACAAAGTATTCCCTGATGATGTTCATATGCCACTTGCATTAGTAATACTGCTATGAAGTATTTCTTTCCTTTGAAAATCTATTATAATGGTACACCAATGTATGGGATCAATAGAATTATGAGCCATCTAATTTTTTTTCTTGTGCATTAAGAAAAATGAAAGTATGCATTTAGAACTATCTAGATAAGTGGGGTATTGCTTTGTTGTATTTTTTATCGATAGTCAGAGCTGATTGTGCTCCGGAAAAATCCGGATTTCCAGATTTTTCGCTAACAGTGATCCGGAAGTTTCCGAAATCGAAGGTCCAGACGTTTCAAAAAATCATTGATCATAGAAGTTTCCGGAAATCAAATTTTCAAAGGTGGAACTTAAAAACACAGTTTATTTTATTTGTTTGTAAGGGAGAGCCAGATACTTTATAAGCTTATATTCATGATTAATAATAATTTTATGAGTAAATAGTTATTATAATCATAAACTCAAGAAAGAAAGACATATTTGTAAATTTTAATTACTTCTCCAGGTCATCATAGGTATGTGTAAATGGTATAGGCATGTGTAAAATTTTAAATATATTTTAAGTAAACTAAGAAATATTGAGAAAAAGGAAAAAAACCTTGTTTAAATTTCTTTCTCATTTTTCAAATTAAACTGTTTTTTTTTTTGGTTTTTTTTAAACTCAAGAAATTTTCCGGAATTTTGACTTGGGCTCACAATTACCCTTGTATAGTACCAAGTCAATAGGACTTACTAACATGCAGTTCCAAAGTTATAAAAAGGTATCACATAAAAAAAATTTGTTAAATGTTTTAAAAAATTTCCTTTTACACATCTGACATTGTTGTCTAGACAAGCAAAGCATTGTTTTTAAATATATTTTTATGCTAAATTGAATGAGATGAGAGCAAAGTTTATAGAACTAATAATTTAAAGGTTATTGGAGTTATATGCATAAAAGGTACAAGTCAAAATTTATAATTTTTATTCATAAAACACTCATTACTGAGCTATTAGTTTTATTGAGTTTATTTTGATCCTATTGAATTAAGAATAAAAATTGCATACATGGCAATAGTGCACCTGTATAAAAAGCAATGTTAAAAGTATTTATAGGTATTGTGGAAAGTATGAAGCACTTTGGTATTAAGATACTCTGCACATATGAAACATTTATTATTCTTATAACTTCTAAATTATTTATTTCATCCACTTGTTTTTGATTTCTTTCGATTCAGTATAGAATATAACAAAGAATCCAATAAATTATCTAAATCAGGCATATATATATACATACAAGTACAATCGGGATTGTCTTTTGTTCAACCTCACCTATCATAAAACATAACATAAGAAAAACAAAACATAAGAAAAACTAAACCACTCAAAAGACTTAATCACCAAATTGTAAACAGGTCTATGAAATATTGTAGTTACATAATCCTTTCCAATTAACAAGCATTGTTACAAACGGTTTCATAGTTAATAATTTTTTCTCTTATATAGCAAAATGAGTGCTTTTCATATTTAAGTAAAAACATGAAATGCTTTTAAGCTGAATTATGGTAATTGTTTGACAGGAGCACCTCCAGGTTATCCGTGGCTTACCAGACGCAGACAATCCAGATCTGTTTGGACTACCTGAAAACATAGAGAGATCTGCTCAGTTAAATTCTAGTCGAAGAATGATTGAACAACTGAAGAGACTTCTGAGGCCGAGTGAGATAGCTGACAGATTCGATGTCAATCGATGGAATGCAGAACTCTCGCCAATACTGGTTCTATGGAAAAAACTCAATCAGGTACAAAACCTATTTTTCTTTTAGATATTTTGCTCTAAAATCTGTATGCATGTGTTTATTTAAAACTAAGACCCAACAAAAATAGGTTAAAAGGGAAAAAAAGTTAAAGGAAAGGTAGCTGTTTTGGATTTAAAAAAAAGTAATTGATGAAGTTATAGTCATTTACATAAGTCTCATTTACTCAAAATTGTGAAAAAAAGTTATCTAAGTTTATCATTTTAATTAGGTGTAATTTTCCCATTTGTAAAATTAATAAAGGATAATTACTGATTAATTTTTTAAAATTAAATGTAGTGATTCTTTTAAAAAATTTATATGTATATCTATACATTTAGTTTAAAAAGTGTTTCAAAGAAATAAAGTATAAATATTTTTTCAAAAACACTTAACATATTTTTAACTAATAAGTAATACTAAAAATAATTTCATTTCATAAAAATTAATTTGCTTATAAAATAGATATTCATAAAGTTTTATTATAGAATTATTAAACTCTTGAACTTAATTTTTTTTTAACTTCTATTTTTGTAAGAATTTTGTGAAACACTTAAAAGATGTCGTAATGTAAAATTTAAGGCTCTAAAATCTTATGGTTATATTTATTTACATCCAAATTATAGCTAATGATATGAAATTTGATTCTGAAATTAATTTAAATCCTATTTCAGGGATCTCAACTTCTTCACCTGCAGCTGACGCCCCCTCAAAGTCAAATAGATGAAGAACCCCCCATTCTCTCCTTTATTCGCCTGGAGTACTATTCTGGTGTTAGACTTGTCCAGAACATACATTCATCATTAGCCTGTGTCAGCAAAGTCATACGAGGAGCGATTCTTTTGACTGATGAAATACATACACTTGCCACTTCACTTTTGAGACATGAGGTAATATATATTTTTAAATAAAAATTAAATTTTTAGTCTGCATCACAAAAAGGCGTAAAACATATTAAAAGTTTTTATGCGCAATACTTAATGAAACTTCAAAATAAAAAAGAAATTAAACTATAAGATTGTAATTCAAATTAGTGTTTTGAAATACATAATTCGTATACTGCTTAGCTCTGGTACAAAGATCTAAATGTTTAATAAATCTTTATCAAGCTTTTTTATTTTAGTAGGAGGGACATTTAAGTATTGTAAATACTTTTATTTTAAGTTTTATATGAGAGATAAGGTTCTGAGGTTTTTTTATTATTTTTATTTTTTTAAACATTTATTATAGATATATTTTAACAATTGAGGGTATCAGTCAAATTTAATTATATCTGTATTTAATCGCTTCGAAAGCACTAACAAATAAAAAAAGTATGTTTTAAAGCTAGATTTTTGGTGTAATTTTTTTTTTCTTTACATTTTTAAAAATTTTTTGGTTCGAAGAAAGTTCTTATTTTTCTATTCATTTTTGATGCATACTATCTCTTCATCTCAAATAAAAATAAAAAAAAGCAAAGCTCATTTATAATCTGTGCTTTAGTTGGATGGGGACACATAGCAATGTCATTTCAAAAAAACATTTTTTGAGTTTCTAAGAGAAGTTTTAAAATAATAATTTGAACTCTAAGAAACATTTTTCGCATCTAAATCAAATTTTATAATAAAATTGTTTTAAAATAACTAAGATTCCCATTTTCCAAACAATCAATACTTCATGCCACTTTAGTTTAAAAAAATATTTTTTTGCCATACCATGTTGTTTTTCCACAGTGATAGTTATATTTTTTAAAAATGTTTTTCACAATATTTATATCCATAAAATTAATAGGGGTTCTAAAACAACTAAAATTATTGTATTTTTAGTAAAAATATGTATATTTTATTTGTATTCTGAAACAGAGAGTTTTTTCGAATTTTGGAGGGCAGGACTAGCAAAATGCATACAATAAATTTTTAAGTAATTAAATTTTTGCATATTTTAAACTGGATTGCACACATATTTCATGGTGAATCAAAAATTTAAAAATACATTAATGTTTAAAATAGATTGGTGTTCTTAAATACAAAAATGAAAAATGGATTTATGCAACTATAGGACAGATTTTAATCTAGCTGGTGAATGCTTATTTCTGCATCAAAAACATAAGATTCAAATGAAATTTCTTATTTTATGAGTAATTTGTTTACATATCTCAATGAGTAAAAATATTTCATTTGGAAACTAACACTACAGTGAAAACTTTGCATCAGGAGAGTGATTGATTCAAAAAAAAATTATCTGAAAAATTTGCGAAATTTTCTAAAAATATACGAAAGTTTAATCTATACACAGCCTCCATCCCCTCAGGAAAAAAATGTAACAATACCCTTATATTAAAAAAAAAATTAATTTTTTTCTTTTTTAAATAATATAGTTTAAAAATTTTAATTAAGAAACTCTACAATATAGAATAGTGTACAGATTATTATAACAGACAAGAGTACATACATCGTGTTCATTCCAATGACATAGGCAAAAACTTGTGAAATAAGAACTTAAGATATGATACTTCAAAATAGTTTGCTATAATAAAAAAAACAAATAGTTTTTTCTTTTTATCCAAATCTCCGAAATATTTTTATAAAATTCAGCTCAAAATTTTCTGAACTAGTAGCATAAAACTTTCAGAAATTTCTTATCGCAAACACTCCTGCTTTACTTCGCTTGTAGAATAAGATTTTCTTAAAAAAAAATTTTTTTTGGTTGTTAATTTTATGTTTTTCAAAAAACTATCTGAGCCATGTCTCTTACAAATCTATAACTTATTAACAGTACTATACTTTGGAATGCAGAACAAATTTTATTTGATAAAATTTTGTTTTGATAAAATTTTGGAGTCAAATGTAAAGGATTATAAAATAAATAAAAAATGTTTTTATGCTCAGTATTTGTAAAGAATAATGTAAACTAATGATCAAAACTTTTATTTATTGTCATGTTTCATAAATTGAAATTGAGTGCATTTTTAAAAATTTGTAACAGACTCCAAATGCTTGGCAAAAGAAATGGGAAGGACCAGAGGACCCTCTGTCCTATTTACGTGGAGTTATGCGTAGGGCTCTTGCTGTCCAAACATGGCTGCCAAAAGCCGAAAATGGTGTCTTGCTGGATGATAACCTAGATTTATCTCATCTCTTCCATCCTGATACATTCCTGAATGCTCTGCGACAGCAAACTGCTAGGTAATTATATTTCATCAAGTAATTTTTTATTTTATTTTAATCAATGTTATATGTTTTATAAATTGAAAATATTCATGAAATTTTTTTAATGGAGAAGTTTTTATTTTTAATCACTTGGTATTAATGTTTAGTGATTGTGTTGTGCATAGCATAAAGAGTTAGAAATTTGTCAAATGCTCAAACGTTTCACCTGTAAATCATTAAAAAAAAACTTCACCTAAATGTTGGCACTTTTTTTACACTTTGAATCAGTCTTCATATTTGCCATGTAAAATGAAAAACTTGTAACCAATGTTAACAATTAAAGAGGCACCCATTAAAGGCTCAAAATTTTGGATCTAAAACAGTGCCTCTCAACCCGATTTATTCGAAGGGCCGACAAAATATTTCAGTGTTGCATCACAGACCGCAAAGATTAATAATTTGGACTATTGGTATAATTTTTACACACGCAAAATTCACTTCAACAAATTTTTAACGACTTTATTCCTGATTATCCACGTGCTCTCTACAATGAAAAATATTTTGACATCAAAGCAATTTAAATATAAATAAAATTAATATTAGTTCCGATATAAATATCAATGCGGAACTGGCGGGTGGGTATGATCTTCTATACATATAGAATTTTTTTTAATTTGGTTATTAAATAAGGTAGTACGTGTGTTTAGTAAGCAGTATCTTAAATTCCCGAAAGTGTTACTTAGAATCTTCTTCCATTAAGAGCTTTTGCGTGCAAAACTTTTTATGTCTTTTGATAAAAACTACATAAATCCATCATCGTAAGTAATGATACGGTAAATTGATATAATTTATCTACTCATAAATATATGTATGAGTTTCTAGCCATTCTTTTCACAAAACCATATTTTTAGGCATTGCAAAGAATCAATGGATAATTTGAAGTTTGTCTGCAGCTGGAAAGGGAAAATCTCAGAATCCAAACTGAATATTACTATCACTGGAATCTACTTAGAAGGATGCCTATTCAATGGTCAGCAACTATCAAAATGTCAGCATGATTCACCTGTTGTGTCACTCATTCCATCCTTCACTGCTGCATGGATACCAAAGGTCCTTACATTCATTTCTTGATGTATCAAGTATTTTTGTAGTTTTCATGAGGTGTAAAACATTGAAATTTGATTCATTTCACGATTTTGAAAATTGAAACCATTCCTGAATAGAAATTAGATGAATAAATAATTGATATGGAACCTAACATTGAAATAAAATTTGACTGCTTTGAGAACTTAAATAATTGAAACAATACTTGAGAATAGATAAGTAAAGTGTTAATATGATGTCGAGAATGTTATCTTGGTCCCCTTAAGGGATTTTTTTTTTTAATGATGTGTATATTTTAAATATGGTTATTTTGAATATACTAATTCCTACTTAGTAAATAGAATTTTTTACTTAAACGATTTTATTCATTTTCCTTGAGATAATACTTCAACCACCACTATAATATTAATAATGGCAATCACCGCCTTTATAAGCATTGAATGCTATAAAGTTATTAAATTATTTAGAAAACATGTTTTATGCTAGGCCATAGCAATTGTATCGGCCGTAGCGAATGCATCGATCGATACGAGTACTTTTCTGCAACTAGGTAGTATGCCAAATAAAGTATGTTTTGGTAACTTTGGTATGCCAACTCCTTCCTATCTCGCTGATTTTATGCACATTTAAATTCAAATTTATAAAATTTTGTAATTAATAATTAACTGTCAGCCACAAAAACAGTTAACTTGCTATAACACAAAGTACATTACATTAATTTTAAAGACATCTTTCTTATCTTCCATTTCATGTTTATTATTCTCAATTATTCAATTTATACCCCTTTGACTTGATTTTCTAAAATATTTTAATATAAAATTAACTATTATGGAAAATATTGATTTATAAATTATGAAGTTGAACAAATATATAAGCTGGATTTTCAAACATAACTAGTAATTTTAAAGTGCAAAATCTGCATTTAATTACTTGAAATGAATATATCTAACTATAATTTATTTTTGTCCTTTAGGATTATCCTTCACCATATAATGAAGATGACGTTATTTCATTACCTCTTTATTTCACTTCTGACAGAGAACAGATAGTGACATGCATCAGTTTGCCCTGTGGTGGAAACCACGATCAGTGGATACAGTCGGGTGCTGCACTGTTTTTGAATAACAGCTGAGAACTTGAATAAAAATAATGCAACAAAAACTGTGATACTAGTCATTTTAACCGTCCATGATGATTATATATATTTTGATGGATTGATTATAAATAAAGTATTTTAAGTCTTAGAATATCTTGTTTTGTTTAATATTCTAAAAGAAACATTTTTGTACATCATTTATCAAATTATAAATAGAAATACTTAAGTAATGTTGTAGCAATTTTCATGAGCTTTGATGGAGAAATTTTACTCTAACAACTTTTCTAAAAAAAAATACTATTTCTGTCTGTTGCTTTCTTTCATTGATTGATTTTTTTTGTTTGGGGTTGGCCGCAATCTGGGAAATATGGCTCCAATAGTTTGATCTGGAGAGCGCTCCGAAGTTTGGACCCCTTAATGTTAATTTTACTTTCTTTGTATTTCGTTATATCTAGAGAACTTTTTAAGCGAATTGAAAAATGTTTGCACACAATTATAAAATTTGCTTATCCAAAGATAAATCCATGCAAATATTTTCATGCTGCACTTAATAATTAGCATATTTGAGATCACCCCCTCCAGCCATTGAGTCCTAGATCATTAAATCAAAAGTTATTCAGGGTGGTCTGTTTTTTTTGGCGCACTGGCAGAGATAATTGTGCTGCGGAAAAAATCTGGATTTTTCGCTAACCGCAATCTGGAAATCTAAGATCCAGAAGTTTCACATTTATATATAAAAATTCTTGTATATTTTATTTAAAAATATTAGAACTAGAATTTATACTTGGCATCTTTTTCATTTGTAAAAATTTTTTTGGTAGAATAATAAATGTGATTAGAGATAAAAGCAAACTTATACATAATTTGTTTAGAATTTCATGTTTTGAAAATATCCATGATTTAAATTTATTAAGAAATTAGTTTTTTGAAATGGATCATTAATGCTTTTACTCAAGAAATTTTCAGGATTTTTGAGTTGGGCACACAATCACCCCTGCACTGTACATCTATCATAATGTACTAAACAAGTTTAAAACTCAGTTTATTTTTTATATGAAAATTCTAAATAAAAACCAATTTAAAAAAACATGTTATTGTTGAAATTATGTAAACACTTTTGTAGTAACTTTATAAGATTTGAAAAATTAGTTTATATAAATAAATGCACAAACTTCTGAAAATTTAGTTAAGTTATCTCCATCTATATGTATAGCTACCAACATATAGATGTATAGCTACCAACATATAACCATCTATATGTATAGCAGTAAAAAAGAAAATTCAGTAGATTTTACAACTCAATATACATTTTATGCAAACAATAATTAGTAATTGTAACATAATCTTCAATATTATAAAAGTAAAAGATTTTTGATAAGACAAAAAAAAAAAAAAAACTTTTTAAATGTTTGGAAAAAAATTTTCTAATATTAAAAAAATCTAAAAATTCTTAAAAAAAAAAAAGAGAGAAATACTGTACTTAAATTTGATCATCAATTAATAAGTTGAGTTAATTAAGTCCAGTATTATATGTGACCCTTTTTTAAATGGAAGATTTTGGGATAATTCAAAGTACAAGTCAGCTCTTGAATTCATACAAGTTGGAAAAAAAATGCTAACCAATTTGACATTTGTCTGAAACTGGCACAGTTGAAACATTTGATGAATAATGCTAACTTAAAAGATGTGCAGTATGTTCTTTTTTTTTGGTACATAAAAGTTTAGATTTTTTTTTNGTGGGGGGGGGACCTTCCAGTTTAAATTTATAAATGGTGCATAAATCAACTCCCAACTTTCTTTGTTGATAACAGACTCAAAAAGTGTGTATTAAAATAGTCTGAGAACAAAACCTTTAAACATAATCATCAGTGATTAATTGAGTTGATATACAATCTCTCCTCCAATAAAAGTTACTTTTTATTTTCTATATTTAACACTTTTGAGCTGGTTTTAAAATCAAACATCCCATATAACAGATTTAATAGCATTTTAACTATATGAAATGATTATAACTTTTACAAATTAAAATAATTTATTAGATAATTCACATATTTTAAGCATACTAGAATAATTAAAGAAAAACATACATTTTATGTACACATAAATATAGATTTTAATGCATCACAATATAGGTAGTTATAATGAAGCACTTCTATTCTTACATTACACACAAATAAATTCTAATGCAGATGACAGCTTTATCAGCAAAAAATGAGCCATCAATTTAAGGTTAAATAATCATAACAAACACAAATTACTTTTTAAAATACAAGTAAATATTAAAAAGCAGTCTTATATTTTTTAAATAATAAAGATATTTTATGTCTGCATGGAAAAAGTTGCTTGATTTTTTATTCAATCGTAATATGTAGGCAAAGTTTCATAATGTGACAAATATACATTTTGACTTAACTTAATGAACCATTTTAACTAAATGAAATGGTAATAACTTTTACAAATTAAAATTATTTAGTAGATAAAGTAAATATTAATTAAGATACTAGAATAAACATACTAGAAACTAAAGAAAAACATACATTTTATGCATATATAAATATAGATTTTAATGCATTTTATTTTCGACAGATATTATAAAGTGCTTCTAAGCTTCCAGCATTATACAAGAATGAAAAAAAAAATAATAATTTTAATGCAAAAGGAAGTTTTATTAGAAAAATACAATTGAAAATGAAAAAAATATAACACTAATAAAAATTACTTTTTAAAATGTAAGTAAATATTATAAAGCAGTCTTTCTTTTAATAGCATAAATATTTTCTATATACTTGCATAGAAAAAATTGCTTGGTTTTGATTCAATCTTTATATATAGGCACAGTTTGATAATGTGATAAATAAGCAATTTCTTTTCTTTTTTAAAAAAATTAATAAATAATCACTATCGAAAAAATTTATAGTATGCAACGCCAAACAAAATTGCCACTTCTAATATTATGATTACAATTAAAATTAATTTATTAGTCATAACTCTACGGTACATGGAACGTAAAATTTTCCTGCTTCTTGACAGGTTGGCGTCAGTGTCTACAAGTCTTTCTTTAGTCCTTATTAAAGACTCCCTCTGAGCTCCAAGTTCATCAACAACAGCAATACCAACCTGATCAGTTTCTGCAGCAATCTGCTGTGTTCTAGTTATCGTCTGCCCAGTTCGTTCTATAGTTTCATTCATTTGCAACAACCTCCCACGGTTTCCAGCCGCAACGTTGCCGGAAGGATAATTTGCACTACTCGATGGGTTCGAAGGCCCTAAAAGCTGATTTCGCTTTGATGTTGCAAGATTATTTTCACTTTGACTAACTTTTTTCTTCATATGATTGAGGTCTAGGCGATAGCTTTTTAATCGGTTATTCATTTGCAAACGAAAAGGATATGGAGCTTTCTTAGCTTCCAATTCTAGATCTTCTAACACACTTTGAGCATCATCTAATTCTCTCTGTATTTCTCTTAAGAGATTTTTTCTGGCTTGTCCTGAAGATTTAGATACAAGTTCATCAATTTTTATACTCAAGCCATCTCTCGAAGATATAAAATCCTCTTCTAAATTTTCAAAGATTTCAGACGACATTTTACCCTAAAATAGAATTTTTTTAATATTATATAAGGGTACAAATCGAGACATTTTGGTCATTTAATTTAAACATAACTAACTAAACTAAAAGATATTGCTAGCTTTTATGTCTTTTCACTAGTCTGTTTATATGTCTGAATAAGATTTCTTTTTAAAGAAAAGTTAATAAGGAAAGTTTAATGGGAAAATTACAATGTAAACACTAAGTATTGTCACAAATAATGCTATTTTGTGACAAAAACTCAAACCAAACATAAAACTGAAAATCAAAGAACAAAACCATTCTTTAACATGGACTGCTGGTCCTGGAGAACACTGAAAATTATTTAATGGTGTTAAGTTTTCGTGGTCTCAGACCAACGAACCACCCAGAATTTTTAGCCCTATTACACATATTTTTGACAAATCAATTTAAATCAAATAGTATAGACATAACTTTAACGAATTTTAAAATTATTGCCTGAATTTATAGTTAATATGAAGTTCTTTTTTTTTTTAAATTAATAGCTGAATATAGAATCTTTTCATATTTTAGGATAATTTAAGAAAATAAGAGCACTATGAAACTAACTCAGAAAACTTGCTAGATAATAACATAGGTCTTAAAATTCATAATTCTATTTAAAAATACTCAACACAAATTCAATTGTATATAAAAAAAAAAAAACTAATAATAAATTTCCGGGAAATTTGAAAGAATGCAAAAATGAATAAAGAAAAGAACAAAAATGTATTGCGAGTTACAAATCATGAAATATTTTTAAAATATAACGCTAAATAAAAATTTATGTTGTGTAGCCATATAAGCAGCATTTGAAAATATGTTCAAAAAGCAATTTCATTATAATGAATCTAAAATTAATTTTCAGAAAAACCCTCTTTTAAAAATAAAAAAAAAGATTCACTTATTTTTTATGAAATTCCCTTGTACTCTTATTTCTTTCTGATTGCAAAAATATAAATTGATAACTGGGATAATGCTCTCAAACAGAATCATTAGACTTAAATTTGAGCACCTGGTCTGTTTGATTTTTCAGAATAAATTCTTTATAAAATACAAAATATGAAGCACAATACATAAGTAAGTTACAAAGACTTTCTTGCATTGAAAAAAAAAATCTCAATTCATCACATCAATCCTGATACAGATTAGAGATTTTAAAAAAGGTTTGAATGATTAATTGCCTTCCATTTATTTATTTATTTGTGCTATTTTAATAATTGAATGGGTGAGTTTTCAGATTTTTAGTTTTTGGATTAAGCTATAAAATGTTTTGACATTGCTGTTCAAAACAGCACAAAAAGTTTAAAATTGATTTTATAGGTACTTAAGAGACATTACAAATATTCCTTTCTCCAATATTTGTTACAAATAAAGGATTGTAAGTTGAATTAAAATGTTTGAAAAAATTGTTTAACTTCAATATAAAATATTTTCCAACGATACACCAACTGTATTCTTAAATGTAAACTTTTTCATCAAGATAAAAATTCATATGAAATATACATTTAAAAATTTACTGATGAGTGCAATTTAAGCAGAACAAGTCAAACTAGATCCAATAAGAATATTGCCTAACTTCCTAAAAATTGTGAATTAAATTATTATTTTTTAATTTTTTTCTGTTGTAGATTTTTTTCCTAACAGATTTATTTAAAATAGTGATAAAACTATCCTTAGTAAATAATAAATAATGACACCATGCGAAAAAGATAACTGGATTGTTAAAAAATTGGGTAGTCTTAAAAGGACTGCTTAGATATCAAAAGTAGAAAGAATTTGGAATGTGTTCCAAAAGCTTCGTGTCGCGGAACTCAACCATAGTTGATAACTTATTTAAAGATATACATACAAAGAAATGTTGATTTTTCTGCAAGTAAACAATTTTGTGGATATAAAGATACATCAGGCTAATTAGGCAGAAATTAAGAAAGTATATTAGTTAAAAAGTGTCCATAATGCAACAATGAATCATCCATAAATATCATCAGCTATTCTAAGAATATTGGTTTTTAAAATAGCTAATCATTTTAATTCAAACAATCTTATTGAGAAATAATAATACAATAATTCATATTAATATTGAGAATAAAAATTAATATAAATTATTGTATTATTAGGTGATAAATTTTAGGAGCATATTTATAAGCACAATTTCATTAAATAATGAATTCAATTCAATCTACACCAGCGGTTACCAAATACTGTTCCGCGAAACCGGCGGGATCCACAGAAGGGTCACGAGGGTTCCTAGAGTTTAGTTTTTTTTTTAACAGTAAGGATTTTTGACACCTGTAATTAAATTAATAGGTAAATAATAAACCATAATTTATTATTTACCTATTAATTTAATTACAGGTGTCAAAAATCCTTACTTTATTATAATTTATTTGATATTTTAGCAATTTTTAGGAAATCATTTAAGTAAAATGCCAACTAAAAAAAAAAGAAATAGTAATTTAAAAAATATATATATATATTTCTTCCAAGAACAATTTATGGCATAAATTACAAAAAAGATATACTTTTACAAAAAAAAATGTGTCAGTGCTTCGAATCAGCTTTTTCAATTCAAAATTAAATAGCCAAATTCTAAAATAAAAAATTATCTGATAAGCAATTATGGGGAGAGTCACATCAACCTTCATCAACTATGAAAAGGTACCCCAATATACAATCGATTTAATATGTCTCATATACTTGTGAATTGGAATAGTATTTTTGTAGTCGCAGACACACTATACCAATCTTAACATTTATAATAGTTCTTTTTCGAAAATTATAATTCAGAGTACATAATTCATTTTAAGTTTATGCGTACACCAAAAACAAATTCAGAACTAGAACAACAAATTCAACTGTTTAAAGCAAAACATAATTTTAAAGACTATTATTCATAATAATGATGAATGAAAAAAAACTTTTTTTCCTTCACATTAAATATTAACAAACTAATTAGTAGTCTTTTTTTGTTTTGTTTGTATATTTGCATCTATTTTATTTGTAAACTTGGGGTTCCACCAAATGATGCTCGATCATTAAATTTTTATAGCAGAGAAAAATTAGGAACTGCTGATCTAAACATTCAATATGTAAGTGATAGCAATATTTAAGGTTGTTGATTTAGTCATATGCTTAGTATTAAAACAGCAATAGTGGTGATTAATTCGTTTTGAAACAAAGGCTTTAATTATAGTTATAACATTAGAAAATGGATAATTCAAATTCAGAATAGAAGTATAAAAACCAAATTTAATTTTACTCATTAGAATTGCTAATTCAACTGTAATGGAATGTGGTGTGACAATCAATATTACCTGATTACCTATTAATTTTAGTGCAGATTTATTTACTCAAATAACGAACATTATAACAGAAAATTAACACTGATGATTTAAACTAAACTGCGACTCATTTTTCTGGAAATAAGAAAATATTGAATGGGCCCGTCAAAATGTTTTGCTTTTGTTTAGTTCTTCGTCGACATATTAAGAAGCAAACAAAGATTGCTTTTAAACGTATTCATAATATGGAACTAAAGTACTGAACTAGCAATAAAATATTAAACACTCCTTAGAAGAATATCAATTTTTAATTTAATTGATAACATGTCATTATTAAATTTACAAATAAATGGTATTAATAAACTTGAGGTCTAAATCATGCATTTTACCGAAATCTATACAAAAAGGAAAACAAACAAACCTAATTTCATAAACCTGATTTAATTTAAATCAATATAAGGAGGCAATAAAATTTTCAAAAGATCAAATGCATCCTGCAGTAAATAAACAAAATTATTTCGCAGCATATGATCTAATGAACAATTTCGTACAGTACGTACAGTATCTTTTAACATTTGATAAAAGCTTTTTCCCTTATAACGATAACCGTGATTTTGATATTTCTTCCAATCGGCAAGCGATCTGAGTTTATCATGAAGAAGTTGAAAGCAACGGGAACGGAAATGCAAAGAAAAAGATCCTGAGCAGTTCAAGGGAGAATTCTCACTGCACACAATTGCTACATCTTTAATCATCGTCCAGAGAGAAGGAGAAGTTGACCTATAGGAGTTATTTGAGACGAATCACTGCTGGCAGAACAACACGATCATCAGTTGCACTGGAGATTTCTTCAGTGTAGCATGGTAACGTTCCATCTTTATTGTGGCTTATTAAATTTTAAAAAAAAAAGTTGATATTTTTTCTTATGCAAGCGAAAACAAAATGGAATCGTTTTTTTTTTTAGAGAAGGAACATTCAAAACACATCGGAGAAATATTTGTAAATAAACGAAAGAAAAAAGTACCTTATCTTCTTATTAGAGTTAAAACCTTATGCTTTCGAAATCGTTTTTAGTAAATTTAATGATATAACACGAAAGATCTATCTAAACTTTACATTCTATAGTTTTATGAATCATATTACTTTAAACATTAAAATAGGTAAAAAGTATACATAAACCAATAATGTTATATAATTTAATTTGCAAAAAAAAAAAAAAAAAAAAATTGACAATTTTATCAAAAAATTTTAAGTTTCAATAAAAAATTATTATTTATAAACAAAAATACGTAAAATAAAGAATGATTACGAAAAAAACCATTCTAAAAATTCCTCACATTAAAATTGAAAACTTTCATGCTGTTTTTTTTATTCTTAATCAGACGTAGAAAACCATTTTATAGAGAACTATCATCAAATTAGAAAAAAAAATTCTTTACAAGCAAATGTTTTTTTTAATGAAAATCAAAGCACTTATCTGCTTTAGTAATCCGGAGAATTCTAAAATGAAATGTTCCTCGTTTGAAAATTTTATTCTCAAATAATATGTACATATATTATCCCTTCATTACTTTAAAATGATATACCACAAAATGAAATTTTATAATTGCAAGATCTCGATATGAATTTCAATATGTAACATAAAAACAGAAAGCTGAATTCTAGTTGAAATTAATCATTCAAAATTGAAAAAATATTTAGCAAGAGAACAATTAAAATTTATTAATAATCAACACAAATGGTACTATAGCAAGTAATCCGGATGATTCTTTATTGTTGTTTTCCGAATTATATAGATACAGAAATATATACTATTCTATGAAGAAGAAGAATATTCTATTACTATTACAGGTCTGCACGTTCTGAAATCACATTTATTTATTAAGTGGAATGAAGTAAGCAATGTAGACTTCACTTTAATTTATAATAAATTAAAGACAAAGAAACGTATTTTACCTTAATACGCAAATCTTTAGCAGTTTGCGATCACGAAATCAGAAGTTATCAGATAGCAAGTTTGTCGATAATGGAAAGAAAAAAATTTTTGAGAAATTGTTCTTCAAATGTTGGGTGCGTTCTGGGTCAATTTTTGAAGTTCTTCTGCCTTTTCCTTAATGAAATTTTACTTCTTATTTTCTGCTGAAAAAAATGGCGTTCTTCTCTAGCAATTATTATGATAGAACTAAATGAAAACTTAATAAATAAAAGCCTGAAAAAGTACTTCCTCTAGAGGACGTATTCAAGCGTTGTGATCGCGAATTGACAAAATGTAAAAAACTAGACAGAATTCAAGTCATTTTTTCTAAAAATTGACTTTAACTCTCCGATCGATAACGCCAATGATAGGAAAAAGTTTTCATTTTTTTTCCTTTTCTGCAAAAAATTTATACTAAAATTGTTGTTATTGCTTTATAAAGCAATCGCATAATTATCTTATTACGCAAAATTTTATGACGAAGTTATTTATTTGCCGTTTTACAATTATTAAATGATAAAAAGTTCTACTGACATTTTAAAAAAGTAATACATACTTAATTGTGCAATGAATTTTACGATTTATTATATTATAAAATTGTGAATAATGAACATATGTGACTAAAATAATTAGTACAAATCTGCTGCTAAAAATTCTGAAGTATTATTAAGTATTAACTTTTCGCATTATTGCTAAATATCTCTGTTGAAAAATATTTAAAAAATTTCATTATTACCGAAAATTAAATGAAAATTAAACGGAAAATTGTAGATAGTAATCAAGCAAAATCATTAAGTTTAAATTTAATCAGAATGGAATTAAAAACAAAGTCTCGGCAATACAATAAAAAAATTTAGAATATTTTAAATGAACAGTTTCTAACTTTAATATAATACTCCTGAACAGATAATTTTGCTTAAGGCTGTCCATGGTAATAATATAATCCATAGTATCTAAGGCTATAATCATGGTATATCCATGGTAATTAATAAGGCTATCCACGATTCATTGTTGTTATCAGCTGATATAAAAGTATTATTCCAATCGATTTTCAAATGAATTCTACACAGCAAAAAATTATAAGAAAATCGCTAAGTGCCCTTCCTTTTTTTAGTGATATGCATGCTTAGCATATTTTGCTCCCTAAAATTATTCATAAATATGTCTAGAAGTATATGGGTATTACAAAAAAAAAAAAAAAAAAAAAAAAAAAAAAAAAAAAAAATTGAAGCGAAGAAAGATTTAGATGAATGACACACAGCAAAAATAATAATAAAAAATTCACAAATTTTAAACCTTTACTCTTCAAAATGCATTCTCTGCTTTCAGATAAAAGTTCTTCTTTAAAATTTTCAATAAACATGTCTTGACATATATGTATATTACGACTAACGAATTTTAATGTAAAACAAGTTTCAGATGAATACCACCTGAAAAAAAATTACAAACAATTCGCAAAATGTCCTTTATAATTCGATATGATTGCTCTGAAATAAGCCCATTTTGACTTAAGAAGTTTCTCCTAAAAACTGCCAATAAATATATCTTGAAATATTATGGGTCCTGCAAAAATAAATAAATAAAATAAAATAAAATTGACGCTGTCTTTCTGATAAAGAATGAGTTTCAGATGAATTTTCCCGTTGTAAGAAATTTAAAAAAAAAAAAAAAAATCAAAGTATTTTCGACTGAACAAATTGTTTTAAAATTACTAATTGGTCTTAAGAAGTTCCTCCTAAAAATTTTCAATAAATCTATATTGCCATATCTGTGTACTTTTAAAGAAATTAACCCTTACCTTTTAATATGAAACAAGTTTCAGATGAAAATGATTTATTAAAAAAAATCGGAAATTGTCCCCGCTATTTTTTCGATGCGATTATTCTGAATTCAGCATATTTTGGACTAAACAAATTCTTCCTAAAAGTTTTCAATAAGTATATCTTGAAAAATATGGGTAGTTTTAAACAAATTGACGCTCACTTTTTGATAAAGTGTCCGCCATTATGATAGCAATAAGTTCACTTTTTAATATGAAACAAATTTAAAATGGATACAACATCGCAAAAAAGGTTAAGAAACAACGTGTCTTTTCTTGTACTGAAGCAAAATGGAGCACTAATTAAGTACAGAGATGAACAAGTTCGTTTCGATTAGCAAGTAGTAGACGGGGTTCGTTTAGATATCTTTCTCAATGTTTAAACAAAAATCGTTTCGACACTGCTGAAGGTTCTTGCTTAGTAAAACCGAAACTAAAGCATAATCATTTCTGTACTTTATTTGTGCTTTATTCTAGTCGTTTTTTGCTTCAGTTTTTGTAGTACAAAGTATATACCCTCTCTTGCTTTTAGATATCCTCTTTAAAGTTTCGATATGATTGTTCATGTTCTGAAATAGACTATAATGGACGCAGTTTTCAACTACAAATTTTTAATAAATTTGTATTAATAAATATAGCTATTTTCAAACAAATTAACGTTCATTAATATTAATGAAGTTTCAGATTAGTTACTAATTGCAAAAAAAAAAAAAAAAAAAAAAAANAAAAATCATTAAAGAAACTAGCAACGCTCAGAGGGACGCTTACTGCTCCGCTTTCAGCAAGAGTTTTAATAAATTGGTAGCAAATTATATAGTAATACGTATAGAAAATGATACTTTTAATTTGCTTTAACTAACCTTAATTTTAGTGGTAGAAAAATTACTTGAAATGAAAAATTAATGAACTAAAAATAGCTTAAAATTCGTTACCACTAGAAAAATACTTTTTCAAAGCGGAGCAAGTTGACATCTCTGCATGCATGGTATTTTCACAGAAATTGGAACTTCTTTTCGAATATGAAGCAAGTTTCAAATGAATTACGCATTGCAAAAAGTTAGAAAAAAAACACGCAATGTCTCCATTATACTCAACATTCAAGATTTGGTTTTAGCATGCTTTGGAATAAACAAACTTTTCACAAAAATGTTCAATAAATATATATTGACAGATATTGATATTTTCTAACAGATTGATTTTGTACAACTTTTTAACATGAAATAGGTTCATATGAATTACACATACCTAAAAATATACATTCCTTTCAATATGAAACATGTTTCTGAATGCCATGAATACCACATTGTTAAAAAGTATGGAAAATTCACAAAATGTCCTCCCGTATATTTCGTTAAGCATGCCCTGAACTTTTATATATTTTATAGCCGTCGTTGAACAGCCGACCATTTTCAGGTTTACGACTACTAATGTTCAACTCCGTAGCCTTGTAAGTTTGTACCAATCCAGAAGACAACGAAACTTCTGGATCAGTATCCCCAGAGGTATTGATTTGTTATGGGAACATGGAGAACTTTGTGACTGGACAGATTTAACGTGCATTTGTCACCATTTTACTAGACGGGGAGTCTTCGGCCGGCGGGGATCGAATCCACGACTTTTTGGACAGGGGCTTAGTGCCCTACCAACCAGGCTATCCCGGCCTATGCCCTGAACTTGTTTTGAAATAAACATGTCATTCCTAAAAATTTTAATAAATACATCGTTACATATATGATTATTTTCAAACCGATTGGCTCTCACTTTTTAGTATAAGGAAGGCTTCGA